GAGATGCAGCATATATATATTAGGACATGTACTGATAGATCGTTTCAGTTGCCCTTTCGGCTTAGCCGCCGGGCGTTAATGAATTGTGTGTGTGTAACTTGATAGAGTACACATCAGAATCTTTACATATTAAGGGCATTTTTCCAGAAATCATGTTACTTTTTGACGTTCTTGTTGCTCTTCGGTACAACCTTTTTCAATTACAAAAGACGAAATTAGTGTCGATGTGGCTTTGCAACTGTGCCGGCTTGTTCAAAGTAGAGTTATGGCCAGACTCAGTGCCGCCTCTCTACATAACACAAAAGCTCGACTGACAGTCAATGCCCCCATCGCATGGGCATAAATCTTTATATACGCCAAGCACCGGTCCAGTAGCTAAGGTACATCGGGTTAGTCAAACTTTCCAATATCAAGAAGGCTGGGTGGGTCCATGGTCCCTTTGTTCACGGTCGCTCTACTTACAGCAGCGTTCGCCCAATCGTGCTAATGGTTCGCACGATCTATTCCCATCCGTATCAACGCAGCATTGGCCAGAATCACACTGATTGCCTATAAGTAGAGACGAGCGCAATATATTGTCAGTTCACACTCTTTGACTGCACAGGTCCGACATATATAATACCTGGTCCACACTCCTCTGCAAATCCTAGAGCGAACATCGAAAATATAGTGATAATGAAGATGTTCATGGTGAGTTGAACAGGGCGATAATGCAAGGAAGGTCTGCGTGTCTAGGAAATTTTATAGGTCCCTTCAGATAACAGGGGGGTTTCTCACTCATTTATGCCTGGGTTTCCAGCCGATCGTTTCCTCTCTCATAAAACTAAATATGACATACCTCTGAAATATTCTACCCCGAGATTAGCTAAGGAGTGAGATCCACCATATTAAATCAATTCGTACTAGCGTGAATAAATCACTAGTGAACTCAATCGGACGGTGGAGTCGTGTAAATTTCATACAGGTCTCAGGCAAAGTCTCGGTATTGTTATAATGTAATTTCATAACGGTATATGTACGCCGTAAGATTCTTCGGCTTGTCAGATCATGTGATTAGGGTCTGAAAGAGCATCGCATATACCTCCGCTATGGAAGGCAATAACGGACGTCACTGTATCTTCCAAGTCCACATTCACCTCTCCGGTCTGGAGTAAAAGTCTCACCACTTCTTCATGCCCTTCCATAGCGGCCCAGGACAATGGTGTCCAGCCGCTGGAGTCTTTGGAGTCCACATCCACCTTCCCGGTACTAAGAAGTAGTTGTACCACATCCTTGTGGCCATTCTGCGCAGCACAGGTCAATGGTGTCCACTCTTCGCAGTGCTTAGAATCCGGGCCCACCTTCCCCGTGTCAAGTAATAGTTGGACCACCTCTTTATGGCCATTTTGTGCAGCCCAAAACAATGGCGTCTGCTCCCCTTCGTCGCTGTAGTCTACATCAGCCTTGCCAGTGTCAAGCAGTAGCTGCACTACCTCCACCTGGCCACCTGCAGCGGCCCAGGATAGTGGTGTTCGACCGTTGTCGTCTTTTGAATTCACATCTGCCATGCCAGTGTCAAGCAGTAGCTGCACTACCTCCACCTGGCCACCTGCTGCGGCCCAAGAGAATGGTGTTCGACCAGTGTCATCTTTTTGGTCCAAGTTCACCCTCTCTGTCCCAAGTAGGAATTTCACTACCACCTTGTAACCATTCAGTGCAGCCCATGATATTGGCCCCGGACCAATGCGGTCTGTCACTCCACACTCACTGCCCTCTTGGGTTGGCCTGCGAACCGTAGCCTCGCTCCCTTGGACAGCAGACAACATCACGCCGGAGCTTGAATTTTGAGAGCTGATAGATAACCCATCACGGTCACAATCACCCATTTCAAGTCGAATTCCACTTCCGTTCTCTGCCTTGATCTTGAAGTTTTGCACGGGGAAACCATCAAGTTCTGAGGAATCATACACAATCGTCACAGTTTCGTCGGTCATGATGTTGGAGCCTCCTGCTAGGCGGGCAATCCACACCCAGACCAAGTAAGAGGACGGTACGGGCTCTCCTGCTGATAAAAAATTTATAGTCCAACCATCTGAGCGTAATTTTTCCAATTCTTTTCTCTGCCATGCCTCTTTCAATTGGCCGTAAACAATAGTTTGTTTCTTTCGAGATACAGTAACGACCGTATTTGCATTCCATGTTTGGGAACAGAGAGATACACTTTCATACCCTCATCACATGATACGCTAAACCTTATATGGTTATTTCCGTATTTAAATTTTTGTTCCAGGTTTACATGGTAACATAGATATAATTGTAGAACTGTATAGTTATGTACTGTTATATATGCAAGAATAACCACCCCACCCGCATTGGGGTCCTTCGTTCACACTCCTCCCAACATCGCAACTACAGTCACACAAACTACTCACAATATGGCCAGACACATCGATTCCTGGCAGTGTAAGATGATTATTCATATGATATACAGCAAGAACAGTCTCACTACATCGCAAATGGCAAAAGTGGCGCAGTGTAGTGAGCGTTCTATCACTAGCATACGCAAGAACCTGCGGCTATTCGGTAGTGCCAGATCTCCCCAAGTCTCAGTCGATCGACAACCAAGTTATTGCGTCTGTCATGCTCGACGCTCTCTGTGACCACCTCGCCGAAAACCCTGGCCTATACGTCGAAGAGATGGCCATTTTCCTGTGGGATGAGTTCAACATAGTACTTGTACCTTCGTCATCTAGCATTAAAAGTGCTCTTTCGCAGGCCAGCTGGACAAAAAAGAAAGCCCAAAAGAAAGCCAAAGATCAGAACCCTCAACTATGGGAATTGTACCAGCATAAGCTATTTGAGTTTCGGTTATATCATCTTGTGTTTGTCGATGAATCCGGATGTGATAAAAGGATTGGATATAGGCGAACTGGCTGGTCTCCGCTTGGCATGACACCGGTCCAAGTGTCATAATTTCATCGCGGCCAACGCTTCCAGATATTGCCTGCATATGCTTAAGATGGCATCATTCAGTCCCGTATTTTCAAAGGCTCAACGGATACCACGTTCTTCGAATCGTTTATCGAGCAGCGACTGCAGCACTGTGGAAGGTGGCCGGAGCCGAAATTCGTGCTTGTTATGGATAATGCGTCATGCCATCATTCGGACTGAGCTTGATGCATATACACGCACAAAGTTCGTGGAGTTGAAGGATGTGGCTGGCTGGACCTTCCAGCAGATTGCTGATTATTATACCGACTTTTGGCCGGCGAGGTTGTTGTGGTGATACCGCTGGCGTAGGCCTATGCCTACGCCCACCCACGCGGATAGGAGCCATATCAAAATAGTAGATAGGATAGGCAGTGTAGTAGGTAGTGTAGTAGGCAGTTTGGTGGATAATACAGGAGGAATAGTAATATGGTGTATAAACGCGTCGCGTGTTAGAAGTAGGCGGTGAGTAGGAAATAGTTTCAAACTTTTGCACTGCCACTAGCCTGCATGATTACGGATATTTCAACGGACCTTTTATCATAATTTGAGACCTTATTTCACACTGAAAAGGTATTGAAGATTCATTGCCACCTTGTGCTGACTGACTAAATCATACCATGGGCCGGGCCGGGCTCCGGTCGTTGGCAATAATTTGGTCGATCGGGGGAGTTTGCACCCGACCATCTCCCGACCCCGCCCATTCTCGTTTCGCTTCTGATTGTGGCTATGACTCCCAACGCTAGTTAATCTAAAGCTGCGCTGGCGCTACTTATCTGAGTTGCTCCGACCTTGATCAGCTTCACAGAAAATGGTGCAACGGCACCGCTCTTTAACGGGTTGTGGCGCCTGTCGCACCCGCCACCTCAAGTGCGATGAAGGCCGGCCAGGATGTCAGATGTGTCATATAACGGGAATCGCATGCCCAGGATACAATGCTCAAGTCAAATGGCCTACCGACATAAGCAAAGCTCGAGGCTCCGACGGCGAGCGATCTGAGGATCGTGTTTTCCGTCGGCCGCTGTATCAAGGTTAGTAATCACCATTTTCTTGCATTAGAGCCACCCTCACTGACGCATATGTAGTTGTCGAACAAGAGTCTATGACAAAGTCTACCGTCAATAGCCTCGGGAAGATTACTACCAATGCTGCACTGGACAACATAGAACGTTGGCAGGAGAGCGGCTCTGGTCCATGTCTGTTTCAGGGACCCTTTGGTGTTTTAGATTTCCTGCAACATTGCACGTCTCATTATCACAACCCTGGCGATGACACGCCTCGAAACGAAGCTGCAGGACAGAATAACTCTGGCGATCGAGAAAATGTAGACAAGAGCTTCGCCGCCGACCTGAACTCTATCGCTGACGAGTCAGCGCTTCCACAGACGAGCGCCCATCGTCAAATTTTTCAAACCATACCACCGTTTACTGTGGCTTCTAATCGTGGGGACAGTTTCCAAGACACTCTCAATCTCTACCAACCCATGAGTCTTTTGTCCGTGCCCTTTCCTATGCGAGAACCCGAACTGTCTTCCACAGACGTTCCGCCACGAGCTCTCGAGCTTTTCCGTTACTTCAAGGATAACATCCTTTCACTTTCTTTTCCGTTGAGGGATAATCCGGAATGTCCTTGGCAGACAATCCATCTCCCTGCTGCCATGTCAACGTATACTGAGTTACTGGTGAGTCAGAAGGCCAGTCACCATAGGCTGTCTCTATTCCATTCGCTTGTTTCCGCTAGCTGCCTTTACGGTGCAAACCGCTCGCGAGTTACAATAGACTGTGAAACGTTGCGTGTTTCGAGTCAACTGCTCGCTAAGCAACACCTTGAGCTTGCCCTGGAAGAAGAGATTACGAGCAGAAAACCAGTGAAATATAAGGAACTTCTCATGGCCATTCTTTCAATGGTTTATCTCGAGGTATGTCGACTTCATTTCAATTTATGATCACCATGCTCATCTCTTTCACAGATTTTGTCTGAAGATTACAACAAAGCCCAAAGGCTCTTGGTCGAAGCAGAGTGTTTGATAAGACGGCGGGGATTCTCAAAAGCTCAAAATTCGTCCAAAGTTCGAACTTTGCACCATACCTATACCTGGTTGCGCATCCTCGCAGAAAGCACCTGCGGTTGTGCCTTTGCTAGGGTTTGCCCGGCACGCCCGAGATCCAGTCTCGTATCTGATGGGGAACTAACGCAGACCCTTCGAAGTTTCCGGTTACCAAACGCGGCCACGCTGACCGAACTTGACATGGGAGTTGAAAAGACTGATTCCGTCGGGTATCAGGATATACACCTCGAAGTGATGGGCACTTGGAGCAACAGTCTTTTCCCCGTCATGTACGGGGTACCGGAGTCCTTGATGGGCCTCTTATCACAAGCTATTCGCCTAGCCAATGAGCAGGAACTTCTGACGCGCGATACCCTTGTCGACGTGGAAGTCGTGACAAATCTAAATAAACGAACAAAGATATTGGAGCACCACATCTTGTCCTGGGACAAACAACAACCACCACTCCCTATCTCGCCGCATTCCGCGGAGAGCGAAAGCGACAGTGCAACTCCAGAGGCATTCTACTACAACGCATTTGCCATGCACCAAAGTCTGATACTATTCTACTATCGCCGCGTCCACAATATCAATGCTCTCATCTTACAGGAGACCGTGCAAAAGGCATTACGCTTCATCGAGCAGGCATGTAGCTCTAACAAAAGAGAAGAGCACAAGTCGTCTCTACTTTGGCCTTGTTTCATTGCTGCGTGTGAAGCTGTTGACAAGTCATTACAAGTGCGGCTGCTGGGTTGGTTGCGTGACATGTTCCACAGGACAGCTGTTAGTACTTTTGCTACTGCTGCGGATGTTGTGCAAAGGGTTTGGAAGGCACGGGAGGAGACTAGTGATTATACACTCAGCTGGTTTGATGTTATGGGGCATGATCGGTGCCCCATTATTCTAGTATAGAAGGGCGTATTTCCATCAGGTTTTGGAGTGTATATATACAGCGTTTGGAAATGAGATACCAAATATTCAAAGTTGCCAGGGGCCATCAATCTCATGCTCTAGCAAGATTAGGGGGTGAAGAATGATATTACTTAGCTAGCAAGGTGTTGATTTTGATTGTTGAAACCTTTGATCGCTGGACATGGTTAGGGTGCCACGAGGTTAGTACAAGAGGACATCTGACGCTTGCACGTAGTTCAATTCAAGGAAGTACTACCTCCTGGGTATATAAACCATGTATATTTAATTCTGCATCTATGCTTACTTCGAAATGTTATTGATATGATCGATACAGTCAGACATAATTAAGCAAGCTTCTCCGCCGGTCGCGAAAAATTCCGTGACGCCTCGGAGAGGACGACACGCTCTATCTCCTCCTTAACTGAGGGTCCTTGGGGCAGCCACCCTAGAATCTCTCGTGCCCGAATAGCCTGATACTGAGCATTCGTGCCCCAAATGACCGACCCGTGAGGAGTGAGTCTGTCAGCGGTAGCCGCATCAATCTCAACCGCCTCAGGCGTCCTAATGAAACCTTGAGAGTGGGCGAAAGTAGCGATCATTCTGCCGATATCTCCAAAAGACTATCATGCCATCAGTCACTAGATGCCAGATATAATTTCCGATGTGCTTAACCCACCATCTTCCCAGACTCAGCGAAGAAAACACCATTCTCATTCCATAATTTTGCGTTCGAAGTTCGCGAGGATTCCACAACCAATCTCACAAAGAGTGCCGTCAGATCTGAAATGTGAATAGTATTCCAGGTGTTAAGGCCGCGGCCTAGATGAAGGCCGTGTCCGTGTTGCAGAGTTGCCTTGGCGAGGTCGGGGATTTGGATACTCCGCTGATTAACTGGCCCTCGGCCCTTGCCGTAGATGAGGGGTCCGTAGACCATGGCCGTCCTCACACGAGGGTTAGTAGAAGGCATACCGCGGATGAGGTGGTCCACGGCACGCTGGGGTGAAGCAGCAAGAATGTCGTGAATTTCTTGAACTCCGTGCAAATCGTTATATATCTTTGTACCCGGCTGGCCGAAGTTATTGGCCTTCATTTCCGCGCCGGCCAGGAAACTAGCGCCGGAGATCTGGATCCATGCTGGGAGTTTGTTAGATCAAACCCCCACCCAAAGGCCTTTTTCTAATGGAGCGGTAACATACTTGGGTTTTCACGCTCGCTCTTCGCCAATCCTTCAGCGATAGCCTTAGCACTGGGCACGTGACTGGAGCTTGCCAGATCTGTTATTCATACCCCTTGTTAACACGATTTTCAAAGCAATTATGATGTCTGGGTTGGAGTTTAATACATACGAAGCACCACATCAGCTTTGGAAGCCGCTTGTTGGATCTCTGCGCTGGAGTCCAAGTCTCCAATGAGCGGAGTCACCCTTGGAAACTTTCCTGTAACGACAGCCGCCTGGCTCTTGTTTCGTACAAGAGCAACAATGCTAGATGCCGCCAGTGCCTGAGTAAGGCCACACAGGACGTCTCCGCCGATAAAGCCGGTGACACCTGTACTGCAGAAAGTGAGTTCCAATCCGCTAAACGGCTCCCTGCTGAGAAGTGCTCACATGAAGATCTTCTGACTCATATTGAATGGACTTTGGTGTTTGGGTGTGAACGATTCGTATTTGAATCTAAATACTAGGTTCACTCAACTAAGTAGACGTCAATTTGTGATATGTCTTTAAGCATTGTCCTCGTGGATTTCGCAGACATTCATATACTCTTGAAGCATCAATACGTAATCGGGGAAACCTGCCTGGGGTTGATATGAGATTAATAATAAAGTGGGTATGGCAGTGGGTCCGGTCGGCTAGGTTTGCCGCCTTTCGTGGAGTGTTGCCTCTTCAATCTTCATCAAAGGTGATTCGTATTTGGGAACCGGGCTGAGAGAATACTGCTGGCAAAATCGGGCGGTAATTAATCGAACCTGGTCCCAAGTCATTGAAAACTTGGTTCAGGTGGCGTTATAAAACATTTTTTGGGCAGGATCAGGCTGTCTTTGGCAAGCGACTCCGGCATTCGGCAGGTATTATCATGTTCCATCTGGTAGTAAATTGCCGCGAATTAGAAGGTTATCGCGAGCAAGACCAACATCTTCCATATACAGGTGGTGGCCGTTACGTATGTAGATGGAACCACCAAGCCAGGATAGAAGTATATAAGAACTTGACATTTCCCATAGTTTGACTCGCCAAATCAGTCAAAAACTTATCCTGAACTTCTCTATTTCCAGAAATATTACTGAGGAACACAATGACTGCCACTCAATATCCCACCTCGCCATCCAAACAACAATATGATGTGGTCATCGTTGGAGGTGCCACGAGCGGCGCGTCGATTGCCTGGCACCTTGTCCAAAACCCCGACTTCAAAGGCTCAGTCCTGGTAGTCGAACGTGACCCATCCCTGCAATACTCCGCTACAAAAGCCAGCAACAACTGCATTCGTCAACAATTCGCAACCAAGATCAACGTGGAAATTGCTCAATATGCTGCCGACTTTGTTCGCGAGTATGGTGACAAGTTTGGTCCCGATCCTTGCGTTCCCAACCCTCCTATTCGCGACTTCGGCTACCTTTACCTGTCCGACTCGCCGGAGTTCACCGAGGTCTTGCAGAAGGATCAGCAGTTGCAAGCCAGCTGCAATGCAGGTACTACTATGATTTCGGCTGCAGACATCAAGGAGAAGTATCCCTGGTTCTATATTGACGATCTCCATTCTGGAAGCCTTAACACCAAGGATGAGGGCTGCTTCAACGCTTTCGGCATGGTTGAATGGTTGCGAAAGACTGCTTGTGAGAAGGGTGTTGAATATGTCAGCAACGAAGTGATCGACATGGCTGTTGAGCGAGCTCAAGTCAGCACCATCACCTTGCGTAGTGGTGAGAAGATTGCAGTCAAGAATGTGGTCAACGCTGCGGGTACCCGGGCCGCACAGGTCGCTAAGCTAGCTGGGATTCAAGTGCCAATTGAGGCTCGTCGGCGGTACACATACATCTTCGAGGTGGACGAGCCACTAGCTAAGGATCTGCCCTTGACCATCGATCCCACGGGTGTGCACTTCCGCTCCTATGCTGCAAAGGATTACCTCGTTGGTTGCCCACCCATCGGTCCCGACAACGCCGTGGATGTGGATGATTTTAGCTTCGCCGAGGATGCTTGGAATGACAAGATCCTTCCTATTATTTCTCGTCGCGTCCCTCATTTCAAGTCCGCTCGTGTCACCGATAAGTGGATGGGACATTATGAGTTCAACATCTTCGACCATAATGCCATTGTCGGCCCTCACAACAACATTGGCAACTTTTTCTTTTGTGCTGGATTCTCAGGACACGGGAGCCAGCAAGCACCTGCTTGTGGGCGGGCAGTTACTGAGCTGATCGTACATGGCCAGTTCAAGACCCTGGACCTGGGTGTTTTGTCCTATGCTCGCATTCCCGAAGGTCGGCCCCTGACTGAGCGCGCGGTTATCTAGTTATGTTCTGAGGGCTTCTGATAGCATCCATAGACAGTTCATTATAAACAAATTTCAACGCCTTGAGAAGATTCTCTTTCCCTTGACATCCAGAATCAAAGATGCCTGATTTCTCTCTATATCGGTTCCCCTCGGGACTTGTCGGACGGCTGGGGAGAGAGCACGGCCTGGTGGGGGAACGGCACTCGTCAACACCGACGCGTCCGCAAGAGCAAGACAGACACCCGTCCATTTCGCGGAATATACTGATAGTCTGTCAGCGACTCCGACTCCAAGCCTATTATTCAATAATAGAAAATTGAGCTGATCCCGACTGTGGCTAATCCGTGGCAGGATACGGGGTAGGGCTAGGAGAGTAACTTAGAAAGTTGCGGGTGTGCTACTGAACTTACCAGGAGTGGGGGCATACTACCAACTTTCTTTCCACGAGTCGACTATCCGCGGTTGATCGTCATCGTCACCGACAATGCTATGGGTCATCGCAGATATCTCAGGAAGGGGTAAGCATAGAGCTGTAAGGGGTTAGCCAGAATGTACGATGCCCAATAAAGACCCGAAGCTGCCATATGATGATAAGCGATGGTAAACACGAAACAAAATCTTACTGTCAAGCCTTGCCTGTCAACTTGACGCGAGATGCACACCCAGTGCCGCGCCAGACACTCTGCAGTGAAGGAACTGAGGGATGGAGGGAAGTGGACAGGTTGTTAACGTTCGGCTAGTTTGCTTGGTTTGCATCGAGCCTTGTGGTTGTCCAGGTCTCCTGGCTCTAGAGCATTGTATCCATACAGATAGGTACAAGTCGAGGTATTATTACGAGGTACATACAAAACACGTAATTTACTCAAATCCATATACGGATTAGCGTAACATGTGATTAGGGTTTGAAAGAGCATCTCCATGTTTCCAAACATGGAATGCAAATACGGTCGTTACTGTAACTTGTCGAACAGATAATAGCAGGCTCTCGGAGTCATGAAGCACACTTCGTGTGTAGCGAAAAAGTTGAAGCTCAACTTGTTGATCATCCTCAGGGTGATCGTTTTGTTGTCCTTTTCACGGTGGTAGACGAATTCAACTGGGCCGAAGGACTGTTTGAATAGTTTAGCTTCCTGGCAGGGTTCAGTCAGAGGTTCCGTACCTCTTCCACATAGCCGCTATGTGTGAGGATGTCTTGCCAGATTGGCTCAGCTCTGATCGTCCACAGGTAAGCGGTTGCTCGCTCTTGTAAAATTGGGTCCACCACTACGGCCATTGCTGTTGCTGTCATCAAGTGCCCGACAGATTGCAAGTAGCTGCCGTGAATAAATCCCTCTAGTGGCGTCTCCCGAATACGGGACAGAATTTCTTGCGACGCATCGGTGGACATTTCAAAGCGTACTTTGGAACTGTGGGCACAGTGATCTTGAGAGACAGAGCAGAGCCCGTGGGATAACGGACGGGAGATTCCGTTACTTATATAATGAGAACTTGTGTGAATGTTCATCGAATAGAGTCGCTCCTGGGAGGAAGGCTGGGTAGACCGAGAGTCAAGGAGAACGCTCTTTGCTCATTGTGGCATGATTTCAACAGTCATTCAAGGGCGGAGCACCGTAATGTCTTGCATGACCGGTAGTCAACCCCTCATAAATAGGAATTGTCCTGGAGACTGCGGTAGGCAATTCTGCAGAACAATGGAAATACACTCAGTTTCCAAGCCTGCTACCCTATTCCGACGATATTTGATGCAAACACATTCCTGGAAGCTCTCAGGTCTATGGGGGACGTTATCGTATCCATCAAGATGATTGACAGAACCACCTGGTGTTCTTCTCAGCGCTGACTAGACATGCAGCAACATGCCCACTTTCAACCCAAGCAACAATTATTCACCTGATTACCAGAGACTGCCACTTTAATCAACAAGATGAACTTACTGTACAATAGGAGATTCTGTAGTACAGTATGTGCTAACATTCCTGGCGGTGAAAAAGGGTGATCTGATCTGCATGCATCTTTGGACCTTACAAAATGCTGTTCAACGTAGTTCTCAGCATCATTTGTCATATTGTTATTTCAAACCTCAAAAAATCTGATCCGATCGGATTTCAACACTGCGCTCACACTTCATCAGGAATGGGGTATGAAAATGACTTGCGCATGGCACATAAATGTCTCACTTTTTTCTTTATATTTGCAACCAATAATTCCTTGAACAATTACTAGACAGCAAAGCTCATCGAGAACACTGAAGCGCAAGTGTCAGTCCTCATCTACAAGATGTTATCTTTAATTCTCCTAGTCCTCGCCGGTGTTCACACACGTTTTTGCTAGGGTAGTACAGTACTTTCAATTTTACTGCCATGGATGACGAATGCCGGATACTGTATGGTCGGACCATAATCATGGTTGTAATAGATATTTGGCGTCATTTGCGAAGCCTAACGGAGAAGACTGCTCAATTAAGTCAATTTCTTCTCATTACGGGATACCTGACACTGAGATGTTCAGGTTTAAGCGAAATTCCCAATGGGAAACCTCAGACCACACGGATTGAGGTTGCCTGTGACACCGAAAGTGGATCGCCAGCCACGTGGATTAAGGTGGAACGCAATGGCCAGGTCTCTTTCTACAACCAGAATGGAGATAAATCAATGTGGTTTTTGAAAGATGGCTACAAGATCGGGAGCTGGTGTAACGATTCGGACTTGCATGCTTCCAAGACGTTGTCCTCTAGATCGGTGGGAGCCACATCTGCGTCTATCGACCCTAATAAGGATGCAACTCCCCAGCCCACTTTATCTTGCACCTGCCATGCTCCGTGAGATGTTATAACTATCTGGACGAATTCATCAAACTCGGACGTAATAATGTCACATTTCGTAGGCTTTCCGTACCTTTATGCCGTGCATTGCTGACCATGCTTATTCAATACAAGTCACAGTCACCTTCTTTCCACACGTAAGATCAATTGCTCGTTTTAAATTTCTTAATTCGAGATAGTCCCCCACCAGAATGTAAGGATAGGCTGATAGACCTTGTAGCAAAGCAATCTATAAGTCGGGCCAACAGATGATCCATGTGATTCTCCAATCGGGCAAGAGCACCAATACCCACGGCATACAGTAGAGATGGGTCACAGAAGGAAGTTAAATCCAAATTAGTATTAATACGAATCAATACTGTACATATTCTTGTGTGAGTCGGCGTAATCACAGATTCCCCGAACCACCAGACATGGAAAGTCATTCATGAGTCCCGCCGCTTCCATCTCCACACAATAAATCCCTAGGTCCCTGGCTAGCTGATCTCGCTGCCTGCCATCTTTCACTACTTGATTCGCGGACCCAATCAGTCCATAGTGCACAACTGATTCTTGGTGATCTCGTGAAGGTCGTGGCGACAATTTGGATCTATCGCGGCCAAGACAGGTACTAGATGCGACATGATCATACTCCACTTGAAACAGACAATCCTCTTGGGCGGGTCGCGCGAATATTGTGGCCTTGCGAGGCGGTATTTTGGCTTGGATGTTGGAAACGAACTCAACTACTCGGCTTTCTTCTGTGAGATGATGAGCTTGGAGGGCAGCGAGAGCGGTCAGCAGAACCTTCAGAGGCCGATCAAGCATTCCCGTTCGCGTGAATCGCCCATCAATTAATACTTTACCAAGATCGTACTGAACCACCCCTCCAAACGTGTCGGATGGCTGGCTCACTACGATTGCTGGGCACACCCCCAGCAATGCCAACCATTAAACCAATACGAACGGCGCGAAAGCTAGACAGCAGCTGAATCCCAACGGATGTAGCTGAAGTGTTGCCATATGCCCCACTCGGTAAACCAGCAATCACAACATTATGCTCCCCGACATTTCCCAGGATATATGTATTTTGATCGTTTGGCGGGCGCGGTAAACTCGGGTGTATTGCGTCCAACATCAGCTTTGCAGCTGCCATCTCAAGGGGCAGGGCGCATATCCATCCAACGGTGTAATCTTCGTGAGAGAACGCAATCCCGGCTTCCATGATAGGCTATCTTGCAATGGGATATCTGCCCTGCGAATAACCAAGTAGGAACCATAAGTGAAGGGGAAATATTATGAAGCGCTGAACTGGTATGGGATCGTTAGGAGAAAGCGGGGTCAAGGTGAGGCTGCACACAGACCCCCAAGCTGCCAGACGAGAGTTCACGTGTCGTACACTATGGTACCATAGAAGAACCATTGTACCCGTGACTTCCGCTAGCCCCCATCACGGTACCCTATCTTGCTTGCCTTACCCTACCAAAGTCAAAGCAAAAATGGCTCACCACAAGCCGGCCCGGGCCGTTCCTGGGGTATAACAGGCATAGTGCCGTAGTAGCTTAAATCCAAATGACTCGGCGAGGTCATCTGCGATAACGTGCATCACTAGACGTGATAACTTGTGAGACTTCCATAGAATCGGATAGAATGAATTAAGACCAGATGACGTCATTAGTCTCGGTTCTATTGTCGGCCCGCTCTACCAGGGGTGAGCCCACTGCGGTACCCTACTGAGTCCACGTAGCGCTTTCATCCAAAACAACCAGGCCACTTTGTATCGAGCAACATGGCACCAAACCTGAAACCCCCACAGCTCGAGTTGATTCATCATATGATCGAGAATAGGAGCATTGACAGGTGATGTACATGGAAGTCATCGAATAAGAACAGCTCTAGCAATATGGAATACGGTCTTTGGCGGGCGCATTTGATCGCGTGCATGTACGAGAATAGGATTCACGGACATGGATGGCGTAGTCAAAAGCAATAGTGAATTGTTTTCACCAGGTGATTTCTGGCACGATTTGGTTGATATTACAAGCTATGGCGATTTCAGCACCTGGTTGATCCTCCATATTTTTACGCTTTGATGTTATCTGTTTACGTGCGCATAAGTGGGACAATGTCACGTGTCGGGCGCGCACAGCCAATGGTCGCGACTAGGACTAGGGGTTCAACTCCCGAGGAGGTTGAACCGCAAGTTGAACCCCTCCCCTCGCGCCATCTGTTTGCAATTACCAGCATACTCTCTTCTTGTATTAGTCAACGTCTATTCTTGATTCTAAACACTGCTTGAGCTATATGTTGCATTCAAAGTCTTCAAGGCTGAGCCTCGAGGACATGTAGCCCCGGATGTCTGCGCATTCAATCTGTAACTAGGCTAAAGCGGTAAACTATTGCACAAATATATACACCGTGATATATACACATTCACACTCCAGTATCACCAGAGCAGTACCAACTACCCTACATTTAGATGTACTAAGCCCGGGAAACCCATGCAGAAGTAGTATAGAATAATATGACTCGCATGAATATAGTTTCTAGATATCTTTTCTTAGTTCCCACGATCAGGTAAAATGCACGGACCTGTTCGGCCGATTTAAGATGCAGAACATGGCGTCGTAGATTTGTTTCGCAGCGCATATTATTCCTCACCCACGCATCATGGTCATAACCTTGGGTAAACACAATTAATATTTTTTCTTTCTTTCTTTCTTTATTTTTCTTATAAAAAGGTACGCCCGGAGCTCAGTGGATAACAGAGGAGAATAGATCCAATGGTGAGGTGGGCTGGCTGGCTAGGACGAGTGGGGCGAGTGGTCCGCGCAAAACAAAGTCGTTGAGTCGTTGAAGCAAGTCCAACGCAGCAAGATTTCAACCTGGATATCTCTCAAAGTCAAGCACCAGCGCCAGCAGAACAATGGATTGTAAAATCTCACCGACATAGATATGTGTCCTGTTAGGCAGTTGATGGTGTTCTTTACATCTAGTGAATTGGTGGGCTACTAGAGAAGGTAGTGAAAAGAGAGGGTGGTGGAAATTGGGATTGCATTATCACAGTAAAATCTCCACTTCTGACATAAGGGAACTATGATAGAGACGAGGCAAGCCACAAGTCCTTCTGTATCGAGTGCGGGATGCCTCCCGGTTTATTCGATGCTATAGGCTAGCAGTTGAAAGCAGCGCGCTTCAAGTATACTGTCCACCATTTATATTCAGCCCAGTACAGAGTACGACGAGAATATGTTATGAAAATGAGAGACCAGATTGGATTTTGAATGAGCCAGCGGCGGAGAAGGATTGGAGTCCATGTCTTCAAACCCTGGAGGGGCATAGTGGTTAGGTTCAGTCAACCGGCTGGTCGCAAGATGGAAGCCGATGGAAGCCGACTTGCATCAGGGTCCTCGATAACACTATCGTGATCTGGAATCCGTCCACCGGCCAGTGCCTACTACTTCTCGACGGGCATGTTGGCTCGGTCAACTGCGAGCGGTAATGCGGCAGTACCGAAGAGATGAACAATTATCTCGTGACTGCCTCTCACGGCCCTGTGAAATTCCTGGTACTCGCGGTTGTGGACCCAAAAATTCCATTCTTTTTTAGTCCACGCGACTTTCCTTTCAAGAAACACCTGCATATTCTTGACCTTCAGGATCATATTCATCTCCTCTTCTAACGAGGTGCATCCCATAGCCGCTGAACAAGATTGACAGATTGTATTTATGTTGATGCGTCGCTTAGCAGGAAGAAGGTGAGACCACAAGACTGTATAAGAGGATCCTGGGTCATACGGGACAAATCTGATATCTATCTTTTGGGTTCCAAATACCGTGCATGATACACATGACCAGTACACCCTTCCTTTCATTCTGAACAATATTAGATTTCCACAACCAATGTCGAAATTCTCTCAAATCTCACCTTAAAGTGTTGGCTTAGAAAAGCTTCACGAACGGTAGCTTTATATGAATATATGTGGCACGAAATGGAAGTTTGCTGGTTTTATACTGATGAAGATGATCTCTTATATATTATTCAGTCATCCTTATAGTGACTCGTCGAATCTAGGATTCCGAGACAGATCGATTGTTCGAAGCACTAAATCCATATTCTGAGGGTGGTGTGTAATCAGTGTATTCCGGAGTGGGTGCAGATTGCCAATCGTGGCTCAACGCACTGGGCGTGCGAGGTTGAGATTAAAAACGGTCGGGAAATGAAGCGTTGGCAGCACTCTCCAGTCGAAGGCAACGTTAGCACACTAGGCCTCTTGGTTTCAACAGGCGGTGGGTTCAGCTGAAGAGTTCAGCATTTTCTTGAGACGATAGTAAACGCATTGCCCACCAGATTTGGTTTTTCTACTTATGCACGTCTTTTCGATAATTCAACAAGTTCTGTCAGTGGGATCAGAGGAGTTGACTGAAGGTGGAATGGTTTTGACATCGTGGCCAGAAAAGAGGCTGCCCCGTTTTCTTGGCATATTGGGTTTGTTTGTTAGGGAGGAGTTTCTAGAACGAAGAGCCCATACGGGACCATGAAATAGCCATTTTGGTCTAGTATTTCAAAACAAATTAAAGTGAAAGAAACAGGTGAAACGATACTTAAGACCACAAACCCTCCGCAGTATCTTTAATCAGCGTGATATTACATAGTAGATTTGTGTTGAGCGTTCACAGTTAGTGGTGACGAATGTGCGTTCAATGACACCATTTCGAACATCAGTCGATGTGACGAAGTAGACCAGTGGTGGAGACGTTTTTGTTCGTATTTTGCCAAGGAGAACGGTGATGATAAATAGAATAACGACCTGTCTTTCGCCGGGGCAAGCTGAGATGGCGATGGCTAAAAATTCAGGTATTCGAATGAGATTGTGGTTGGGACCATATTAAATTCAACGGTAAATTGGTCGAAGAGGAGAAATAATGCGCAATGCAGCTGTCAATAATGCGTAGAATCTGAAGTTGCAATCTAATTCAAGGTCAACAATCTCGCCCAGTCCCATGTCAGCAAACGTTGGTGCTGGCGCCTACCGAAAACAACAAAATTTCCTAACTTACAGTATTGTGTGCATGGTTTTAAAGATCGAAGCGCGTTGGAAATTGGACAGACTGAAAAACAGCCGCGACTAGGTCACCAGAGTGACGTTTAGGCCCCCTCCTGTTCGCTCCGTTTGCAGTATCACAAATTTGGATTCCAATTTAAACACATACTGTACCCTTGAAACCCTCATAAACTCTCTTCCCAGCGTTAATGTTAAAGAGAATTCAGTCAACAATCTGCCAATCTATATAAATAATCGAGATGATCCCTGCTAATATATTGTCATTCTCAAAATTGCTAAAGAAGGAGAACAGAATTTCCTCAACATGAACCACCTCTGCACTTGGATGACCTTTTTTGTTCGATTTTTGGTCTACAGCGAGGCCTATGGACAACTCTCTGGTACCACAAAACCCATGAAAAATCCTTTAATTATAAGCCGACTCTCATCGGTATCCACTTTCGGGAGTACAACAAACTCCAGCGGCAGTGGCGTACAATACTCAGGCAACGTCGGTATCCCATATGGAAGCAATATCATTGAGGTCTCTCATGACGTCGCCAATCAATATAAATATGTTTTGAGATTTGAGGGACCAGCCACGGGGGGAAATTGGACCGTGGTCCTTTGGAACAAAATTGGAACCGATGGTTTGCTCAGCGGATGGTACGGGCATGGCTGTAAAATGTTCACCCTGACACCCGGCCAATACCGGTACATTGCGATTGATGAGGATTCACAAGGTGGATGGGCTGCTGATCCGGGAGTTTCTATACCTCTCGATTCGCAAGGCGGTTATGCTTCAACTTGGGGCGAATTTGACTTTGGTTCGTCCATAAACTCTGGTTGGTCAGGATTTGATGTGTCCGCTATCGCTGCACAGAATGCGGGTCTATCGGTGCAAGGGATGAAGATCTGTGACGTCCTCACAGCCATCTGATCTTATATCACGAAAGATGCCACCGATGTTCATAACGCCTACATTCGTGCCCTTGCCGGAGTGGGGGGTATTGGGGGAAACCTTTCGCCTGGGCCAGTCAGACTCGCAGTCACCATCGATTATGATGTATCCTCTTAGCTAGCCACTCGGCCAAGCCCCCTCCTTGTCCAGCAGAATGGGCGACATCCCTTAGAATAACCAAATTGAGTGAAATGATCCTGGGGTCTGTAGTCATGACTGGTATCATACATCTGCAAGAACTAGAAATCGGCTCTCGAATTTTGTAATATCTATCTTGTAGACCCCGTCCTGGCGAGGTGAAATACCTTGTGTGATGATCGCCCACCACTTACGGTACCTGCACATTGAAGTACACACTGTGTCAACAAGAGTTTACAGAGCCTCCTCAGCTATGCCATTGCTGTTGAATAAATCGCAAGTGGATGAAATCTATTATTGCAATTAAAGTGTGATTAAGATTTGATCAGCAGCAAAGTGTCCCAAGGGAAGAGGCAGACCATGGATAGCGGTAGTGGTATAAGAGTCAAATACCAAACACAGGTCTCCCTTTGCGGGTTGAATTGAAATGGAACAACCAATCTTCTGCAATAATGATTAGAATTATATCGAAAACTGAAAGGACTTTGAAAGTAGGAATGGAACAGAAGCCGATAAAAACCTGGGGGGAACATTCCGTAGCCGACATATTCACTTGCAAACACTCGCACACAGAAGCCATGAACAAGTGATGTTGGCCATAGCAAAAGCAAGCGATCGCTCACCGAGAATGAGACTCGCAAACATAACGGACACAAAACAACAACCAGCTCTTCTTGTATCCTCCTTAATCGTGCCATAGAGACACTATTCCAACTCAATCATCCTGAAGGCGCGTTTCTCGCTCGCCTTCAAAACCTCGACAATCCCATCATTCAAGGCAGCCACAGCTTGCCTACGGCCAAACAACTCCAGAGCCTGATCGTTGCAGCACTGGCACAGTACATCACATTCGGCAGTCAGCCACTCGATTGACCTCTGAAGATGACGTTGCTCTTCCTCAAGTCGTATCTTCAATGCAGAATCGATCACGTAGCATTTCCACAAGCAGAGATACAAGTCAAGAAGGCCAACGATGGGAACCGCGAGGGAGCTGTGATGACGCAATATGTATTCAAACTCCGTGGTGAGGCTTGCTGAAGGAGAGGGAGCCTAAATCAATCAGCATAGTCATACAATAAGTGGGAGGCTATATAACCTTGTTTCCGTCCGCCGAAATGATTTTCTCAGGTGGTTGATCGTGAATTTGCTCCGGCAACTCACTGTCAGTCTCTCGATGTACCTGTTGTCTTTTGGAGGACTGGAATTTAGGAGAAGACAAAGGACGTTTGGAAGAGCTCATGGTGTTCGTGTTGCTGGATGTAATCTGACTCTCATGAGTGCTTTAAATAGGCTGCAGATCTCTTCATGACATAGTATAGATAATCTCACCAGTGCAATGGTAGCCTTCAAAACGTTGGCGTTCACAGTTTATTAAAAACGACCAAGTTCCATCAACGTTGAGACTTGGCCCGTCGAACCCAGTTTTTAAGTCGATAGCCTCGACCGCCCTTAACTCTCAGATCATTGAACGGAATCCATCGCCATGGAAGGAATTCAATGTGGCCTATGCAAATGGCCACAGGAGGCACAGTTCGGTCGTGTTCGTCTCGGATTGTGATATCAAGCTGGGGCTTGACCAACCTTCTCTTGTCTATACAGGTTCCGTATTTGACGGCGTAGGTCAAGGCACTTTCTCCCTCTCGATTTTGCAACCGAAGATCAATATTCCTATGACTGAGTAGAAGTTCGAGAACGTCTAACGATCCACGTTGAATAGCTCTCATCAACGGAGTCTTTCCATGCAGGAAGGTGTTGGCATTGGCACCATAAAGAAGCAGGAGCTCGGCCCGAGCATAATCGTTGTCTCTGGCTGCCAGGTGAAGGAGATCGCTGTTCTGGAACTGAATGTTGTACTTGAGGATGCTGGGCTGTAATCTGCAGTAAAGATTCCAACATGATTTGCCCAAGGAGACCATGTCACAAACGTTTCGCTGAGTGACAACGAGCATGAGAATTTGGTTTGGTAGGCTTTGGAGGATTGCCTGCAGGAAATTAGCCAATGCCCTCACTCAAGAATTGAGATTTTCAGCAGCAACATTGAACAGACCATCATGGAAGATAAGCTTTTATAGATTGCGAGAAGTATGCAGAAGACGGCAAGCTTGTGGATAAAGCGAACTTATCACTGCTTTTCTAGGAGGGTTATGAGACTTTTATATTGGACACGGCTTCTCGGGACTTCTATTCTAAATAGACGGCTCCTGAGAGCCAATTGCGTGTTCCTGGAGACAGTGTCTCCACCCCGGGGATCATGCTTGTGAGCTCCAGGGAGCCCAGGATATCCTAGGAGCTCTTCTAAGACGACTTGAAGCATGCAAGTGACTTGTGGCGGGGCATGACCGGCCAGAATGCTTGGCCTGCGTGCTATAATGGACTCAACCTGTTGTGGTTGCCTGCACAGTATCGACTGTCTAATCCCTCTTTATTTGCTATACTGTATCTGCGACAACAATCGCAATCGGTTGTTCGTCTGGTCGTGTTATATTCCCCGCCTTTCGAAAGACAATTCCTTGTGTAGGGTATGGATAATATTTGCTTCATCCTGAACGTACTCATTTTCCCTCATCATATTCTGACTAGCCACAGAACACTGTTTAGTACCTTGTTCAATAGGTAGAGGTATTTATGCTGGCCTCACCAGTGATACAATAAGCTTCGGAGTTGAAATCCTCCATAAATATTTGGCCACCATTACCCAGCGTCAGATGGAAGAAGTCTGAAAGTGGGCAGTAAATTTACTGACTATCTTAACTGAGCTTGCACGTCAACAAATGTATACTTTTGAGGCTTGAACGATGAGTGCTGTGCGATTATTGGTGCTATCTTGATGTACAACTTTAAAGTAGGAGCGTACAGTGGACTAAAGTGCCACCAGAGACGTCGACGCCTCAACTACTGATAACTTTACAATATCCATGAGAAGTCGAGAAGTCTCGGCGCCAGAGGCTCGTACCAATTGGTTAGCTATTAGAATTCTGGGAATTTGCAGTTACTTTCCTAGGTCCAGCGATTGGAGCGTTCCGATTTAAGGAAACACGGGGATTTAAGGTCACACAAGCCACGGCGTTCAACAGAAGTATCACGGGAAGGGCGTCTAAAGGTATTCTGATTCATGCCGTCTTTGATAGTCTAGGATTGCATCTTCGGTATTCTTTACATCGAGTGATTTCATCGCTTCTTGCTCATTCCATATCAAGCTCTCCATTCAGTTTCCCAGTTGTCTCCGAAACGGCTCGACCACAGAACCTGAACCTCATCGAAGGTGTCCTCGGTGACATCTTCCCATTCCCCATTCGCATTTTCCAGCATGTCAGCGTCTACGATGTCGGATTTGTGGCCAGCCTAGTCTCCTTTGGCCAGATATACTCCTCCTGTAATGCTATTTGAACTTTCGGAGGACTAATAGATTCGCATCAAAACTATATGGCCAATGGTGATTGCAGATGGCAACTGATCCTCCAAGACATATTGACCGGTAGTCAAGTTCCTTAGGACTCAATTTTTGAGATTGACAGATGCTTCCATGGCCGAAAGAGTCGCTGCATCCTCCCCTTCATCCGCGTAAGACCAAAGTTTCAACTTCTCCTCAACGACGTCGTAGCGAAGAGGCTTGGATGTTGTATCGCTCTCGGCGGAAATCAGGTGAAGATTGTCTTGTTGAATCGTGGCAGGGAGGTCGTCTGGACCTAAGCAATCCCAATACAGATGATCCGCATGTCAGCCCACTCCTCTTCAATCAGTTCACACAGTATGTTGGCCCACGACGAAAAAAGCAATTCTGACAATTTTCCACCAAGTAGTTGTGTCGTGTACTCGCGTTTGGACGGGCAAACCACTAGCCAGTATTGGCCCATTGTTTGTTTCTTCGAAAGACAGGATGGAACGGAAGTCTTAGGTCGTGAAAGTGAGGGCCGTAACCGGATTAGAGCAAATTGGATACACGAGAGACACTAATAGAGGATGCAACGGGAAGATGGTACGCTTGTGAATAGATGAGCTTGTAATATTGCACGTCTAGTGAGGGCCCTGAGCTTTATATGTTGGTCACGACGTCTCAGTCGTACCATCTCACTGAATGGCTCCTGGAAACGCACCGAAAGCTCCTGAAGGCAGTGTGTCTGTCGCGGGGATCATACTTGTGAGCTCCAGGGAACTTTAAAGACCCTAGGAGCCCTCTAAGGATCTCTGCAAGCATGACTGGTGACTTGTTGCTCGTCCATGACTTATCAGAATGCCACAGGGCTGCTTAGAGAGGCGGTAGCCTTCATCCAATTCATGACCACCAAAACAAGGAGACCTCTGCTACAGAAAAGACACATTCCTTCACCGCGGTAGGCAGCTACGTATGAGAGATGTTGCCGATGACGTGGATTCGTATCATTTCAGACGAAGCCATAATTGGGGTATAAAAGAGTGGCTTCGGCCCTTGGTTGGCATCTCAATCATCTCAATCATTAGAATCGTTTCTCATTTCCAGCATATCACCAAGTCATGTCTTCTTACCAACAGTGGGGCCGTTTTATTCTTTACGAAATAGGTATCGGGGAGGCTCGAATCTGCTGCGGGACCACCAAGACGGGCGCACCGTGCAAGAACTCCATCAAAATCAAAGACATCAAGACCGGCCAACAGCAACTCGCAAATCTCCCGACACGATCACTCGAGTTGTCGACTTTACGACCTATTTTATGTGATATTGCAAAAAACTTTCTCTGTGCGAGATGGCACCGACAGCGACAGGCAAGCCAAGTTGGCCAGCAGTGGTATGAGGCTGCGGCTCGTAACCGGGAACGAGCCGGTCACATCTCCGAGACTGCTTCTGTAGTATTTGATACGGAAGCCCGTCAGAGCCGGCGATCCACGCTCACGAGTCCCTCCGAGCCGGAGATTCCCCGCAGGGTTACACGTCAGAACGAGGAGAGACAAATACCACTGGTCCATGACTCCATTCCTCTCGAGCCATTGGAAAGGACAGTTCGATACGTCACGGCATTGATGCTACGCACCGACGGTGTCCGGTGGTGTATCTCGCCGGCTGAACCAGCCACTCTGTCCGCATTCAATATCGGGGCGGGGATGCAAAATCTGGAACTGCACAGTCTCACTCGTAGCGAAGAGGTGTCTCATATAAATTGTCCATTTTGTCTGGCTGATGAGGAAGACCAGGCGGATGAGAGCGTAATCCTGCGCTGCAAACAGTGCCGGGGATTAGCTCATCTAGGCTGTGTGGAGGAGTGGCTACAGAAGCGTGAGGTGGCATCTAACATGTCCTGCTGTGCTTGGTAAGTCTCGATTAGCCTTCCCAGTTAGTTCAATTGCTTATACGTCGCAGCCGGAGTGACGAAGCTCTGGATGCCCTGCTCCGCTCACCGAGGACGATCACGACAAATCCCGACATCGATGTTGAAAACGCGAGAGTACGTGCATCTCCAGTGACGGAAGAGACGAATACCATCGAAAACCCTCGGCGAGCCGGTTCGGCCCGTCTCCCGGCGCGGTCTGGGTCATCGCGCCGCAGATCAACAATGTCTGGCGCGGGACGCAGTGTTCGTCTGTCAGCCCGTCTGGCTGACACGACTCCTTCGCTTCGCCGATCGTCGCGTCTGAACCGATCATAGCACAAGGTGGTGCATACGTCGGTGGTTGGTAAATGGATAGGATATGTGAGGCGAGGGGTCAATATTCATTCGCAATGTTTCCGCACGTGTCTAGACAGTTGTTCGATGACAATCCTGTCTGGTCACGGCCGCGAATCAAATTGCGCTGCATATGTGCGAGAAGACAAGTAACAAGCACCCTCAATAATTCATCAAACTTTGGTGATTATAGATGCAGAGATCGTGAGATCTGGGTGTTAGACAGTATGACGGCGTGCAATAGCTTTTGAATAATACGAATCAGAGTCAACCTCGGACGCCTGCGGAACACGTAGAATATCAGTATATATCATACTTGATCCGAATACAATGAAGTTACCATTTGTGCTCATGTTGCATGAGTTAATCCCGCACTGCATATTCCCATCAAAGCCTCATATGCTGCAGAGAGTGGCATACATTGTCCGAATGTTACTGGAGAGTAGTTCTGCCATTCTCAAACGACCCTGGCGAGGTTCGATCAGATGGAACTCCGTAGAATGCCCGATCCTCGTCCAGCGCAATCATGGCATAATATGTCGATGTGTGCGACAGACCGGTAAAGAGGCACATTCGATGTGTCTGACGAGCGAACTGCCGACGGCAGCCACAGGGAACCACTTCGTTGGTGAGGGCTATATGACGGGTTAGCTGTATCTCCTTGAATGGCCGATTGCCACTGACCTGCTTTCTCGTGGAGAAACGCCGTCTCGGCACTTGCACAATTGCCTTCATGCAGCAGAACATGGTAGTTCGGGCCGCCAGACCCGAGCGTGCGAAATGCCTCCGTCTCGTTATCTTCCCAGCTGACCAGAATACCCCTGGGGTATGGCTTCAACTTGATGCTGTGCGGCAGGTATCGCAATCGCAGTCCAATTTGACCCATGAACTTTATCTCTGCCGGCCGAGATTTCGGATGTGCTTTGAACATGGAGGCAATCGATCGAACCAAGAGCTCTTCTACTACATGACCACAGAAGAACGGGGCGATCGTGTCAGCGAGGCTGCTTGGAGACTAGGACCGAAGAACGACTGGTGGTATGTGGAAGCGTAGTTCAACCTTCGGAGATGAATCTTCAACGTACCCTGTCCTTTGCCAAAGTATACATCGGCCTTGTTAGTCAAGCCTTTGACGTAAACCACTGGAATGTGATCGGTGAATTTCAGCAGAGCAAAATAGGCCTGCAAAGCTTGATCGACTATTCTCGCAAATGCCGTGTTCGGGACGGTATAGGGCTTCGCAACCTTGAATGGCTCTTGCTGCTCTTTTTCGACGGTTCGGATTGAGCAGTGGGCAGGCAGCAAGTTCTATAGCGTCTCGGGCAGGCGCGTCGGGCGCTTGCCGAGGCTGTCCCGGATTGTGTTTACAGTCTGTCTGCATCAGTCATCAGAATGCCAGAGAGTCTGCGTCCGAAGACCTACCTGATCATTGCTATTCTCGCTGTAAAAGAACTGCTTATATGCTGATTCGCGCAGCAGGTATTGCCAGACTCGAATGGTCGTCGACGGCTCTAAGAGACGGCCTGCTAGCCGAGCGTCGGACGCGACCAGTCGAGCCTGAGTTGGCCCGTCGCGCGCTAATCACCACCGTGACATCTCTCTCAATGTGGGAACGCATCCTTCCCATATCGGTGGAAGGATTGGTCCAAGCGACCACGTCACACTTCTGGGATAGTGTCACAACGCAAGAGATCTATCTGAACCCTGTGGGCATTTCAAACCTCGAGTTGCACCCGCTCGCCGCAATGCTCACTTGGTAGCCGTCGAGAGAGAGGATCAACGCAGCCAGCTTGAGACCCTCGCCGTGATGTCCCACGAGATGGTGGTGAGCGTCCTTAGTGGTGAAGCCCATGCCAAGGGCATCGATGGAGAGTTGCGTGCAGGCATTTGCGATGATGACTCGACCTGTCTTTTTCTCATACTTATTGAAGCCCAGCGCACGTCGACGCTCGCTTTCGGCTGCCCAGTCGGGGATGGACCGGTCGGGAACAATGATCCAGAGATGATCACGGCGGCCCTCAAAAAATGGCTGGAAGCCCTGGCGGTTAAGGTGAAACCTCTCCACAATGGCGTCTTTCCTGCGTAAATCAGCGCCGGTCCCGCAAAGGAGATCAGTACCCACCAGTTTTGGTATGACTCTCGAAAAGCATCTGCTGCCGCCCAATCTTTCACATACCCGGAGGAGATGCTGAGGGAGACGACACGTCAGGAGGCCAGGCATGCGGTGAGTGTGCTTGCCTGACTCTGGAGCAGCTCGCATGCCAGCTGCTGATTCACTTGGGCCATGAGGTTGTCATCATCGCAACAGTCGGCGCCGTGATGGTGCATTTTCCTTGATGTCAGGTGTGAGAATCCAGTTGTGAGAGTATGTATGAAGAGAGTACTGACTCGGAACAAGCCCAGAATATTTAAATATTGCCTGTCAAGCCCCTTCACACCCATAGATGCCGTGGTTGAGAAGTTGAGCAACGGTGATCAATCGCCATGCGATCGAGACAGCAATCTGAGCAGGTGTATAGATTTTCTTACTTGGGGCTTGCAGATTGAGTCCCGCATTATTATTGGGATCGGCCAGTGAATGCTGTGAGATCGTTGGTGCTATGAACTTGACCTTCAACGTTGAATCACGTACGCGGCACTCTTTGAAAGCAGTACACTGGAAATAGTTGATGGAGGCGTTCTAACGGTGCATTACTGTTGTCTAATCAAAATTTATTCTAAGCTTATACGCTATTTTCCTGCAGGCATGCTGACCTCAACTCATGGTGGTTGTCCTACACCTACAGAAAGAGCTGACAGATGAGGCTGATCAGTCCCAGGAGAAGGAACCTCCTTATTTGTACCGCCGTCGTTGATAGAGGTCCAGCGTTTGAACAATATCAGGATGGAAAATTGCTGGATCATATCCAAAAGTCACAATTTTATACAGTACATTAGTATTCCTACCGTTTCTCCATCACTTTGCTAATGGGAATCACAGAAAGACGGACCCGTGGAACTGTTACAGTAACGGCTTCATGTTTCAATGTAGTTCTAAAGAAAATGTGAGAACATGCTGGACTTTGCTCAGAAAAAATGCCTCACTGATCATTGAAGATGCAATAGGGTCGACTTCAAGTCGTACGCTGTTGATCGTACCACTTCTTTTAGGCACTGGCAGGAAGCCCAAGAATGGTACTGAGAATCCTCTATATCTCTTCTCTCTCCTCACCCGTAACCTGAATTTATATGCATTTGATGTGTGAGATCTTTCTTGCTTCTGTCCAGAAGCTACGATTTTAACGGTTCTCCGCCACTTAACTTTATCTAACAAACCAGAGCCACCAACCATATGAAAAGGTCACTGTACTTTGGAAATGAACCCAGATCGTCCAAAAAAGCAAAAAAACGGGAATCAGCGCTATTCAATGGATCAAAAAGCTTCCCAGGGAGCTAATTGATCACATCGGTTCTTATACTTCGATTTTTGCTCAGCAAAAACTCCTATCGTGTCTAGGCCATGAAGCGTGGGGTTCGGATCAAGACCGCATGCGGCTTTGGTTTTCCATTTTCAAAAGCGATCAGTGGCTTAGAAAAATGGTAGACGAACAGAACGCAAAGCCGGTACTGGTCGGGTCGCATCTTCGCACGCTTCCCGGGAAATGCTGTGTCATCTTGTATATTTGCAATAAGGGTCGACAATTTTCACCCTCGTGGAGACTGTTCCGAGAGTGTCTCCAAGACCACACTGTCATGCCTGGTGCCGAAATGGATCTCACATCCGGCGTTACGCTGAACGTTCAAGATCTATTGGATCGCAGCTCCGTGCCGACTGTCCAGCTTTCAAACCCGACAGACGCCTTAGTGCTTCGAGAACAAGATCCGGTGATACAATATTCATTCTATCCCACATCCACCATCCAAGATATTAAGCAGTGCGACATATCGACTGATACCCGAGGGTGGTGTTGGACGCTCAAACTCTCCAACAATGGTACCAGTTTCCAAGTCAATCTCCGAACGCAATTAAATATTTTTGAGACTTCTGATACTTCTTTCTGGGGGGATTTGGCGGCAGCAGCGGAACGACGCAAATGAAAGCCGAGATTGCCAAATAGCCCAGGAGAGCCATGTATCTTGGCAAAGAAAGAGCCTCAATATGCTATTTATACCAGACGCCGCGAGCCTGTATATAATCCGTGTAGCACGTATCTAAATATATGACCTGTTCAACTGTGTTTCTCAATCCTCGCTCAATCTGACCTTGTTCACAGACAACACAGAACCGATTCTCAAGATACACAAAAGCGGCAAGTTGTAGAACCAGCTACATCATGTCTTTCAACGCCGTTGCATCTCAGATTTGCATTCGTCTCCTCATCTTCTTTCTCGCCCTCACTTGGCTGTCTATAGCTGGCCTCAGGTCATCGCTCGCTCACTTTGCGGTCGTTCTGCGAGATCGCGCGAGATCAGACCGTACCAAGGGCTCCATGCTTTCCATTACGTTTGAAAATGTGATGACCGATGTCTTCAAGAGCATGGTAATCTTGGCTCTCCCTTCGGCTTTATTCTCAACTTTTGGGGGCATGCTCCTGATCCACCCGCGACTCTTACAGGAGAATAGCAATGCCCACTATTCTGTTGGCTGCTTTCACTTCATTTTGAGCCTGGCAGTCCTCTCTGTCGGAGGGTATGTTGCGAACCGTGTTCATAGATGTCAAGGCCTGTTTGCAGGGTTCAACGATAAAGTGAGCCGCTTTCGATATTACAAGATGATGTACTATGGAGGTATTGGTTTTGCTGCCTATGGATGTTTGGTCATCATCATAATCATCATTTATGTTGCGGTGCAGTGTCACATGCTTCGGTCCTTGCTATGGACTGTCTTTCAGGGAAATGATTGCATTCCCCGGTGTAAGAGGGATAGATCGGTTCTAGTTTCGCAAGGTGACGATGATGCTGCTGCGAGACCAAGATAGCCTCCAGAAAGTTTAGTATTGCTCTTTTCAGTCGACTATTTAGGGTTGAATAGCCTGAGAAGTATGTTGAACATGAATATCATCCTGAAACGCGCTTAAAATGAATGTGCCTCTTATCGAACCTCACCAGCCAAACTCCACATATACGTTCTATCTTCCATTCTTTAAGCTGCCGCAAAGTAAAGCTACACGGAAAACACCAAAGCTGTCGCCATCCCTTTTTGGGGTTCCTCACGTTGGTCATGGTGGATAATGGACGGGTTTTTGTCACGACGCTCACCGTCCTCGCTATACATGAGAGCTACAAAAATCTGATCTCCCCAATCTTACGTGCAAGTTTATCGGTTCACAGGGTCAGCATAGGCCCTAGAAACTCGATGCCGCTTCCAGGAACTGGATGATCGGCCCTAGGAACAAACATACCGGGCCTTAGGAGCAGAAACTGTAACCCCAGGATTTGTCACACAAGCTTCCAGGAGCATTCCCTGATTGATTGATTGATTGATTGATTCATTTATTCATAGACTGTCCCAGCCGCCCTAAGGCAGCTATGCAGCGTCCATCTATAAGTACAGGTGTCTCCCGCCCTTGCTTTCAGACAAGAGCCGTCCCTCCCAGAACTGCTTTCTTCCGCTCCGGCCGGTCGTCCCCCACTCATAATCTAATGATTGTTCTTTGTCTATGTACTTGTCAGGCCTTTCCTGGCCCTCCTATCCTTCTATATACCAAAAATCACTCGTCTTCGCTATGTGTGTTTTAGTACCGTGGATGGTACTGCTCGGAATTGTCCCAGCAGTCCTGTCCTCAAGATCATTTTTGCTGCTTGTACTGCCATTGACGGGCTGCAGAGAATGCGTTTGATGTCGATGCATGGAGCCTTGCCTGCCCACATTCGATATCGCTCATCTGCCCAGTTTCGGCACTCGAGCAGGACGTGCCGTACGGTTTGCGGCCCGTGGCCGCATTCGCATTGGTCGGAGTCGGCCTTGTTGATGGCGTGGAGGTATGCACGTAGGCCGACCTTGCCCGTGCGCATCTGTGTGATGGCGGAGCTGATCGCTCTGTGTGTGCCAATGTGCGTGTCGAGTATCGCCCTCCCTGGCCTCACTCCGAGCCTAAACAGCTCTCTACCGTGCTTGGCATTCTCCCAGGCCGTGTCCCACTCGCCTCTCATCGCTCGACGGATGATGGACTTGGTTGTTGCCGTGAGTGTTCGCAGGGAGTCTGCTTCTGGCGGTCGCTCAGTGTTCGCTTCCGTACTTAGATTGGTTCCGGTGGCCTCTTTCGCTGCTTGGTCGGCCACCTCGTTACCTGGCACTCCAACATGTGCTGGAATCCACCGGAACTGTATTTGCCACCCCTGGCTCCGAAGCTCTTCGAGTGCTCGAATAGCCTCGGTCAAAATGTATTGCCCGGATGGGTGCTTGGGGTTCCGAATGGCTTGGATCGCGGCTTGGTTGTCAGTGAATACAGCGGCGCATCTGCCTCCAGGAGCGTTCCCTGTTATAGGAACATCCAATTTAGTCTAATCTTGTCAGATCATTCCGTGGAAAATTGCTTGGCATACAGTCGTCTAGTTCACTCCGCTAGAGGCTGACTTTCAGCTGTTCCAAGCGGCCTAGAACAGTGCAGTGGCACCGTCTGGGAAAGTTAGTGGGCTGACTTTGTTAGCGTCGTTCACAAATACATTAATGGCCTGCCCACCCTTTGCCCTGTTGTGGCCAGTTCTAATTCATCATATTCTATTCAGAGATCGCACACTACCCATTTCACTCTCAATATGACGACTAGTGGTGCAGGGGAAAATCATCCCGACACAATTAGAATATCAGATGAGAATGAAGAAAGATTTCCAAGAACCGACCCAGGTAATTCACGACCTCGGAGCCACCCTCAGACAGATTCGAGATATGTGGAAGTTCCCGGCGTACTCGTTGAATTAAGCGCAGATACATGTGAGACAACAACATCACGGAAAAGAAAACGAACGAAATCGAGCGAAGTGTCTACCTTGGTATGGCCTGATTGCGTGATTAGACATCATCTTCCGTGGCTGATCAAGACTAGGATCATGCTTTCAAGAAGCTCCGAACCGCACTTGACCATGAAATTACAACATTGCGAGATACAAACCGACAGCTCCAAGATGAACTTTGCGTGGCGAGGCACGAGCATCAAAAGCTACAAGCCAAACTCTCGCAGTTAGGCAGAAAACTAGTCTTAGAGTGCACGGTTTGCTACGAGCAGACAGGGAAATGGGCGGCACTTGTATGTGGGCACATGTTTTGCCGGTCGTGCGTTGAAAATCTCGACAAGCCAGAGAGATGTCCACTCTGTAGGGCATCCATCACAGGATACCTCACCTGCTACCCATTTGCAGGATGAATTCCAGCAGTGCAGCCCTGTGGAAAAATCGTGACACTTTTTCTTTATGTGTGGTTTATCAGGTTATTGGGGTGCAATATACCAGTTTTTAATTTCCGGCCCGCGTTCTTCACTTTTTCCAGGTTGTCTTGTCGACAGCATAGAAGTAAGTACTAAATCGGTTCTCTCCATTGAGATCATAACCATGGTCAAGCGAACAAAGAACTGCAGGAAGAGTGAATTTGAAAATGATGAGAACGCTAACCATCCTCCTACCTATCACAAGTTTGTGTTTATGAAGGGAAAGGAGTAAAATGTATGCTGATTGCTTTGCTCGAATGCTCTCGAGATGATCTTAAGCAGTCTGTATTTCGTCTATCGTTGTTCCGCATATGTTGTTGTGCAGACGTTTGGTATTATGAAAAACTGTCGAACGAAATATGGGCGATCATACCGCTAGACCAAAAAGGCACCATGGGTGAAATTCTTAGTCTATACTTCTTGTTTTGACAAGAACTTTGCTCCAACACTGGGCAAATAAAGGCAGCAGAGATCTGGGTAAGTAGCAATGAAAGACCCGTCTTTCCAGCTACAAAGAGGTCACCTGTAATTCTCTATCAAGCTATGTACAAAGAGATCTGGATTCAGGCATGTAGGGAAGATTGGCCTTTGAAGACAGGGCCGAGTCCGGTATATACGTAAGTGGTTCCGTACCCGGCCGTAAAAACAATCGGAAGAAGAGTGTCGGCTCGTCATCCATAGGCCCAGAGATGATGCTCAGCATCTGTCTGCGCACCCAGCAAAGATCACCTCTGGCAGATTTGGTCGGAGACAGATGGAACAAATGCTCCTCAATTGTTTCGCCCGTGATCCGATCTAGCCCTGTAAGATGAATCACCACCCAATGCAGTAGTCTGGCCGGAACAAATGCCGACATATAGAGCAATATGTCGTCGGTTTCAGTGGTGTGCGATAGAGGATCTGGACCCGGCCACATGAAGCCCGCTTGAAGATTCTGGGGGTCAGGAAAGAGAATACACTCGATCGGAAGTGGTGTCGGAGCGATAGAGCCAACAGGCTGGTCCTCGGTAGTTGGATCTAGTAAAAATCCATCATGGTCGGTGGCGAGGCAGGGGGGCATGGATGGTATGTCGGACGAGTTGCACCAAAATTCATGAAGGTCAACATAGTCTACACTCTAGTGAGCTTAGTACCTTACATTTGAAGATAGGGTAGAGTACGTACCATTCTCGGGAAACCCCATATTCAGCTGTCCTGGGCTCGAGAAAAGCAAAAGACAGAGGGGCCAGAGGCAGAAAGCCAATAAAAAGCAGCAGTTTCTGAGGATAACGAGCTGCTAGAAGTTGGAGGAGCCCTTGAGGGGATCTAATATCTAAGGTGGGCTGTCGGGGAATCACAAGATTTATCTATGGGCACGGTGAAGGGGCCTCTATCCAAAGCCACGAAGTCAACTTTCTCTCCTTATGGACACCAAAAATGTTCAACGGTGATAATAGCATCATTGATAACGGTGAATGATCCTTGTGGCCTCCCGTCAGCCACTTTTTGTGCATGTTTCTAATCAGATCTAGATTCTATCATTACAGCTGGTGGACTTGGTATCTCCACACTTTGTTTCCGACCCGGTCAGACGGAGGGCAATCACATTTATAAAAAGTTTTCATGAAGAATTTTAAATTCAGCATGTGTGTAGCCCACAATTATTGTCTATAGCATACCCAGAAAGAATTTGCGCAGTACAGAACCATTCTACGTATCCTCAATTTCAGGAAGCTCCTCTCTATCGTTCAAGTCGCACCGGTGAAACGCTGGGATTGTGTTCAAATGTTCATTACTTTTTAACTAGCTCACGTGTCTTTAGAGGTACAACCTCGATATGTGCTAATGCGGCTGGTTCCGGCCCTCTCGGCACAACTTCGGATTCCAAGAGTAGCTCTCAATCGCACCGTTGCTTCGCGAAGCCTTACTGCGGATTAGATCCTGTCGAGTGTCTTGCAGAACGTGCCAGAAGTGCGCGCCAAGTAAGTCAGTCACTAAGTATCGCTACTGAGTGAGCTCCCCTACTTGTGGGTTGGGTTGTCTTGAGGTGAACTGTGAAGTGCAAAGTACTAAAGGTAGTAACCAAGTAACAATGTGAGATTGATCGCGAAGAACTAAATACATGATGCTAAATGAGTGTCCTTATATATCCTGTTCTTCCCTTAGGTAGTGGTGGTAGATGGTATAGTGGTAGATGACTCTTGGCATGGTCTACCCGTATACCAATCTACCCTTCTACCATCCTGTGGTCACGTGCTGAGGCGGCCATCCCCTCAGGGCCTTCGAGGTGTGCCTGAGTATACCGAAACGCACGTGAGGACGCTAGGCACTAGCGTTCGTAGAATGATTGGTTCTCGGTTGCCCCTCAAATAGCTGCGGCCCCCGCGCCTCTTTGAGGTCCGTAACAATAGTTTATTAGTGACAGATCGTGTCTCGTGTGTATAACTATATATATCCTGGATAATATCTGATGAATGGACACAGTGTTCTTGATCATCCTAATCATTTAGCGATCACTTATTCCTAGAAACCTTCCTTAACTATAGCTGCTTGTTATGATCTTTCTATCATGAGGCTATTCCCATGTTCATGCCTTACGAGAGATGTGACAGCCTGAGGCATCCAGCCTCAGGCATCCCACGACTGCGAGGTTGATAAGGGCTTACAGTCCGGCGGTGTATGGGTTAGCCTTCGGTCGCGTATCGACGGGGTTGTACTGCATAAAGGCCAACATCAACCCACAGAGTCGATCTCTCAGCCTCGGACCTGTGAGCTCCGAGGAGGCAGTCTCCCTTCTGTATATAAAACCCCAGCTTCTTGAGAGGAATAGAACCTCTCGAGAAACAGTCTTTTTGACAATTGACACCCGCTGGGTGCGCGTCTCTTTCTTGCCTGACCAACAGGCCTTTCTACCCTGCAAGTAGAGTATATCATGACACCGCTGTCCCTAAGAACTTATTAGTTGTTTAATTCATCTGTTGATTTACACGTAACATGTATACGAGTTGTCCTGTTTAATCAGGATGATTAGCTCCCAGTAGCCCATCCCATCTGTAATCTGTGGACCTTCCTGTCCATAAAACCAGGGGCGAGACCCACAAGTATTGGTTTTTCCACAGCAGGAAGACCCACTTGAGCATAAAATACCCTTAGCAAAGGAGATAGCACAAACTTGTAAATCTATCTAAAAAAATGACTCTGCTTACAATGAATATCTGGTTAGGAGATCTCTACGTTACCGCCCGCTTCCAGAGTCCTTTATAAAATGCCTGTATTGTTCGACACTCTATTTGGCTATGACACGAAATTGATTTCAAAACGAAGTTCTAAGATTAAATGAAAATTAATCAAAGCCATTCTCGTGTTCTGATAATATTTCGTGCACTGGATTTTCTAGATTCATCCACTTGATCAACTGTGTACATAAATATTGTAGAGGGGTTCGCTCGATGGCTGTGTAGCTAGGATGCAAAGGTCGAACCGTCTATTCAAATAACACCAGAGGCACCAAGCCAGCGTGTGCAGGGGGGATCGATGATAGCCATAAGGAACATAGGGAGTGAAATGAGAGAGATGATGTAGTAGGAGTGCGTCTTACTATATTAGCTAGCATAAGAGACTATTGTTACGGATCCCCGGGGAGTCATTTGAATCGACAGGCATGATATTCAAGTTATTTAAACCCAGTAACACATGAGCATCCCTCATGCCCCCCCCCCCTCTCCCCCCCAACAATCTCCACTAACCTCAGCCGCGTGCGAAGGATTCAAACGCAAAAGCTGAGCACATTGGGCAGATAAATAGATTCAGTAAGATATCTGATTGGTCATGATATCTCAGGTGGGCTGACGACCACCCGGACAGACACAAATTAGAGGCCACTTGGTAGCCGTGTACATTAAATGGGGCGTAAGGAGTAGGTCTGTCCTAACTCCTGACTATTCGATACTTGCATCTTATGGAACTCGGGTTATTACGGAATAGGTACGAAGTACATATGCAATGTAAGGGGGATGGTGGGTGTCTTGGATCCCAAATCTTATATGTTTATCGACATATGCCCATCGGTTGGCTTCCATTCCAATGTTGCATAAGTTGAGATCAGACGACGAACGGCACTCATAAACACGATGACAGACGATGTCAAGCGCCCATGGGGCTATAGATGGCGTTCATCAAAGATATTTATCCTTTCAACCGTCACGATCGCCTTGTTCGCTGGTAGTATTCCCCTCTGTCCCTTTACCCGGCTCTTGTGCGATCCCTGACTTGACTCCCTAGAGACCTTCCTTTATGGATTCGTGGTCCCCGTTCTGAGCTACATGATAGAAGTTCGCCTGCAAATTGACCGGTCGCAAACTCAGCGTCTCACCACTGCACTACTCAGTATTCACGGCTTCGTTTCCCTCATATCCGCACCTCTCATAGGCCATTATGCGGAAATGTCTCCAAACAGAAAGACCCCGCTGCTTATGTCCCTAGGAGCATGCCTTGCAGGAACGATCCTTGTGGCATATACACCTTCTCGTACGCAAGTCAATTTTTCCCAAAGCGTGCTATGGTGGGCTAATCACAAACACACACAGTTTGGGCACTCTTTCTGGGGAGAATCCTACAGGGCGTGGCAGGCTCTGCCGCATGGATCGTGGGACTTGCAACACTGGCAGATCATGTGGCATCAGACAACATGGGAAGCACTATTGGACTAGCCATGTCTATTGTTGGAGCTGGAACTCTGGGAGGGCCCATGGCCGGTGGCGCTCTACTGGAGCTGGTAGGGTACTGGCCTATGTGGACTGTGCCGCTTGCAGTGCTCTTACTAGATGTTGCTGCACGATTGATAATAATCGAGAAACAACAAGAAATCTTACTCCCTAGTCATCGCCCCTCGGAATCTTCCATGAAAATCTCGTCTACATTATCCGAACTCGCCGATCCTCTTTCCCGCCAGGGGACAGAGACCTCCCCAATCCTTGCGACTTTCTCCGACACGTATCAGTCTATCATCAACGAACCAGCACACTGCAAACCCGTGGAGATCAAGGAGGGTCAAGGTTTCTACACCATAATACTCCGGAATGGCTCCGTTCTGGCAGGTCTATTCCAGACGCTCGTATACTATTGCATTGTAGCCAGCTTCAACGCTACACTACCACTCCACCTTCGTGAAATATTTGGTTGGGGAAGCTTACCGGTAGGAATGCTCTTTCTGGCTCTACAAGGGCCTTTCATTCTGCTGGGTTCCACCTTTGGGAAGCTTTATGATCGCCTAGGTCCCAAATATCCGACGACGGTAGGCTGGCTCCTAATGATTCCGCTCCTAGGATTCCTTAGCGTTCCTGGGGAAGTGCAATTTCCGTGGGCCAGTGCAGAGATTCATGGGCCAGCTATTGTTGTTGCAAGTGTGCTTTGTATCGGTATTGCTTTGACTTCAGTGCGTGGTGCAGGGACTTTGCAACTGAACGGTACGTTTTGTAGTATGAATCATTGTGCTGGAATTACATGCTGATAACACGCTATCGGTAGAGGTCGTGAATCGTTTGGAGTCTGAGAATCCGGGGATATTTGGACCAAACGGGGCCAGATCCAGGGCATTCTCTCTGGCAGAGTTACCAGTCAACCTTGGAACCATGGTTGGGCCCTTGATCGCAGGTCTATTATCCGAGGCCGTCGGGTACTCTTGTACGAACTTTGTTCTAGGTACGTATCTACCAATATCTTTATTTCAAACCGAGTCTCTAATTGACCGCACAGGCATAATGTGTCTCATTGCTGCAACGCTTTCATGGAGATTTCTTACTAGCAGAGATAGGGCGCAGGAGTAAAGGCTGCACAGGCTTCAAATGTTGTTTTGTTCATCACCACGTCTGCTCGGCTTAGAACTGGCCAATACATAATGGTAAAAGGAAATTTCGAAAGGGATCTTCGCCCCCATTGATTACTCGTTTTATTATTTTGCCGATACCGGAGCCCATCAAAGATCTTGCGGATTGGCTCTCGTGGAGAAATTTGAAAGTTGACACAGAACCTATCTGTCGACTTGGCAAATTGCCATCACGCGTTCAACGTGATCTATAAATTCATAACCCGCACATCAGGTCGATCAAAAGAGCAAATTATCATTCATGCATGCCACAGAGGCTTACCTGCAAGCTTCAGCCAGCCACTTGCATGCCTCTTTGTGATGTATCTCATGCAGCAGTCCCAATGGACCCACTGAGCTGAAGGCTCCTCATCAGATGAAGAAAAACAAGGAGAGAAAGAGATGAGGAAATAACGATTGGTGTGGTACTGGGAGAGAAAAGTAAGTGAAGGAGAAAAATTGATCTATGTAGTAGAAGACTGAAACTGTGATTGGAACAAGAAAGCCAGTGTAAAGACTGATCATGGAACCCCCCCTGCATGTAACGTGATCGGGATAATTACGACTAAGCTTGGTCACGGTATACATCTTGACTCACCTGACTTCGTTGTACACCTGAATAAATACAGAGTGATCAACAGTTTCCATGTTCCACTTTCCATTTTCCATTATCCATTTACCTTCAAAATGTCTTCTCTGAAGCCTGCTCGCTCGGTAATCAATCTAACGGGCTGGTCTCCTCCAACGGACTATATCGCCAAAGGGGAGCCCCTTTTTGACACCTTGACTTCGACTGCTGAGGACCTACGTCGAGAATTACAACAGCAAAGAATCACTTCTGTCCAAATAATTAGGGAATACTATCGATCCATTGTCCAGTTTAATGGCTACCTCAATGCCATATACGAACTAGCACCAGGTGCCCTCGCCGAAGCTGAGCGTCTAGATAATTTGCGTGCTGATGGAGTTGTTCTCGGTGCTTTTCACGGGATTCCAATCCTTCTTAAGGTAACGTATTATCCAGATATTGAGTGATATGGAAGGGTCTAATCAGTCGTTTTAGGATAACATCGCTACGGATGCTTCTTTGGGTTTGGGAACCTGCGCTGGAGGTATCGCTCTGATTGGCTCCGTGCCTAAAAAGAATGCATCCATTGTGGAAAAGGTGAGCGAAATTCTCCAATATTTTTTGCGTTACCGGGTTCTAAGACTCTCTCGTTGACAGCTTGTCGATGCCGGTGCCATTATTCTCGGAAAAGCAACTATGTCGGTAAGAACTTCGTCGAAAAGAACTTCGCCCTTTACGCACCGCTAAGCGCAATATAGGAATATGGTGATTTCAAGTAAAGTTCTTCCAGCTTGAGAACGTATCATTAAAGTTTATTGACCCGTCCTCATTAGGAGCATGACTAACAGGTCGGGATGGTCAGCAGCAGCTGGCCAGGCGCAAAATCCATATGTGACAGGCGGCGATGACCCACAAGATGGGCTGGGTGGTCACAGTGTAAGTGAGGCAATGTTCATTATCAAATTGTCATCCCAATATTTAGCCTGACACAGTCAAGAGTACTGGTGGATCATCTTCGGGGTCCGCCGTTGCGGTTACTGCAGGTCTTAGTCCGATTTCAATAGGAACAGAAACACAAGGCTCTTTGATAGTGCCTGCAGTCAGGGCAGCCTTGTACACCATCAAAGTTGGACAAGGAATCATTCCAGGCGATGGAATTTTCCCGATCAGCCACCGATTTGACACTGCAGGACCCATGGCTAAGAGCGTCAAGGACATAGCTGATCTTTTGACTGTCCTGGTTGATTCGCATTCGACAACCGTTCCAGAGGGAGGATACTCCTCTGCCATGTGCGGGTCAGACGGATGGAAGGATCTCACTATTGGCACCCTCGACCCTGACGATTGGCTGGCCTCAGAAATGATGATCAAGCCCGTTGCCGAAGCTACGGCGCAGATTGTAAGCTAGCCAATCTGCCGTGGCATTTTCCAACAAGTTTTGAGTGACTTACTGGAACGGACTTTAGAAACACGAGACACTTTCAGCATATAAAATTATTCAAGGATTGGCCAAAAGTTACCACCAGAAAGTTCCGCTTCCCTCAGCCGAAAGCTTCAATATTAATGGCGAGGACGCATTCCTGAACATACTATGTAATATTCAATTCATCCTTAGGCTATATGGTGGCTAATAATATACAGTGGGTGACTTTCCGAGTGATTGCAATCGCTACCTGGCTGGCTTGGAAAGCAGCAGAGTCAGAAGTCTACAAGAATTGGTGGAATGGAACCGAGCCAATGGGGCTGTCGCCCTCCCACACGGTATAGATCCTATGCCACTATTCCCATTACTGATTTTTGAAAAAAAAAAAAAAAAAAAAAAAAAAACCTTGCTGATTCTTCAATGGGAATGACAGGATGTGATTCTCAAGACATTTTAGAGCATGCGTTGAAATCGAAATACACAGACGAGGAATTTTCAAAGTTCCTGAATCATGTGCAGTCGATTGGAACCAAATTTGACGATGTTTTTGAAAGGTATGGTCTGGACGTGGTTATTGGTCCTACAGACTGTTTACTTGGCATGTTCTCTGCCGTAAAAGGTAAGATCGGTATGCACTCTCTGTTGGCGCATTCCAAGAATACTAATATCACTGCCTTTAGCGGCTCCGATTGTGAATCTTCCTCTAGCTTACCTGGACTACAACGGGCGACCCATATCCCTGCTGGCGGCTGCGCCTCGCCATAAGGAAGCTACACTCATAAAGCTGATGAGTGCATTTGAGGCTACATTTCCACCCAGAAAGCCACCTGCAGCTTTCCGGCAGCGCATTGTTTGAATTTTACTGTAGACATAGTTTGGGTGCCAATGCTATTTCTACCCGATATAGAGATACAATTGCTGTAAAGTAACCAGCTCCGTAGGAACAAAAAGCTTTATTCTGTCTGGATGGCTCTTTCCACCTGTTCCTCTCTTCGGGATTCTTTTTGAATAACATTTTACTTAAACCTTCACTTCTCGCTGAATTCATAACGATGGGAATCAGTTTTTTTTCTAGTTCCATCGGTACTGTCAGGCTTTATCGTAAAAAGCAGTTCAAGGGAAGGAAGCCTCGATCTGAAAAGCTAAGGAGATACCTAGGTAAGAGCAGTCCTACTGTCAACCCTCAAAACTTGATAATGATTTAATAACTTAGAGGTATGAATGAGAGAGACACATGAGCCATCAGAACTAATACAAAGTTCTACTGACGACCTAGATTTGGGATTGAAGGATAGACCCTTGCGTTTTGGCATTATGCGTGAGATATACATCTATATTCTAACCGAAAAAAAATCCTCAGAAACAAAGAGAAAACTAATGAGAAGTTATTTTTCCAAAGACGGGTCTTAGATAATCATCTCCTCATATCTTCAATGATTAGCAGCCACCAAATCAGCAATCTTTGAGCTCCTGTAAACATCCGTAACCTGAAAGCAAAGACCATTTCTGCGGCCTAGTTGAACTAGCTTCATAGCCATGATAGAGTCTCCTCCAAGGTGGAAGAATGATTCACCCATGCTAACGGACTCAGGAGCCCGGCGAAGAACACTCGCACATATCTGTTGCAGGATACCTTCTTGGGGCGTTGATGGCTGTTTTTTCATCAGTTGTGTTTTGGCATACAATTCGAGCTCTTCATCGGTCAGCAGTGAGGCAGTTTCACGAAGGGCGCGACGGTCGACCTTGCCAGAAATGGTGAATGGAATAAGGCGTAAGACCAGGTATTTTGCAGGTACCATAGCCGAGGGTAGTTTTGTATGCAATTCGGCGTTCACGCAGTTGAGCCTTTCTTGCAGAATCTCATCTGGTGCAGTAAATAAATCCTCGGGGTGGTAATTGCCGTTGGTAGTAGGATCCGTAGACTCCACGGCAATAAAAGCCACAAGAGTTTTGTTCAGTCCCCCGGATTGAGAGCCCACGGCATCTACAACAATATGCGGAGCATCTGGTAGACATTTCTGTATGGCCACTTCAATCTCACCAGGCTCAATACGCTGACCACGAATCTTGATCTGAAAATCTTTGCGACCGACAAAGCGTAGGGAACCATCTGCTGAGTAGGATACCAGGTCACCCGTTTTGTACAAACGATTGAAGGCGGAATCGGGTCTGAATTTTGCCAGCCATGGAGGAGCGTCGGAGAGAAACGCCTTTGAAGTGGCAAATGGGTTGTTGATGTACCCCATGCCAACTTTTGGCCCACCCAAGAGCAGTTCCCCAACGACACCAATCGGGACGAGACGATTATGGTCAGATGGGTGAACAATCCAACAATCAGTAGCCAAAGGATGGCCCACACTGTTGATATCGGAGTCCACTGACACGTTAGGCTGAAGGGTAGATATGTCGCAGCATTCAGCTGGTCCATAGACATTTAGCAGGCGAACAGCTGGGCTCCAAGTCCGAACCTCAGCTGAGGTCATCCTTTCCCCTCCAACAATAATTTTCTTGATTGTGGGGAAGGATCTGGGATCCAGTTCCTGCAAAAGAGAGGGTGTAAAGTCTGCGAAGTTTGCATTCATCCGCTTTACTGAGCCCGCAAGATCATCGGTTCTTTCACTCTCTGATGGGATGCAAACACAGCCACCGGCTAATAGCGGAGCCAACATGTCGATAATCGATGCATCAAATGCATATGAAGCAAATTGAAACATCCGGGTTTGAGAGTCCAAGCCGGCTGTCTTGTTAAATGTAATCGCGAGAGTGCAAAATGCCCCATGATCGATTATCACGCCCTTCGGTTTTCCTGTTGACCCCGAAGTGAAAACAACATAGACAGGGCTTTCTGTGGAGACTGGAAGAGGTAAACTTCTGTCAGAGATATCAACCGCGGAGCGCTGCCAGCATGTCTCAACATTGCTGATGCAGATCACAGGGATTGAAAGATCAGCGCTGTTGGGCACGGATGCTTTGTTTGAGATCACAATGCTGGAGCCACACTCCTCACACATGCCCCTGATTCGCTGCAAAGGCTGGGATGGATCCATCAGCACAAAAGCTGCTCCCACCTTCAGGATGGCAAGCATAGCAACCACCGCCCAACGTGTCTTCTTCAAGATGACTGGCACGAAGGTCTTAGGTTCAACCCCTACATGTAGTAAGTGAGATGCAAGCTGGTCTGAAAGACCGCCTAGCTCACTATATGTAAATTCTCCATCCCAGGCACATACTGCAGGAGACAATGGATGTCTCTTACATACCCCTTGAACCAATGAGTGCACACAAGCATCTATCCGCTTTGGAGGGACATGCGTCCAAGCGGAAAGTGCGGCCTCGCCTTCTGGACTTAGTGGAGAGACGTCTGCAAGCAGAGTGTTGTCTGATGCCGACAGGAGCACCGAAATGACATGCAAAACCTGGGACAGGAGACCCGTAGCTTCAGAATGAGTGACCACCTGGTCGTCAAACCTGACTTGCACCCGGACTGTAAAATCAGTGTAGAGATCACATACTAAGACGAGGGCATGTGTGTGAAGCATAGTATTGACCTCTTCTTCATTCAAAAGTCCCCTGATGATATCTGACTTGATAATCTTCTCTCGAGGCATATGAATGACTAGGAGATTTCCAAACCTGCAAGCCAGCTCTGCTTCAGGGCTAACCCGTCGAATATTCTGGGTACCAAGATGTTGAAACTCCACCATTCTCGCTGATCTGCATTGGACTAGACTTAACAAATTTTTGATCGAAGCATTCTGATCCAGCTTGACCCGGACAGGGACTGTGGCGACAACCGGTCCCACTATGTTCTCTATGCCTGGGACTGGTACATCTCGGCCTGACAAAGTCATTCCGAACACAACATCGTCAGACGATGTATATTGTGAAAGGGATACCGCCCACGCCAGCTTCATTAGGGATGCGGTTGTAATCCCAGAGGGAGGATTCACCAAAATTGACTGTTCTACGCAGCTTGTCGCTCGGGATGCAGAACCCGATGGCGATGGGGTAGGGAAGGGTGTGGAATGAAAGCCGGCCATTTCATCTTTCCAGTAAGCTTCAGCCGCCGCCGTGTCGGAACTGGTAGTATATTCAACGAGTGCATTGAAAGATTGGGGCCTCAAATGATTTCCATCATACGCTTCTCTCAGTTGATGAAGGAATACGTCCTTGGACCAGCCATCATATATGGCATGGTGTATAGCAAGCGTAAAGGTAAGAGGACGTGAGTCTGGCTCTGATAGACAAAATGCGAGGAGCGGGTAGCCAGGCTGAATTTCCAGATCATTGACCTCTTGCAATGTACTCCAGCGTGGTGGATCACGAAAGACGACTTGAAATGTCCCATGTTCGCTGTTGGTAACAATTCTGCTGCGCAGCGCGGAGTTCGCGAGTAGCACAGCATACCATGCGTCTTGAAATCGAGATAATGATATATTGGCATCAAGTTCAAATACAAGATAGGCCAAATATGCTCCAGGCGTGCGCATAGAGAGTGCAAACAGCGCTTCCTGTAATGGAGTAGCAGGATGTATATCCTCGATCTGATCATCATGTCCGGCCATACATGATTCGAGGGAATGCGAGATAACGGCTTCGCGGGTAGAAGATTCCAACAGGGCGAATGGATGAGGCCTGTTCAAAAGCTCACTTCCATTCTGTCTTCGCATTTTGGATGCCAGATCTTGAAGAATTGGGAACTCGAAAACAGCCGCCACTGTCAACTGATACCCATTTTTTCGGGCCGTCTTTGTGAGCTCCATGGCGCCAAGTGAGTCTCCGCCAAGGTGGAAAAAATGATCATTCAGCCCAACCTCATCTTCCTCAATATTGAACAAGAAGGTAATCATCCTCCGCAGGGCAGCTTCCTTGTCAGTGGAGGGGGGCTGTTTATGCCGAGCTTGAGCACGATACGATTGAAGAGTGTGCCGGGAGAGTGCAGATGCTGCTTTTCTTAACATTTGACGATCAACCTTCCCCGAGGAGCTCAATACCGGCCGCCTCAGCGGTAGGAAGACTGTAGGAATCATGTAAGAGGGCAGATGACTATGAAGATAGGTCTCCGCGTCGGAAACACGGCGTATGAAGCCCTGTTTTCCTCCGGTCGCGAATATGCTGTTTTGCATATCGGGAATTTCGATGTCTGATTGGGCTTCTTCTAGGTTGCTCCGCGGATGGAAGATGAAACCTGCAAGCACCATCTGATCTGGGTCGTTTGCTGGAGTGATAACCTCAACCAGGACCTGTTTGGCATCTGGAAAGGCCACTGCCATGTGAGCTTCTATATCGCCGAGATCCAGCCTCTGCCCTCGTAACTTCACCTTTGTTGATGTTAGATGACTGAAGAAAGTTGCACGAATGATCGTCACAGCATACCTGATTGTCTTTACGTCCGACAAAATTAAGTGAGCCGTCTCCCTTAGTGCTGTATTTCACCAGGTCCCCGGTCCGATAACAGAGGCCATGCACATTTTGTCTGAGGGTGGTGAGCCATTGAGGAGGCTGTATGAATTTTTCATTTGTTCCGTCGGGGTTATTGAGATATCCGCGTCCGACGATAGGCCCTTCAATTAAAAGCTCACCGACTGACCCAATTGGCACACGTCTACTGACGTCGTCGGGATCAACAACCCAACACACCGCTCCCACCCCCCAGCCGATGTTGTTGAGATCTCCTTCTGGTGTAAGATTTTTCCTTATGGTGGCCCCCACTGCACACTCAGCTGGACCATATTCATTCAGGAGGTGGGTATGTTTTGACATCTCGAGGTCTGAAGCCCGATACTCTTCTCCGACAAGTGACAGGTGGTCGAGTAATGATATTACAGAGGAGCTCAGACTCCGTGCGACAGATGGAGTCAAATAAGCTCGGTTCACTGCATAATGGCGAATTGTTTGCTCAAGCTCACCTTGCAATTGAGTTTCGCTGGCAATGCAGATGCATCCGCCATTGACCAAAGGGAAAATAATTTCCGCGATGCAAGCGTCAAAAGAAAAGGAGGCAAATTGCAGAACTCTAGAGATTTGGCTGAGCTGGAGAGCTTCGCCTCGCTTGATAGCATTTGTTGCGACAGCCGCATGATGGACCAGAACGCCCTTGGGCTCACCTGTGGACCCAGACGTAAAAAATAGGTATATGGGATCCTGCGGTCTAACCAAAGGCCTTTCCTGCAACATGTCACAAGGTCCATCTTTGATCCGCTCATCAATCTCTATCAAATCCACATCTTCACTGAATCCACAAAGATTTTCAGCCAGGCGTGGTGAGGAGAGGATTATCTTAGCTTGCACTCTTCGACAAAGGTCCTGGACTCGATTGACAGGCTGACTGGAACTGAGCAACAAAAATGCTGCGCCAATTCTCATGACAGCTAGCATGGCTACCACGGCCCATTTCGTCTTTTCCATGTATATCGGGACGAAGCTACCAGGCGCCGTGGAACGATGGCGGAGGCTTTCAGCCAAGACAGAGGACAGCCTGTCAAGATCTTGGTATGATAAGTCACCATCCCATGCGTGAACCGCAGGAGCATTGGGCTGTGTGACAGATTTCTCAATTATGAGCTCATGGGCGCATGCTTGTATGCCTTCTGGAACAGCGGCATTCCAAGTATGAAGCTGCTCCACATGAGCGGGGCTTAGACTTCTCACATTCGCCAATTTCTCTTTGGAATACATCAATGTTCGCTCTAAATTAGAGGCAAACTGATGCAAAACCCATGTCATCAGAGCACATGTAATGCTCTCAGAGTCATGTGACACAGTAATTCCAATATTTCCATTCTCGTCGTCACAATCACATGTGACCATCAACGGATATTGCTTGCCAGTGCCTTGACTGGCTGTGAGTGGAGCTTTTGTGGCATCAACGGATGATCGGGAAAAGATGCTTAGGACATTTTGGAATTGACAGGCCAATGCAACATCCTCATCCAAACAAGAAATATCACCCAAGGTACCTGGATCAGTAGTGCGTATATACTGCTCTTGGGATTCAAGTATCAACAAGGCAGCTTCGACCGTCATTTCAGGTTGCATCACAATGCGGAATGGATGAACATTGCCGTCGGGAGTGTTGGTTCTGGTGGAAGACGATAATTGGCCAGTAACTCCGAACACGACGTCCCATGAGCTGGTGTATTGCGACAATGTCATTCCCCAACTGAGGTAAATGCTTGCATATAATTCCTTGGTTGTGTGGTGGGAGCCTGGTAGGCAGAATGAGAATTGCTGTTTTTCGAATGTGCAAGCATGTGGCTGCATAGGGCGAGATGGGAAGTGTGACGAGCTGAATCCCCCAAGCAGACTTTTCCAGAAATTATTTCTCTCCTGTATCCCCTGTGCATCGTTTGATACTTTCTCCAAGCCTCTGCAAGGGGGCTTTTGCGGATTTATAGAGTCATAGGCCTGTTGGAATTGTTGAAGAACAGCATGAAGAGACCACTCATCCGAAATCGCGTGGTATCTGGTGAGTAATAAATCATGGGTGCAGTTGTGGCAACGCGCCTGTTCCAATATCTCCAAATTGGCGAGGCGTCCTTCAGGAGGCCCGGCCATCTGGGGATCATCATTTTGACTCAGATTCGTAGTCTCCTTCCGATCGTTCCATAGAACATCCGAGTCAAGCAAGACAACACAACGAAGCTGTCCTTTATCCCCAACCACCTTTGTACGAAACAAAGGGTTGAGACTGGCGACAATTTTCCAGGCATCGCGAAGTTTTTCCAGATCACATTCCGCTGCAATTCTCAAGACATACTGAGATCGATACATACAACCAGCTTCCCTTGATTCGGCATGAACCAGACGTAGCATGCCTTCATAGGAAGTAGGCCAAGGTGTAGTTTCTTGGATCATATCCTTCGGAACTTCTTTCTGACACATAGACGACTCCAAGGATGTGGTATCGCCATCTTGAACCGTCCAGTCTTCAGAGCCGGTGTCACCCATTGCAGAATGTACTTGCGATTCTGGCGTCAATATTGGGAGAAGCACCGAAAACTGCTGAATCCGGTCAATGGCATTCAAGGGTAGAGGAAAGACAAACCAACCAACACGCGGTAAAGTATCACTAGGAATAGTGTATTGTGTAGAGGATATTCTAACACAACTTTGGAAGATGGCAAATCCGCAAGCAGCGGTATAAATGCTCACCCGGACAGACAAAGTATACCAAGATTAGTAGCAAATTGACCGTTGCGTTCGGTTTCATTATGACGACTTCTCCAACACTTCTATGGATTGACCAATCACTTAACCCTAGATGTTATCTCACCGCTATTTGACATTAGCGACATGATTTTCCTGTACCGCAATGCCCGTGATACAAGTGACCCACTTCCAAACCTTGAGCTGACGATTAAAGAAGAGCCAGGATGCATGCGAAGTACGCTCAATAAAAGGAATTTTATCCCAAGTAACTGATTAGCTAGACGTACTCAGAGTAGAATAACGATGGGTTCTCCATCGAGTATATTCCTCCGGCGATTAAATAACAACCAATCAGGCCCCAGGAGGCCTATTCCAGAACCTACCACTCTTGTCCTTTGTGCCAAGGCATTCCACCCATCCCTATCCTAGTAGACGGGTCAAAATCTGTGAACAGGAAAAGAAATGGTCTAAAGCAAGCCTCTGGAAACAGCCACCGTAGGCACAACTAATTAGAGCTGCAGGATAATTAGATAGAGTTGTGGGATATTCCTAGGTATAAAGGAGCTGCTATGTACGACAGCTCACGTGCATAATGTACATACGTGTATGCAACCAAATGCATGTTATAGGTCATGTTCCCTACAAGCGATGAATACCCTTTGAGATATTGGGATTCTGGCAGCGAGCGTGGGCGCACGCTTGTGTAACGCTTACTACAAGACTGAATGGGGAAAGAAGGACATCCGGGATATAAAATTCAGGATGGGCTGGACTCAATCGTATCTATCCGAGTTACGAGAAGCAGATCAGCTATGCTTATAAGTATCGCGACTGGCATACCATTATTAGTGATTACAGAACCCAAATGATTGGCATTAAATAGTTTGTAATTTGTTTTGTAAGTGTAATTTTTTGTTGAATAACTGAGTGTTATCGAGATATTCTAAATTGAGACCGACTTTTACCTCTTTCCAATACAATACCAAAAATGACCTAAGTGAGTTTACAGGGATTGGTCGGGCCCCCTAACTTTTGGCCCCATTGTAGGTTTAGCGCACCGCATTACTCAGCTCGACCCTCGGCGATGATCTTTCCTACATGGACAAGAGCAAATTCCGTGGTGACACCGAAGGCCCATGTCCGAGTGTTGAGCTGACCTGTACTGCCTCTTCGGTCCACCAGTGGGACCTCTTGTATGTGTCGTAACACGTCCCACATTAGCGCCATACAGTGACTACGCAAAAGTTTGGACACCCTCTCGGGACCCACATCCAGACCGCCTAGAATGTGACTTATCGCTCTCCAAATTTCGGAAATAGGAACACCCACAAATGTATACCGCTTGATAATATTATATATTTTCGATCATCTATCTAATTCTCTGCTTGACAGAGCCTATTGGGGTACAGGACTAAGGTTTCTGAGACTGTTTTCGATGTCATGGGGTACTAGAGGAGGAGTTATGAGCGGCAGAATATTATATAATCAGGGTAATGTGGGTCCTAGGGTGTCACAAACTTTTGCGTAGTAACAGTAGATCTTGTTCCTGATTTTGTAGAATCTAATCTGCAGGCCACGTGTTACTCGGTACTTTCTCAATTCTATTTCAAAATAACATCCCTTGCCTTTTACATAGATTGATACATTCTATATGCGGTTGGACAATTTTGAAACGTTCACTTTTAAGCCCCGGAATGCGCATATTTGCGGAGGCGTTTAGATCGACCAGGGCATGGGTACCACGTCGAACCGGACAGTTAATTTACAGTGATGTTGTGGTTATGGCTAGCATAGCTTCACTTTGCTTGGCGTGATCAATAGTGCATAAATCTGCAATATTGCATTGTTTTTTCAGCCAGCCATTTCCGCATCGCATATATGCCTGTCGACCGGCGATCTGGTGTTCGAGTTACTGACTCATTGGCGGGACTCTTGACTAGACTCATGTATATGCACGCCCCAGAGGGTTGCAGTCTCTTGGATCTCAGTGCAAAAACTATTTGAAAAGTCAGTTTCTACATGAGGTAGCTATCGTGAATTAAAATCTCGTAATTCAAGGTCCAGATGACTTCACCGCTCCTTGCCGCGGTTCTGAAGTCAGTCACTATAACTACTTGTATGTCAAGAAGAACGAGATACCATTTCTACCATTCTTTTTAACCTAAAAGTCAGTCAAAGCGATGGCCAGCATGCTCATACCGGTGGGACTTTTTGTTCTTTTCTGTCTCTTCTTTTACAAGTTTCTATTATTTCCATTGTTCTTCTCTCCTCTGGCAAAAATCCCAAATGCAAACTGGCACTCCGCGATCACACCTATTTGGATCCAATGGAAGCGATTCCAAGGTGAAGAAGTTCCTACTTTTGAGAGAATGTTTGCAACAAAGGGGCCTATTGTCAGAATTGCGCCAAATGAGATTGCCGTAAACGATATGGATGCCATCAAGGTCGTCCATGGGTATGCGCAAAACAATTGCACCAAGCCTGATTGGTATTTGGTGTTCATGCACAATGGGTGAGGTTCTTTCCTAGGTGGCTAGGCATATTCCTATGTTCATTTGCTTACCTGGAGAAATATAGCGCTCGAAACTGCTTCTCATCACTTGGTCACGAGCATTCTTTGCGTCGGCATAGAATCAGTTCTGTGTATACTAAGCCTTTTGTTCAATCATCACCTCATATCCGTGCTTTGTTCTCCCATTTACTACAGAACGGACTTTTACCAATTCTCGGAGAGCATGCGCAAGCTGGCACTGCGTTGAATGTTCTTCCAGTAAACTTTTCCTTCAGTCTGGACTTTGTTTCTTCATTTATTTTTGGACTTTCTCGAACCACGAACTTTTTGCGCCAAATTGAGGCTCGGGATAAATGGTTAGACTCTTATGCAGCAGTCTACTCTGGAAAGCCCCTTTTTTGGCTACAAGAATACTTCTCTGTCGTTTCTCTGCTAAGAAAGTTGAGTATTCCGCTTGTGTCAAAGGGATACTTTAACACAGTCAATCTATTTGATTCCTGGATCCTTCCTCGTATTGACGCAACTGAGGCAGCTTTGGGCCAATCCAACAGAGACGATGTCACACCTGGTCATTTTCCAGTCATGTACGACAAACTGCGATCAGGTATGCTGGAGCAAAATGCCGATGATGGAATTGAAGCCAAGGTTCCATCATCCGCACAGCGAATGGAACTAGCCAGTGAATGTTTGGACCATTTAGGTAGGCTTCCATCTTCTGCAATGCTGCGCTGTGAAAGCCCAACTTTAGTTACTAATTTAGATACAGTGGCGACTCGAGATACATTTGGTAAAATATCCAACTGGCCTACCTCGTTATATTGGTAGTAACCTTACTAATGGTGAACCTCTAGGAATTGTCTTCTCCTTTGTACTCTTGTATATTGCGCGTCACCCAAAGGCTCAAAAGAGACTCCACGAGGAGCTACGTTCCATGACTGGCGTTTTCCGACCTAACAACAATTCTGAGGATTCGATGCCATCTGCGAAAGATTTAGAGTCACTGCCTTACCTCAATGCCGTGTTGAGGGAGTCCATTCGTTTACGTGGTAATGTCCCTACTTCTAATCCGCGTTATACCCCAGCGGGCACAGCGACAACTCTGGGACCTTACAAGAATATTCCTCCAGGTGTGAGGATTAGCGCTTTTGCTTGGTGTTTGCATAGAAACGAAGACATATTCCCAGACGCAGAAGCATGGATACCAGAGCGTTGGCTCAATGAAGATAAAACAAAATTTGAACCCGGTGAGCTTGAGCGATGGTTTTGGGCATTTGGAACAGGCAGCCGTCGCTGCCTGGGACAGAATCTGGCATTAGAAAGTGAGATGATCCTCCGCTCTTCCCAAGTTTGAAGTCGTTTCTCGTCATGCCCATGCGCTCCCAACACGTGCTAACAGTCTCTATGATAGTGCTCCGCTTTTCCATGGCGGCCATCTTCAGCAACTTTGAAGTATCGATTCACGATGATAGTCGGTTCATCAACGCATCGCGATTCGTTACTGGAAAAGGGGGCGAGACGTTAGAATTAAAATTTAAGCACGTCTAGGCTCTAGCCGATAGCTGTGCGCTGTTGGGATGGGCCCATGGCCCTGGATGGACAACAAAGGTTGAAGGAGTCATTGCACAAAACGGCAGCAATGCAGGAGATTTTGAATCAAAAAATGCGTAAAGGAAACCATTCGAATATCTCTAATGGAAGCGCTACATGTTACGTAGTATGAAAGAAGATACCGATCTGCAAGGATCAAAAGAAGAGAATTGAAGCTCTATCTACGGGTATACGCAGGCATATGTGATTATAACCCTAACGCTTGCAGCCTGTAATTCAAAAAATGAATATATCGCTATCTTTGTTTCAGAAAAGCCGTGACAACTGTGGTTTGTATATAATATGCGTTGTTTAAACAACCGTTTCGTACGACGTGTACGTCAATTTGGGTCAACTTTGGTGATAGTGATTTCTAATCTTTATATCACGTGAATTCGTGCGGTTATGGCAAGTGGTTGACTTAGCCGGTTGATTGTGATAAACTGGCACCCCCAGTTCATCAAAATAATCTATGTGACTTCAGCTCGTCCCTCTGATTTAGTTTGATCTAATCTGAATGCAGCGAATCTTCCAAAACCGGGTACCTACATTGATCTACCCTAGTTGTTGTAGTATTCTGAGATGGGCCTTCGAATCGGTTAAATTAATGACAGTCCGTCTCCGGGATTGACCATCAAAACTCGAGTGGTTGGTTGGTAAGGATTCTGGTGAACCCGGGAAATTGTATGAATAATAATCTTTTAAGGATTTAAACGAAAACTAATACGTATTCAGTGCAGAATTTAATCTTGAACAACCTAAAACACTATAAATCATTATGGCGGACCATTTGGATGAATTCAGGATCCAGGTCAATCTATGTTGACCACTTTACGGGTCCTCTTGAATAGGTCCAGAGCAGCACACTTTGGCCCCGTCGTCAACGAATCTGTATCAAAGTTTTTCGCTGTGTGCTGCTGAATAGGTGTGCGCGGGTTTACTTTCAGTAATGGAAGTAATACACAAAATTATATGGAGCTACTCAGTCTTCCCGAGAATGCTACCTAGTAGAGTAGTATAGTCGGAGTCGAAAACAGATTCCCCTTAGGACACATTGACTTTGCTTTTCTGCCCGTACCCGAGAAAACGATAAGCCGTAATTAGTTACCCTGGAACGGCTGCTGCTTGCAATATCGCGTTGTAGCCTTTGGCTTCATCTTTGTCTTAATATTTTCATGTTCAAGGCTGTGCTATTGCTGTAGAGTAATGACACTGGTAGTCTTATATGGTTTTGTTTTCTTGCCTATGGTTCCTACTACTGCTTCTACTCGTAGCTGACGTGTGGAACCCCCCACGTAAGCTGACGCAGATCTCGAGGACTTCGATCGCGTATAAGAGTGAGCGATAGGCTATATTACTCTGACTATACCTCTTAGCCTAAGGGCTCGAGCTACTGGAACAGGATTCTCAATACTCCCTTCCTACGCTAAGATACTTCAGGAGCCCCTATACTAGCCGGTCCCCTGGCGTCACATATCTTGCTGTATTCTTAACAATTTTTCATCAAACTTGATGTCCGACGGCATTGCTTCTGACGAGATACATTTGCTGCATGGCACAGTAATTTAAGCGGAAACAAACGAATACTGACAGCATACAGCTCGAAAGCAAGCACATCTCTAAGTTATCTGTAGCCGCCGGCTACGAGTTCATCAAGGAAAAAGAAAACCAGGGAGAACATTCATTTGGTATGAGGCAAAGGATTGACATTGCTATAAAGCGCATAGTACCTCTGAGAGCCTGCCGAAAGATTGTGATCACCGAAAAGAGTTAGAACACAGAATGCTTGAAACTGGCTAAATGGGACTGATTCGATGGACGGCCAACTTTCGCCTATTCATCTAGTCAAATATAACCTGCGCACTTTGGTGAGCTATGAGGGTACCGGGTCGCACTTCTGTGTATTCATTAACCATTTGGGAGTTCAAATAGCAATCCATGCCCGTCTTCCAATAGACCGCATGAGCGCACTTGGGCTCCGAGCTGCATAGTTCGACACACTTCTGGAAACTCTGTATTTGATGAATATAGCCGACATCCTTTGCGGTGTATCAGGCTTCTATTTACTGTGAGCTGCATGGTCTAAGGGCGGTTAGATTTAACTTACGTCCACGGCATAAGATTCGATATCTCTTTCCACCAATATCGACAATTTTACCAGAGTCCTTATCTCCAGTATCTAACAGGAATTAAGCCCTATAATCATAAATTGCAGAGGGGTTTCAAATTGAGACTTACAATCGATCTTGTGAGAAGGAGGTGTTGACGGCTTCTTGTACTGAGCCAGTTCGTCGGCAAGTGATTGACTGTCTTTCCGACAAGTGTCCAAGGCCTCCTGGCCCGCGCTGATCTGGGAGGCCATGCTGTCTATTTCTTCTCTCAGCTGATCTTGATTGAGACTGAGCTCATCTAAATCAGCCTGACACTCCGCCAACTGCGCTTCGGCACTCTCGTCGATGGGACCTTCGTCCTCATCAATGGGCGATTCCTCGATCCGATACGTCATAAACTCGGTATCTTCCCTGTGACTCAGCGAGGGAAGCGTGGAGTGCTTCGCTAACCATCACGGGTTTTTTCCACCTTTCCTGGCGGACCACATGCTACCGACGCAGCCATCTGAGCTTGCACAAGCGAGGGTGCACTTATCGGGGCTGTTGGCACGGTGAGACGCGTATTGTTTGGTAATTGGGCGCGCATGTTGGTCACAGTGGTAAGTGACTATAACATCGCTGGAGCCAACGCGTTCTTCGTCACGGGGCGGAGAGCATAGCGCGTCATAATACTCTTTAGGTGATTAAGCGCATGCCAGTCCAGTCAAAGGTAGGACCAATATGAAGAAGGATTTCATGTTGGAGCTAAAAAGGAAGTGCCTCAAGGGTGTTAAGGGTTGTTCTCTTCTTGAAAGGACATGTAGGAGCTCAGTGGACGTACCTGACGCTATTTATAAACCTTTTCTGATAACCGGTAGTAGTAATAGATCTGTTTCAAATAATTGGCTCCACGATTACAAGCGGATTGGTCGTCACTCTGCAAGGAGCGGCTCCTTTATTGAATCCCGTGCAACACGAATTGGATCTCGAGCATGCGAGGCTTCCAGTGCTCACAGAAGAGTAGATCAGACCTGCTCAGTGAGCTGATCAGAGGAGATCTACTCAGTGAGCAAAAGCGGCGAGGGGCTGAGCACTAAAACGGAAGGGGAAAGCCAAGACGTGGCATAGGAAATCCGGTCGGTAGGGGATTCGCTGTGTCCGGAGATTCTGTAGGCCCGAGATCGACTCCTTGCATCTTTGACACCAACCTTGCCCTTCTACGCTTTAATCATCGATTATTTGCAAAAAAAAAGCCATTCTCTGTTTCTCAAACGATTAGGCCATTAGACCATTTATCCATGCCTTTTCGAAATCTTTCTCTCGGGGATGTGATGGATGGCGGCAAAAGCGTCTTGCTAGCAGGTTTGGAAGGCGGCAAGGTTATCGCAGTTCATGGTAGGCCTGCTCTTGAAAACTCCGTCAACTTGGCAGCTCAGGTTGGTATAACTGTTCTACCAATCGATATTGCTCTGATTTTTGCCACAATCCGTTAGGCAGCAGGCTGGAGTATTCAGAACCCGATTCTCGCTGCCTGCACAGTTGTTGGCGCCACCGGAGCGACTATTCTGGCAGCCCCCGGCCTTGCAACGGGCCCAATTCTCTCGAGTATAGGTTTTACGATGAGCGGTATACAAGCAGGTATGTGGTAGAAAGGCCAAACTTCTCTCTATCTCTTGTGCTATAAAGCCTGAGTAACCGCGTGTTTTGCATACAGGGTCTGTGGCTGCAACCGCCCATAGCTGGATTGGAAACATTGTAGCGGGTAGCGCGATGGCAATAGGACAAAGTGCTGGTGCAGGAGGAAATGGATTAGTCATTATTAACGGAGCTGCACAGTTCGGAGGTGCTGCAATGACTGTGGGAAGTGCTAGTCTACATGGATCAAAGCTAAATTATGATTCCCATATTCCTTCAACTGATTGCTCAAAGTAAACTCGCTAAACTTTACTACAATCTTTAGTTTTGCTCGCTGAAAGTAGATCCGGCGCTCTGTACTCTTGCTCCCGCTATATTAATGCATTACTGGAGAAGCACGACAAACCCCTCTCCGTCTTGGCTGTTATTTTTTGGGACATGATCAAAAGTATCGCAAACACACATCTATTGCTGCTTTTCTAGGGGAAAAAAGCTATTGATCTACCAACATGGGAACGAAATAAAAATCATCATCACTGTAACCACAAGCCCTGGCAGCAAATTCAAACTCGTGATCTTTTCTGCAAGTCGGTAGGTCTGACCATTCCTTCTTCAATATGAGTTGACACTCTCCATTACCTGCTTTCTCATCCTCCTCCTTAGCAGCATCGAACATGTACTGAAGCACTGCCCGACAGCCCATCTGCGTCCCAGCGCGTCGCAGGTAGTTCTTGGTATCTGGTGGCCACTCGCTCCGATTGTTACAGCGCCACTCGATATTTGCAGCAGTAGGAGCTCTTCCAGCATTGAGACACTCCACAGCGATTCGGAAAATATTTACAAAGCCTTTTCGCAGTGATTTGTTGGTTTTGAGGTTCCTTCGCACATCGGGATCGAGGTATACGAGGGTGTAGTCGTTGTCCTGTATCCAAAAGCTGCCATCATCAATTTCCTCCTGATTGAGGTCGTAGTTGGTCTCGCCCTGACAGATCAAAGAGCTCCTCATTCGAGGAGATAGAAATCCTTCCAGGCACTCTCCGCATGTACACCCGTATCGGAGACATGCTTTATCAAGCCCTGAAGCATCCATTTCCAACAACATGGAGAGACAGGACACTGCGGTGTCGGGATACCCTTTAAAGTGATCTGACACATTCAAGATTCTGAAAAGGCCATATGGCTTTCGTGTACGCATTGTCTCTAACTTCTCCTGCAATGCTCGGAGTGGTGTGTACCCGTCAATATCACGGGCTGTCTTCCAGGAGTCGGCGTGGTGAACATTTTCCAGTAGCCACCGTGTGCTCAGGGGCTTGAGTTCGGATGCCGTTAAATGCAGAAGCGTGGCTTCAGAATTGGTCACTCGATCCCAGCCAATCTCATCGGAAGCATGAGAGACGAAAAAAGCTTTGAGTTCTTCATCCATCAGAGTAAGAGCCGCGTGATGCAGCGGCAACGAGTCATGAAGCCTGTCCATTTTCAGTCTCTTTACCTCAGTAGAACGATCTGCTTCATAGATAACTTCCAATTCTTCGTCTTCAAGATCTTCAGCATGGCTTCTACGCGGATCGAAATCAGATATTACCGCAAGGGTGCGAGACTGATGCTGGAGATCGAACGAAAATGCAAAAAATCGAGTTGCTCCGATTCGGCGGAAACCGCACGATCGCCAAAAGTCAATAGCTCCGGATTGAACTCGAACCCGCGTCATTAAGCGCTCTTCTGCAGACTTGCCCACTAGCTGCGATTTGATATCAGCTGTTAATATTCCGGGGCTGACTAGAGCATGTAGAGTCCATGCTCGCTCAAACGCCTCATTGGAACCGTAGAAGAGATCTGCGTTTTCACCGCCTGGCTTATCCTCTAGCCAGAACCGTTTGGCCTTTTCCAAAAGTAAAGTCACTATTCTCTGTCCCAGCCCTTGCCGACGTAGTTCCATTGCTGTAACATGAACGTTTTCGATTAGGAAAAGAGGGCCATAATCAAGCTCTTTTCCCCATATACCAGGTCCTCTTTGAACTGGGTGGTCTTTGTACTTGGTCTTGACTGTTCCGTATCGATCAAAGACGTGGAAGGCCACATCGCACGTTTCCTCGCTGGGCTCTTCCATCCTTTCCCAGAATTCAGATCGCACGCCCTCTCGATCAATATACCGAGCTAGAGCGGTTGCAACAGCGAAGCCATCGCAAGTGCATTTTGCGACAAAGTTTTTCATCCATTTGGACCCGCCTCCTTGTTCGTCGGTCAAAAAGAGCCGAATCTTCAGCGTTCGTACAGGGTCACCGGAGGCGGTATACTCGTGCTCTTCAATGTCCTGTTCACAATCCATTTCTTCGCTACCATCTCTGTTCTCATCTTCCTTCCATTCTTCTTCCTCGGAGTCATCGAATTCGTTGTATTCAAAGTCATCTTCTGTCGACCCATCGTCTTCGAAGTCCATTCCTGATCGCCAAAAGAATGTCAGTATAGCTCACGTATCTTATGTGTTAGTGGGAGGGTAGTGAAGCGCGGGGAGCGCACTGCTAGGCTTGAGGGATACTCGGTTTCCCTCCATTTTCTCCCCATCATTTCCATTCTTATTATTAACCTTGCTTCCTGGCCTAATGTGGGCGAGACCTTTATGAGGTAGGAGAAGATAGACTGGCGGGTGGAGAGACAAAAGTGGAGTCTGCCAACATTTGAGGGCATGCTGTACTTAAATAGGCGGCAGACCCAAAATGGATGACAAAGAATATTGTGCACTTTCAATATTATTGGCTTCATCCTCGATAAAAAAGTACTAAGTTACTTCCGGGGCAGGGATTCTGGATGCGTGTGGCTCAGCAGCGACTTGCTTTTAATGATTAGTTTTGCCCGTTCCCCGCTTGGTGCCAAACCCCCGTATCCTCTCTTTCATGCCGCCGACCTCGCCCTTTCAACGTCGTTTCTTCTCTACGGTATGATGTGCCTTGCACTCATTACCTCCCCCTTCTTTCACTCTGGCCCCCACCAACTGCTGCGTCTTCCCTTTCAGCCCGATGCACTGCCCCCCTCTCCCCCATTTTTATCGGAGATGCCGCGCGGGGGTTTCAGGAGCAACAGAGCTCCCCGGATCGACTCACATGTTCCTGGAGCTGATGGAAGTGCTCTATAAGCCTATGTTTATCTCTGACCACCAATTCATGGTGCAGTCAGGGCGATACCAGAGACGCTTCAGTTGAGCAGAGACTCGCAGTTGTCCTCTAGGAACCGCTGCACTCAAATTGCTCAATCTACTCCTACTATTAGAATCTAAAGACGACCTAGCCATGTGAGCCGGGGCTGAACATCATTTGGAATACATATTATTGCGGACTAGCTCCAGACATCGTGTTAGTCCATGCTATTATCAGTCAGTTTGGCAAGGTACGAGAAAGCCTCTCGTTGCATTCTCGGGGGACGAATGCAACATAAATTGCTCTTGCTTAGCAGCCACACGAACGAGAGGGTCAAACGGCATGATTGACTTCGTGGCTTTCACAGAAACTCTCCATGAGGTCCGAGTCTCTGTCCCAATATCATCAGATATTACTTCCCACGCGAGGCAGACGTTTGCTGGTCCACCGGGTTCTGACACCAGCATTTGATTCAGCGTACCGGTAACCTGTGAGTAGTCTAGCCACAGATTGTCAACAGGGCCGCGGATACCGTGCGTGACGCTCACGTCCGTCGAAAAGCGAATATGGCCAGCAAAGATACCGAGGAAGTCTCCCTCGCGTACTGGGACGATGGAACAGACGAACAAGAAGGTGTCGTCTTTGGGCAGGAGAAAGGTGAACGCGGACTTGTCTGCCCCAAATTCTGAGACCGAATGGTTCTCGAAAGGCGCGCATATGGCATCAGGGGGAAAGACCAGTTGCCCCGTTGCCTTGAAGCTTTCTTCTTCGCCAAGGGAAGCCCAATCATTTCTGCCATTGTTCCAAGACGACTCACGGACTTTCAACCTCTCTATAACCTCAGGATTTTCAAGATCACACAGGCGCGCATAATCGCCTTTACCGATCCTGAGAGCCCGTGTCTCTAGTTGTTCAATATGAGGTCTGTATTTAGTCTCCCACCTTAGAATTGCATCCACAAGTGAGATTTCTGAGGTCTTCGGATAACCCTTGCAGTAACTGTCGAATTCCTTGGTGCGGTAGTAGAGGGCTTTTTCGATTCCGACTTCACGCATTTTGAATAAGTTTTTCCAAAAGTTTCGGCAGTGTCGCTGGTTTTGTGCACTCAATCCGTATCCAGCGTCTTCCATGAACTTTCTGGTCGCAGCTTTCTCCGCTACAGTAAATCCGTCGGCAGGGCCTTTCGCGGATGGCAGCTTCGTATGATCGATCAGCGCAGCACCCTTGAGAATGATTTTCCAGAAGATTGTTTCGTTGTATCGATTTTGCAAACCCTTGCCAACTGCCAGAGCATTGTCCCTTTGAATGATACTGACTGCTTGCTTGTAATCATACTCTGCAATCTCATCAACATATTTCCGGATCTTATCGGGATCAGTCCTTGTTGGGGCCATGGAAGTTTGGTGACCGTATCGTGCGATTGCCGAATTAACCACAAAACATTCAAACAATATTGAGGCCATTGCATTCATTGTAAACGCGGTGTCTGGCTGGTAGGACGAGAACTCGTTGGCCGGGAGATTCAATGGGCGAGAATCTTTCACATATTCGCTGTCAGACAAGGTCTAGATAAGAGAAAGGTGAACCTCAAGCCAAGCATAAGGACCGATTTACTCAAAGGAAAGGAGCGGCCCACCTCATGATTGGAACACTGAGGACCCACTTCGATCGTTCCTTCAGCAGCTGTACACCCGAGCGAAGGTTCATCAGCACATTTTTCTGAACGCTGTGGAATTTGCCGCTTTCTTTTCTTCCTCGATTCTGCCCCCGTTAGATTTGCATAGTCCCTCTTCTGGGCATTCAAAAGCCGAGAGGAACCACGCCCTTTCGGTGGTGAAGCTGGAGGCGTCCGTAAAACCGAGCCGCTGGTTCGTAACGGGGTTTCTCTTGCATTCCCGTCTTGACTTGCAAGATGAGCCTGGAGGACTGGAATCACATAAGCGTAGGTACTGATAGACAAGTCAAGAGTCTCACGTACTGTCATTGTCTACTTTAGAGATCAAGGAATCAATGTACTCTTCGTTATGATCTATGCTGGACGACGTGAATGCATCCCGGATAGCCTGGGATAGTAGGCCCCGAGTGGCCTCGTCCATGATGTTTGATGAACGTAATGCGATTGAGGATGTGGCAACCTCTCGCATCTTTATTATAACCTCCTCCTTCGCTCTAGAACGTTCGACCAGATTGATCGACTATCCGACCCCACCTGGTGGGGTGGGGCTGTTGACATTTGTTGGCCAATAATGTTCGTGCTGTGCCTCTTGATCCCATAATTTTGCCTTGGGGCTGATCAAGTCATCTTGGCTGGATTTTGAGTAGCAGGCTGTGCTACGCAATTCTATGGTCTCAACGTTCACACTCATCAATCAATGGTGTTCAATTCCCAAATCCCAGTACCGTGCTGGCGGTGGTTGAATGTGTTCGGTTAGCTTTGCATTGAAAACCCTTGAGACTTCACGGAAACAGGATTAACAGGCCAGGTGGAAGTTCGATCCCCCGAAACCACCATGGCCCCAGCCATGAAAGGAGAATAAATGTCCATCGGCGTTGTTGAAGCCATCGAAAGCTTTGCATTCTGAGTGCGTACGAAGACGGGTCGGTAGGAAAAAGCGAAAGAGGGTTGAAAAATGAAAATGGCGCAGATTGATAATTAAACGGTGACTCACTTCCAAATACCAGATTCTGGCCCCCAACCAACGTGGTTGATAATAATCACGTGCAGTTCCTAACATGTTGGGCCCCCCTTCTTTTATCAAGAATTTGCTATTTAAGCCTTGGCCCAACCTCAAACCAAACTTAGTTGATGCTTTTTATGCATGAATTATTGCATTCCACTGTATAATGGTTGTGCAATATATTGATATCAATTTACACTGATCACCTGCTGTCCACTGCCTATACCGCGTGCTTCCGACGTGCGACGTTTCACAGTCGAACAATGCCTCGCAGGGCAGGCAGCCGGCCAACTCAGACCACGACCATCAAAGGACGAGGCGATTCCATCTGTCTATTGAATATGTGTCCTCTGTCTTGCGAGACTCCCTGGAATGGGTTGCGCGCATTCCGCGACTATCTGGGTGTTTACCGGCACTCGCTTTCGCCTAGTTGCTTGGTCGCCTTGTGCCAGCATTTCATTGGCCATTGTTACTTATTGCTCCACTAGTGAGTAGATACATGCTAGGGGCTACTAACAGCCTTTGGCTGCTAAAGGCCTGAGGAATCAATCAATCAACAAAGGAAGAGCGACTTAAGGCGTCACAATAAACTGCTCCGAGCCATTTTAAAGTTTAAATAGATTGTGGTAAGTAATTCTGATAGATCCTACAGTCCAATCGACAAACATTAAAAGCCTTTCGGGCCGACCCAGAAAAATTTTGTATTAGCACCAGGGTTCAATATGAAAAGGACTCCGCATGGAAGATGGTTCGAGGCGTATGTTCCCCCCAGCTCCATTTTGGAGGACCGTAACCGAGTCCGCTTTCAACAGTACTTATGGAAACCTATACAGTACTGCATAGATGGATGTGTCCGACCGAGCCCATTCCTGTTGCCGACTCTGGCCACCTCGTTAACTTTCCTGGTCAAAGGGGTTCACAAGGATATCATAACACCCTGTATCTAGCATCTCATTGGACTTAATAGCGTTATTAGCAACAGACCGCTGACTAAGTACGGAGAACAATACGGAGATACGGAGCAATCACTCTTGACGGTCCAATTCCAAAGACAAGCCACTGTCAGACATCGTCAGCTGACACCTACCCCGGAGAATCAGCTAGCGATGATATGGGGGGGAGTTATAAGACTCGAGGTTTAGCCACCAGGTGGAAATAATTTCGGACCAGAGACCTGGGGGGTGCGAGAGTATTAGGAAAGTGCACGGGCCTTAGATTTAGGTGGAGAATGTGATGTTTAGTCAATCCTGTTCAATCAACCCAACTTCTCTCCAGAGTGTTTAATCAACGTTCTCACCACTATGAACGCCCTCATATTGAACATTTGAATTAATTGCTACAAACTACATCACCACCTCAGCTTGTTTCCTGTAACCTTCCAGGGACTAGTTCATTTAATCCGATCAAGGAATCCAAAAAAGGTGTTGCTGTCATAAAATAATCTTTTAATATTTGATAAAAAAAATCTATTTTAACTTATTATTTAAAAATTTATTTGATCATATTTTCACCGCCCGCGAGTGTTTTCATCACGTCGACCAACACGTTGAACCTTTCCTCTTGAATTTTGAACTTTGAGCACCCTTTTTTCTTCAATACCCACTGTTTAGTTCCAGCCGCAGGATAATGACCATTCGAACCATGGACTCGACTTGCTACGTTCAAACATCGAATGTATCTTTCTCAACTGGGACACCTGGTTGGATTGCCCCATTTAACGGCTTTTATTCAATTGATCAAAACTTGTCTGGATTTTTTACGTTTTACCAATACGGTGTTTTTTCAACGTAGGCGAATACAGTAAGCGGTAGAATATGAGTATGGGATGATTTTTGAATATTATTTATTTACCCAATTCACAAAAAGTGCGGCTGTATGTTGAAATGTGAAGATATGATGCTCACGGGTGATGCGTTATTGTCTTTTTATGAAATAACGATACAGTAAATGTAAAAAGAACGATTAAAGTCAACAAAGTCGACTACCCGGTTATACGAAGGAATGGGCACCGCATTCTACCCTATCAGAATTCATAGACAGACATCGACAGATTCAACCGTACCTATTTGAGGATGATCATTGAAACATGGTAACATAAACTTAACTACGAGATGGTGACTGAAGACCACAAATGTGGCTTGCGGGTGGCTGGTTTGTCTTGAACTGGCCAGAACCTAAGCCGACCTGAGGGCAATATGACGAAATTGCTGATCTTCCCACATGTAAACACATTAACATTCTGTAACTCCGTAACCAAACTGAACGGCGGTCTAGTGCCTTGCATAAAAACTGATGCAGTCAGGAATAAAACTGTCAAACACAGGATACTGTCCCCTGAACACAGTTAACCCATCAACGCAGAGATTCCAACGCTCAATTTGAGCAATGAAAGTTTTGTGGGGGCCAGCGAAACTGTGACCAAACCCGACGAAGGTTAGCGGTTAAAACGGAGTGTTAGAATATCAGAACTTCGTATAAAAATTGATAAAAAAAAATTAGAACAGCGATGAAATTGGACCACCGTCTACAACTCGATTCAACAGGTCTTGGTGTTGCAACAGAAGGAAACTGTGAAGTAATCGGAGTTTCAACGCACTTTGCTGTTCAAAAAATGGAGACTGGGATGAGTGAAATGATTGGCTAGCGAAGAAACGTCCCAACAATAGATATGGGTCACGTGCATTTGGTATTATCTGGAAGCCCCCAGACCAGGTCGGTCGTGAGCCTTCAACTCACCATCTCCGCTCTATGCCGAGAATCGGGCTAGACCGGTGACCCCGGGTCTGGATATCGTTAGCAGTGATGTGTACCTTATACTGTATGTCACGCGTAATGCTTTCTAACTAGATCCTCACTCCGTAATGTAGTTATGGGCTCTGGCTTGCTGTAGACTCAAAAACAGTGTGCATGGTAAGTCAATTTAATGCACCAAATTACCCTGTACAGTAAAAGTACATCGGTCTTGGAATCGTTCTAGAATTATCAAGCCCCCGTAGCTCTAGCACTACAGTGTACAGGTCTCACAAGTGGGTTGGATTAATGTAACTTACTGTGTTACAGTATGGTGCACACAATATCACGTAACGTAATTCACGGCTGAGGGAGACACCACACCAAAATCGCGTCTCTCTCAACACCCTCCATTTCAACTAGCCACTATGCTACCAATTCGCTCCGGTTCCTCGCAGAAATCAGCCAACCAAGAAGGCAGGATCCTATTAGCCCTAGATGAAATTAAGAGCGGCCGAATTCAGTCTCTTCGCGCAGCGGCTAAGACCAAGGCCTGTTGAATCCCGTCGCAAAAGGTGGTCAAATTTCATCTCCGTTCTTTTTCTTGTCGCCGTATTAACAGCCAAACTACCTCAATTTTGGTCATAGTTTCACCTGCCCCCATAATTTTTTCTTCCCTCACATTGAGTTTCTGCGCTTTGGTGAATATTTAAATACAGTGAGCATAGTTGTTCAACTTTATTCCTCGCCGCATCAGTTCTTTTGAGCGAAGTTCACTGTACGCATTGTTTGATTCGAAAGGTAGATTATGAACACCGGAAAACACTGGGTGGTGAGCAATAGAAAGGTCTGGTATTAGCTGCAAATTATGCTGCTGACTTAAGCACGGAGCACATATTAACTAGTGGAATAAAGAAATGGTATGGCTATTGAAGTGGTCAAAAATTCTGAGGCCACGATTCTTTTGGTGTCTAGCAGCCTTTACCATCATTCGGATCAGAACTAAAAAGCGTTGGAATAATCTTTAATTAACAAATTTGTTCAGTTCCCTACCTACCCCATTTGTGACGATGAGCAGGCGGCCCACATGGTGACAACAGTTTTGCGAGGGCTTTTAACGTGCCAATTTGTCTTCATAACGTGAATCAACACAAGACCATGATATATTTTGCGAGAAAAAAAATGCCCTTTTCCTTATCTAGTACTTAATAATCAGCTTTCGCACTTTAATTATAGGGCCTGTCTCATTCAGCCTTCAAATATAACACTCTCAGACTGCCAATTGACAAGTTCTGATCCATTCAAAAAGAACCTCCAAGGCAAGACATTGGCTTTCAATGGCGGCTGCTATAGAAAAAGCCCAAATCAAAAAACCCGCTAAGAGAAAGTTGATTCGTCAAAAGCAGTCCCGTCGCAAGACAAACATGATGAAGAAGGCATGGGAATATAGCAAGATGTGTGGCGCGGATGTATGCGTAGGTATTCGCATGCGGGAGACAGGGCAGATACACATTTTGTCCGCGGATACTTCGGGCTTTTGGGCTTTCCTTCCTTTACAACTGGTATATAAACACAAAATGACACATCTCATCGGAATGAACGCTGACTTGCCAGAGCTCCCATTACCCGACCCCCACTGTGATGACAGATCGCGATTTAAAGAAAGCCAAAGAAGAGGCAGCTTCTAAGGGCTCATGATAGGATCTTTGCAGCACAGGTTCTATGAACATGTACTACACTTTGAATTAGGATTTCCTTTAAATAGTACCGTGAATAGAGTATTTCCGTTGCTTTGACAAGTCCGCTATCGTACTTGCGAGGCCAACAAAGTATATCAAAAAGCCACATTCCAAGCCATTGTGTTACTGTAGTCTATAAAATCATAGGAAACTGCCTGGGAATGCTCAACCGCTTGGCTTGGGAAAGTCAATAGAGATGACTGTAGACCTAGATGAAGAGAAACCATGATCTAGCTTTGCAATGAAGTCTTTCGTGTGACAAGTCCCCTGACGATTTTGGGTTTGACCAGCAAATGGGTGCCTGAGGAATAATAATGTTCCGCTGGCCGATTCTAAGGGGGACGAAGATGAGTCATCGCCCTTGTGAATGTCCCCAGCTTCTTTCTCGGTTACTGTACAGTTTTACACTCCTGGGCAGGCTAACCTGCAATCCTGAGAGCTTCAAACCCCTTCCTGGGAGTAACTATGCCTATACTGGAACCACCATTTTGCATGGGTCTAATAACTTCATTGCGGCGGAAAACTTTGTGTATATCCATGTCGGTACTGTACCAACTGGCCACTCTAAGGACCAACAGCCCCCAAAAAACATAATAGTACAGTTGACAAGACTATTGCGTCACACATCTGTTGTCGACCTCTTGTAATTTATCACCTGTCACATGTGAATAATGCGTCCTCTTACATGTTATCCATGTGAGACAGATGGCTCTACATAACGTGTTACAAGAGCCATCCGACAGTTATCTAACAATCAACCCTGTAGACTTAGTATTTCATCCAATACGGGGATGATTTAATAAACTTCTGGCTGATAGCCGAAAAAAGACTGCCAGCCAAAAATTCGTCCTCTTTGGTTTTATTACTACTCTAGTTTTAATACCATTTCCCATGGTCTGGTCTCGTGATTTCATTGGTATTAAAACCAGAGAAGTATAAAAACTAATTAGAGAACGTGGGGGTTTTTAGACTCGAGTGGGTTAAAAACCATGGCCGTGAACCTCTAATGGTTTAAAACACAGCCCCCCCAACAATATATATCTCATTTGCGTAGAGAGATTTATACTGAGAACCGTAGGGCTAAGACCCTGGTGGTTTTAAAACCACAGTCTTAAAATTAAAACCCTGGTGGTCTAAAGACCATCAACCCCTCCTCAACGTGTGGCCAGAATTGATTTTCTCTGGTTTTATACACTGTAGTTTTTAAAACCACTGTGGTCTAAATACCCCCAATTATGGTTTTTAAACCACCAGGGTCTAACCCTGACCACTTTTGGCCAAGCATAGCTCACGTGGAAGTTATCTTTGATTGCTCTTATGGAACGATTTCGTTACGCACATCACTCTCCTGATAGATGATAAAGGGTTAAAGATCGTCGTTCCTGTCTCATGACCAGGCTAGGACCAGGATGACCTTCATAGGATGGATAGTGTACAAAGAGGAGTTTCATATGACGTCGACCCTCTTGTCTGGTATTTACTCTTGGGTCGGGCCTCATAGGACTAACTTCCTCTCAAGAGGATTATCTCAAGAGAAATCACCTCTCAGAATAAACGTTTTATTACAGGGTTTCCAAGCACCGTATCTTCCCAAGAAAATCTACCCAAAACAATATTTATATGCATGTATTCCTACAGCCATGCCTACAAGAAGCGCTACATAGTTTAACCATAGACACGGGACGTGCTGCTCATCTCATCAAGCCTTTGAAGAACTTTCTCCCGTGGCTGCATCGCTCATATCTCTTATAGCCTCTTGTTCCGGACTTCATAGTACCCATGTGTGCTTAAAAGGGTTCTCATGGTTCCCTTGGCTTCACAGAACGAGCTGGCCTTTCCTCTGCTGTGAGGACCTAGTTGAAAAGCACTACGTGTTGACATACAGTATGGGGCACACATCACTTCTAACGATATCCAAACCCGGGGTCACCGGTCTAGCCCGATTTTTCGGGATAGAGCGGATGGTGGGTTGAAAAAATTTCTGGCCATGACCGACCTGCCCTGGGGGGCTTCTAGATAATACCAAATGCACGTGACCCATATCTTTTCTTGGGACGTTTCTAAGCTAGCCAATCATTTCACTCATACCAGACCCCAATATTTGAATAGCAACACAAAGACCTGTTGAATCGTGTTGTAAACGGTGGTCAAATTTCATCGCTGTTCTATTTTTTCTATCAGTTTTTAAACGAAGTTCTGATATTTTTGCACTCCGTTTTAACCGCCAACCTTCGTCGGGTTTGGTCACAGTTTCGCTGGCCCCCATAAAACGTTCATTGCTCAAATGGCACAAACACGGTTTTTATGACGTTCGGGGATAATTTGGTTGTAGGTGAGGAGACGGTAGAAGCTATCACAAGGGCACTCCAAGCCGACAGCGATGATGATGATCGGGCGGCGAAACGCATACATCAGACTTGAACAACGTATCCTTTCCAAGCCTTGACTCCAGAGATTTGTGGCTCGTATAGACGGTAGTCTGCAGACCTGTGGCCCTCATAGCTACTTGGCTGTATAAGCCGCCAGTTGACAGATTGAAAGCTGTGGTGGACCCAAAGCCGTGGACGTACGTCCAATGTGGATCCACGTCCGTGGCCTTAGGAATGTAGCCCTGAATCAACGGCTCTAGATCACGGGGTCTGAAGCCAAGGCCTTCCCACCACAGCTTTCTAACGATGGACCCACATCTCTAGACCAAAAGCTCTTCTGGACATAATTCCACGGATTTAATTCACTACGGGCCTTCAGGCACTGGAGATGGGTCGCCTTTAGCCCGGAGACCACACTGGCCGGGGAACCATTCCCCCTAAAGCTATGGAGGGCCCAGGTACTCCATTTAATTACCGGGCCAACGACTATTCCTGTCTGGACACGGTTCCACGGTTACAGTACTGTAAAAAGACTCAATTGGAATTCAAGTACGCTCTACTGTAGACCTTCCCAGACCACACTTTCAAAGTCGCTTTTATTCAACCTTCCGACTTTGCTAGTTCGCTCATGAATTCGTCCATTTCCGCAGCTTTGCTTTTCTCCTTCTCTTTCAAGTTCCCGAGCACTGGGTCGTATGGTGTGGTTCTCATCCACGCAGACCATTTTTTAATCACCGCAAATGCATCTGCAGCAGAGATCTGGAACCATTCTCGATGCTCACTCAAACACCCTGTACAATCAACCTGGACTTGATAATCAACCAATTCCGCATGGCATAATTCCTCAACGCGCCAGGCATTCGGCACCGTTTCCACAGATTCAGGGGGAGTAGGATATAGCACCTTCATTTCCCTGTTGCAGTCAAAAATCAACGATCGGAGGCGCTGGAGAACGGGTCCAGTCGTATAACCTATTTTGATATACCCCGTGTTACTCTTTGCTTGAAAAGCATAGATATATCCGCGTTTCCGATGCCGGAAACTCAGACTTCGGCAGATTCTTTCATGGACATAGTCGTTCAGGGTTTTTGTGCCGCGTCTATTCCTTCTTGGAAGGATTTGAAAGGGGGTAGTTTCAAACCGCTCCAGCAAAACCAAGGCTGAATCTTCCTGTATTCTCAAGCTTGATATTTGTTGACCCTTCAAATAAAACCCGTCGCAGTGCTCGGTAGATTCTGAACCTAACGACTTGCATTCAGGTTCAAAGGGTACCTCAGACCGAGTTGGCAGTCCCACACCGAAGCCAGCCGTTGTGCAAATTCCCAGAATTTTGGACTTCCAACAATCCCCTTTTTCAAGATGCATGGTAAGCTCGTGGTCGGAGCAGTACATATTTTTTTTCAGAATTCCGAGATGATAGTCAATATCGGAGACTCTGCGGTACATACTGAGCCTCACGATTTCGTCAATTATTCTCTGGAAATTTTGAACCTTTCGGCCCCGATCTTGTTCCGACATGAATTTGACTCTGTTTTTGCACCGCATAGAGTGGAAGCAGGCCCAAGCAATTCCGTGACCTGCACCTCGACATAACGCACGTCACTATGCTGCGCCGGAAAAGCAGCCATCCATTTTATCTTTCGGGCATCTTCTGGATCTTTGCGTCGGTGGGAATGACAATTCGCGAGCGCGCTAAGCTTTTCCATCTTCAAAACCAGCTCTGGAGATTCCTGGCCGAGGAAAATCATGGACTTAATCAAAATCTCAATTTGGTCTCGATTCTTTCCGGGTATCGGATTAGCGCATGCTGTTCCTGTCCGTATGCAGCGCCGCCCACACTTCCAATTCCGAAGACCAAGGCGAGTTCTTAGAGTACATGTTTTCACCAGGGGTTGGCATGTTTGAGGCTGTTGTTCTTGACAATTTGACTTGTGCAAATCGCTACCAGCATTGCTGGGGGCAGGGCGGTGCACCAGGGTAAAGCTGGCTGACGTACAGCAAGGAACAACCGAGGGACTGGGGCAAGCTGGAGACATTCTGATTTATGACTGTATTCTCACCGCTCCCTAGGGCAGCCAGATAGGCATCTCCAGGTATAGCCAAGGATGATGGAAGGCTTTAAGGATTTAAAAAAATGTTGAGCTTCATTGTCTCCTTATTAATAGGAAATTCAAAAAGCCGAGCGGGATACACTAGACCACGAACGTATATAGATAAGGCATTGAGGGGGAATTCGCCAACCCCGCATTTCAGGCCCAGAGACGGATGGTCAAGTATTCTTTTTGGATATGTTACAGTACGTGACTACACGCTTATCTTCTTTCATACTTATTTTCTTGGCGCTCCAGCCGGGAGAACAAGTCCAGCGTCTTCGTTTTCGAAGAGGCATGGTAAGTTGAAATTCTGAAAATCAAGGAGCCTTTCCCGGAGCAGAGCAATGGAGCCCGAGGAGCACTTTTTCTCGGAACCATACAAGGCCTCCCATAGACCCACCGGGGCGCTAAAAGCACCAGGAATCCTGCTGCGAAGAGCACCCGTCACATGAGGCGTTAGCTGCAAGCCCTTTCGCAAATGTCCTTTCTATACCCTTCCATTGGCACTGGCCATCAACCATAAGTTTTCCGCTGTTTTTCGAGAGCTATACGTTCATGGTGCTCGCTTCTAGTGAAACTTGGCACCTGATCCTGGGCCTTCCTTCTCGAGAAAGGTAGGAAACAAAACCATTCAGTGTTAAAACGGAGCGCTTTGACCTGTCCAGACATATTGGTACATATTCTTGCTCACATAACATGTCTGCGCCTCTGGGACTAAAATTATCTACGGTTAGGCAAAATAGGCATCAGTCTAAGGCAGCAATGCGATTTCAGTCAGCCGCCTGAGATGCCCGTCAAGCCTCAGGTACGTCGAGATTCTTTTTGTGACACCCAACACATCAATTCCGACTACAATCATCACAGAAAAAGATCTATTGAAAATGGAATCCATATTGTGTGACGATGATTCTTCTCAGGAAGCGATCGCTCGAGCTCGTCTTCAGCGGGATGTTCTTTCTACGATCACGTCTGCAAAAAGGAGACCCAAACTGCTTAAGAGAAACATCGAAAAGCTTAAAAATTACCTGAGAGATCCATTACTGGACATCAATTTCCAGATAGACGGCATGTCACCCTTGGCGAAGGCGACATTGGAGTGGAGAGTGCTCAATGAACTCTTGCAGCACGAAGGAATCAACTTGAATTTTTGCAACTCTGACGGCCGAACAAGCATCTTCTTCGCTGTGGAATGCCGTCCTACTGATTCATTAAGGCTCCTAATAGATAAAGGGGCTCTTCTCGACTGGATGGATAATGAAGGCCGTACTTCGCTGTCACTAGCGGCAGAGCTTGGGCATTTTGACCACGTGAGAATTCTCGTCGCATCTAATGCGGATATCAATTTGGCAGATTCAAGAGGCTGGACGCCGCTATTCTGGGCAGTGTCGAGGCAGCATCTTGAAACTGCAAAATACCTCCTCTCAATTGGAGACGTGAATAGCGACCATCAAGATGTCAGCGGTCGGACTCCTTTATCAATTGCCGCAGAGACTGGGAGTGCCGAAAGTATATGGTGCCTGATCCATGCAAAAGAGAAGGGAAGGCGATTAATCGGGGTTGAACGTGACCTACTGCTATGGGCAGTTTTTCGCCGTGATATGGAAACTGTTCAACTCCTACTCGAGGCTGACAATAGTCTGGCTAATCATCGCGTTAAAGGTCGCACCCCGCTGTCTATGGCGATAGAGCTTGGAGATGTCGGTATAACCAAGCTTCTCATCAATGCAGGAGCGGATTTGCAGGCATTAGATGAAACCAGATGGCCTACCCTGAGCAAGTGGCTGTTTGAAACTTATTTTCCACCAGAGGATGTTCTGCTGGAAGTTGAGAACTTCTCTGTCAATCATCATCCAACAAAAAGATCTCCATTATTACTTGCGGCAGAGTTTGCACATGTCGACATTTTGCAGGTACTGCTTGATGCCAGTGCAAACGTGAACTCGGTTGACGCAAAGAGTTGGACAGCGCTAGCATGGGCTGTTGAAAAGCGACACGACGCTGCAGTCGAGGTTTTACTCGAGACCCCGGGAATTTCCGTGGACTCTCGAGATGCGACTGGCCGAACCCCTCTGATGATGGCAGCAAGTCTTGGCGAAATCAACATTTTGAACCAATTACTCAAATCGAATGCAGCGATCGACTCGGAGGATGAGCGAAAGTGGACATCGCTCTCCTGGGCTGTTGCGAATAATCATAAGCAGACAGCGGAGCTCCTACTCAGAGTAGCAGGAGTATGTGTAGACCATCAAGATGCACAAGGTCGTACTCCCTTTTCGCTAGCTGCAGAGCGTGGATTTACCCTGATTATGCAAATGCTCATCGAAAATGGGGCAGATCCCCATATTTCAGATGACGAAGGCCATACAGGGTTTTGGTGGTTTCTCAGAGCAAGGTATGCCTTGTTTACCAGCTCTTCATATCGTTTGAGCCGGCCCGCGCTTGGTGAGACGGTAAATCCTTTTAGTCTCCAGGCTTTAGTCTACAACCTACCAACACCAAATAAAAAGGATCGAAGCGGTCGCAACTGGCTCTCATGGGCAGCGGAGTATGGAGACGACGAAGTTGTACGGTGTTTCCTACGGGTCGAGGACAAGGCGGATAGAGTGGACATGAATATTTGTGATGGAACCGGAGACACATTTTCCCGGACTCCATTGATATGGGCATTGGAGGGGGGAAGTACGACTTCAGTTGATCTGTTAAAAGACGGTGACACTATTTCTTTGCATTTATTGGTCGAAGGTATAAGTCCAATAGAACAAGACAACGTTTTGGGCTTGGTGACCAGCCTTCTTCAGGCTGGCTATAATCCCAACCAGCCTGACCAGAAAGGAAAAACTCCTCTGCACATTGCATGTCTTAAGGGAAGCGGAGAACTTGTTTCAGCTTTGATCAAAGCTAATGCGAATTTGGGCGCCAGGGACCATACTGGCAAGATCCCTTTGCAATATGCCCTGAAAGCGCAAAGCAAAGCTGTCGTGGATCTATTGCTCAATGCTCCATCATCAGACCTCAAGCCTGTCCAGTCACGGGAATGGTTTACTATGAATGAGCTAGAACCTTCCTGGGTACAGATCACCAGGAGGATACAAAACCGCGGCTTTCATTTGGAATTAATCAATGAACTCCACTGCGACTGGGTGCCCGGAGCCAAAGAGGCAAGGCTATGGTGAGTGGGGATCTTATTTGAAAACGGAGAGTTTTATTCCTAACTTTCCAAGTATTTGCGGTAACCCAACCATATGGTCGCTCTTACCGTGGAGATTAGGTGTTCACAACAAGCTCAACAAAGAAGGCTATTACTGGAACTATGCCCACGAAGATTCTGGCCATCGGTTGGTAACCTATATTTCGCTCGCCATTCCATACAAGCAAGAGAAAGATGACTATCCATGGGGTATCGCATGGACTAGCATGACGACAGCAGACGGGCTTGCTTCTGGATTCATCAGCATGCTTCCGAGCGGCTGGGTACCTAATGGTCCTTCGGACTTTTTCAGACTGTTCCTTGAGGCTCTACACCATAAATGGAAAGCAACCTGTTCTCATGCAAACACAAGAGTTGAGGCCTTGGTAGGTTCACTGAAAATTCTTTTAGTTTTAAAGACTAAAACATAGCATTAATTCATGAGAATCTTTTTTCAGCGACATGATCAAGTCAAAAAGCGTGGTAGGAGTCACGGTCTCGTCAATGAGCTTGCCAAGGATGCTTTGGAGCGTGCAGATCTCCGGCAATGTTTGCAATCGCACATCGAGGGACTTCTCACAGTGGTCAAAACTAATAGTTCACTCGAAGAAAAACATCAACTTGAAGGAGAAATCAGCGAACTCGACCTGGAAGTGACCGCAAAGCTTGACCATATGGAGCAAGCTGTACGAGATCTTTTGCAGATTGTGAGCTACCTTGCAGAATTCTCCTCCAGGCACTAACATCAACTCCAAAGGAGCTTGCTTGGGTCTCCACAAACGAAGCAGCAAGTTTTAAGCGTCTTAGCTGGATTACTGTGAGTGAAATTTTCCATGACTTGCGGGGCTTTTTTTAGTAATCAATCTCAATAGTTCATTTTCCTGCCGCTGATGTTTGCTTCGGTGAGTGGAGCGGTTTCTCAAGATACCTTTTCTAAAGACCTTGCCTGATTGGAATCCTTAGAGCCTGTTTGGCATGAACGTGGACCTCCTTCAAAATAACCCAGATTGGAGATGGTATATATTATTTGCGTGTGTGTCGCTAGTCATTACCGGCGTTACATGGTTCATTTCCAAGTGTACTCCTGTGAGTTGCGTTGTTCTAGACTATATGATAGCAGAAACTGACACCCATCCGTAGCAAATGGTTCATGGCAAAGTGGTAGGAGAATTGAGAGTGTTCTCGCGCAGAAGAAGAGACAAGGCCAGTTCAAATTCTTCAGTATGATCTCAAAGAGCTTTCTTGTTTCGAAAGAGCGTTTGGCAATCTACTTGTACGATGATTATTCACAGTTGCTCGGATAGCTGGCTGGGGAACTACCGATGACAATCTGCATAGGACAGGGATTCTAAGGCAAGGTCCGTCGATGGATTGCCGTGCTTGGGAGTGACCTTTGCGAAGAATCTAATCATGGTCGTTGTGGGCGCGTGGCCCGGAGAGGCCTTGCGTTGTCGGGAGTGCATTTGTCTGGGTCTGTAGCCCCAGGGCTGCATGGGCAGCGCTGAATTCCTTTGGTTTTCTAGAGTTCTTCCCTATGCAGATCATCCCGTCGTCTAATCTCCCTCCTAAACTTGACGAGCTCGCTCAAGAGATTGGTAATGTTCAGTCCTCGCTCCCTGTCGAGGAGTCGTCCGAAATTACTACATTATTCATCAGTCTAGATACCCCGCAACAACCGAAATCATGTCCAGTATACAGGAAGGCAGCAATCTTCATGATGCTGGAACAAGCCGTTACGATGGCAGTGGGGAGGAAGACTTCTTAACCAATCACGTTGAAACAGTATCAAGACAGGAGCGGCACTTGTCTTGTTCGCATTGATATAACCTTCGAATGCAGTGGCCAATTGAGCAACGAGCTGCTCGGCCGTGATTTATTATACCCAATAAAAGAGACTAAATACGATGGTCAAACAGCATCGCTCCAGATGAGGTGCGCAGGGCGTATGATTTTCCATCACAGCAACCATAGCATCAGTATCATTCGATGGCTACGACCATGGACTTCAAACGGGTGGGGTGGGGGGAGAACTGGGGGACAACTTCGGCTCGATCCGCGCAGAATTCATCCGATAAAGCTCAGGAACAATTTATTAAAAATAGAGCGACCAAAAAATCCGCCAATCCCCCTCATCAACCGTCCCATTCCCGCATGATCAAGTCTTTGTCCGTCGCGACAAACTGCTCCGATCATTGGCTGCCAAGGGGATGACTCATCATGCGGGCTATTCCTGAAGTCCCAAAACCGTAAGGCACATTCTGCCTGGCTCACTCAGGGCGGACCTGACCAAATTAATCACATGTTACTGTAACAAATTGCCGCCCTGATTCTGCCTCAATATGATAAGTAGATTCAGGAGGTTGACTTAGCATAATTCTCAATGCTAGTGAATTGATTCATGGTCTGAAATCATCCTTCGCCTGGTTGTAGCTTACGGGCACTAGCGTGGTGCCGTTAACGAAACCGATATTTGAGGCCGGCCGTAACAACTTCTCAATAGTCCACCTACCTGCAGATCCCTAATCTGCGGCCCTTCTCCAGAAGTCGCTGTCATTGTCAATGTCATACTCATCGTCATCGTAATCATCAAAATACTCTTTACCTTCAATCTCGTCCCAAGTTCTGTCGATGTCCCACTCCTCGTCTTCCGCTCGCTCTACCACAATGAGTTTCCATCCTTGACTCTCCATTTTCCTTCGAATGATTGAGTCTGGGCCTTCTTCATAAATCTCGATGACGATTTCTTGGAGAGACGGAATTGCTCTGAAGCCAGCATCTACCAGTGCTAACGCCTTATCACATAGTCTCGGGTTGTCATATGAATCCAGCCGATATTCCATAGCACTTGTGCTATCTGCGGCCATTATGAGCTTTTGTAGATTGGTACAGCGTGACTGGATCTTTTCCAAGAAACTAAAGCTCTCTTCTGTCAGGCTGACCTCGTCGTCTTTAAGATAGCGAAGTTCTGGAAAGTCGATGCGGATACACTGAAGGTGAGACGAGTTGATGAAACCAATTGTGACAAGAAATTCGGGTATACGGCAAGGTTCCCACGTAAGGTCAAAGCAATTATGGCCATAAAGGAGTGACCTGGCCTCGTGTAGGATGGCCGAATTCGTAAAGAGTAGATCGAGTTCCAGCTCATGATCCCCATTCCAGGGATCAATAGGCTCTCTGCGTACGAAAAGATATTTGTATATCTCGTTGCGAAGTTCGGCAGGAAGACTCAGAAAGCTCGCTGGCATCTCTACGATTGCGACTTCGTGAGTGTTGGATGGTGTTTGTGTATACCTGTGGGCCCTCGTTGAGGAAGTGGGGTCAAAGAAAAGTCGCGACTTGCAGTGCTAAATCAATCACGTGTTGGGTTCGTACTGTCAGCAGTCATTCGGTGCCGAGTGTGGGTGGGTGCTGCCGGCCCGAAGGAAATCTTCTAAAATGCTGACTAAATAGGGTCGACCTTGGGCTCTTGACCCAATACGGACTAGTGCTCCAACATGTAACGTCACAACTCGGGAGTCACGACTCAACCTCACGTGAGACATGCAAGAAGCGTAGCCTTTTCTTATATTTCGACTCTCGCTGGACAGTACTCCGTAGTAGATTTTGACGAAGACCACAGAAGAAGATCAAATTGAATTTGCTCCGGTATGCTGAGTCAGCGGACTGTAGCTCGCAGCCCCATTCGGCTCACAGGGATATTGGCAGGCGAGGAAGAAGTTCGCGAGACAAGAACGCTCACGATGGGACCCAAGCTATTCCCATAACCACCCCATTGGAGGGCTTTCTTACAACGTTTCTGCACAATGAATACTGTTGTTCTCGCTGTCCTTCAGCCTGCAGTGTCACTTTAGATGGGGACGATCCAAACTTAGGCGTCACTGTAGTTGCTTGGGTACCTTATGCTGATTGGTCTTTGCCACTGATTGACCCACTAGTTGGTACATATTAACTATATAACGTAACTCCGTATACAAATACGATGCGTGGATGCTGCAGGGCATCCACTCTAGGCATCAAGGGAAGTTGCTCCTGTACGGAGTACAGCAAATAACGTAATTCCCGGCCGTCCCGCGCACCCGGTCGTCCCGCGCACCCCATCTAAATTCGCGTCGTCCGACCAACCTCCCTACTTCAACCACCTACTATGCCACCAATTCGCAGTCAATCAAGCCATAAATTGGCCAATCAAGAGGGCAAGATCTTGTTAGCCCTATCCGATTTGAAAGAAGGCCGAATTCAATCTCTTCGCGCAGCAGCTAGGCTATACGACCTGCCTGAAACAACACTACGTGATCGCGCGCATGGTACCCAATCGCGCGTTGATCACCGCCCAACTGGCCATAAACTGACCCAATTAGAAGAGGATTCGCTTGTTGAATGGATAATCTCTATGGATTCACGTGGAGCAGCACCAAGGCCCTCTACAGTGCGAGATATGGCTAATATCCTACTGGCTGCGCGTGGTAACCAGCTACCAACTACCGTTGGTAAGAATTGGCCATCTACCTTCATTAACCGCCGCCCTGAGCTTCGTACACGCTTCTCGCGAAGATACGATTACCAAAGAGCCCTAAACGAAGACCCTAAATCAATTCGGAAGTGGTTCGCGACCGTACAAAGCGTGATTGACGAGAACGGTATACAACCAGAGGATATCTACAACTTTGATGAGACAGGCTTTGCAATGGGCCTTATATCTTCGCAGAAAGTAGTCACAAGGGCTGAATACTACGGTCGGAGATCTCTTCTACAACCAGGAAATCGCGAATGGGTTACTGCGATCGAATCAATCTGCGCAGACGGCTATCCACTTCCGCCATGTATAGTCTTTAAAGGCAAAGTGGCTATTGCAGGATGGTTTGACGAAATCCTACCGAAAGACTGGCGAATCGAGGTCTCAAAGAATGGCTGGACTACCGATGAGATTGGCCTACGCTGGCTAGAAAAGCACTTTATCACACACACGAATTCGCGCGTACGAGGTCGGTTTCGGCTATTAATTCTTGACGGTCATGGTAGCCACCTTACGCCCCAATTCGACCGAATCTGTACAGAAAACGATATTATACCACTTTGTATGCCTGCTCATTCATCGCATCTACTACAACCACTAGATGTTGGGTGTTTTGCGGTGGTTAAGCGTGCGTACGGTCGGTTCGTTAGCGATCTTGCGCGCAGAGGATATAACCATATCGACAAGCACGATTTCTTAATGGATTATCAGCACGCGCGGCTAGAAGCCTTCCAATCAACCAATCCCACTATCAAAAACAGCTTCGCAGCTAGTGGGCTAGTACCATTAGATGCCGAAAGAGTGCTTAACAAGCTTAATATCTCTCTACGAACACCGACACCACCAAGCAGCCGGCCAAGCAGCAGATCTAGCGAATTCACACCACGGACGCCTAGAACGGCCGCTCAGCTATTAAGCAAGCTTCTATGTTAAAAGATCTACTAAAGCGGCGGTCAAATAGCCCTCCGAGCCCATCAAAAGAGATGTTAGACCAGATAATCAAGGGGTGCGCTCTAGCGCTACACGGCGGTGCTTTACTAGCAGAGGATATCACGAATCTACGTATGGCGAATGAGAAGATGGTCAAAAAGCGCAATCGGTCAACTAGAAGGATACCCTGCGCAGAGGGTTTAACCATTGAAGAGGCTATACAGCTAGCTGAGCAGCTAAACCAGCCAGAGGAAGACGATAGGGTAGATTCGCATGCAGAGGTCGAATTACCTATTCAGGCAGATCCCCCACGTACTAGGGCACCTCCTCGGTGTAGTGGGTGTAGGGAAATTGGTCACAGGATTAATGTATGTAAAAATCGCTATATCTAGTTAAATTAATGGGTGTTGGTTGAGATACTCAACTTTGAAGTATTCCAATTCTCTTCAATACGTTTGAGGACTGCTTGGTAGCTCCCGGTCGCGTCAGGGTCGTCCACAGACCCATGCCCACAGATAACTAGGCTTGACGATGGAATCGATTATACAGATCTTCGTCGCTCCATAACTTGAAAATATGGCTAGCGGCACTTTACGGGTCATTCGGCTCGATTAGAAAGCCATTTTCATCCTCGCCGCAAGCTTAAAACTGCCATCTCACTAGTCAAGGTTACCGTCCGTATGCAAAGGATGGGCCAGGCATGGAGACAGACCAAGAAGCCGCGGGAGGACCGGGTGCGCGGGACGGCCGGGAATTACGTTAGTAGTTGTTCACTCTTTCTCAAAATATGTGGTTTTTGAAGTTTGTGACATAATAAGATAAGATTGGCTATGTGAAGACCACAAATGTGGCTGGCGGGTGGCTATGCTGACCGGAGTTTTTAAATTCTTGAACTACTAGGAGAATGAAATTCTGCGTGGATAAAGCCGTGGTTGTCCCCGATCTGAAGTCCATGGTTGTACTGTAGCCATCGAATGATACTGATGATATGGATGCCATGATGGATAAGCATACACCTTTTGTATCTCATCTGAAGCAATGTTGTTTGACCCTCAGCTTATTGAGGGATAAACAACGTTAAATGAACGTGACCTCTCTTGCCTCACTTACATGCATGAATACCCAAAGATCCCGAGAACCAATAAGAACAAATTATCTCAGCCTCAAATTACTCGCAGCCGCGCTTGTCGGTTATAAATACGACGAAGTTGCAAACTAGACAAACGGAGATTATGCAAGTATGTGTTATCCAAACCCCGGAGCGGGGTAAAAAAAAACGTCTGCTGATATAAATACGTTGAGCGACTCTATCAAAATCTCAATCTTCTTCCTACCATAATATCACTGAGGAAGCAAGGCAACGATGGGTTGTATTTGTATCACAAATATACCTCGCCCAGAGGTAACAAATGTTGAGAAGACCGGGCCATCCATCACGAATGTGGAGCATTTGTCTTCTTATAATTGGATCCAATCGCCTAGCCCCACTATTGCTGTACCCGGCTGCCCGCCTCTTTGGTCTCCACCCAAAACCCCCAAGAAAGTGCCCAAAGACTCTGGGCTCATTTACATTGCTCAAAACGCGTTTCGCCATCCCGAAAGTCCGCTTGAGCCACTTTTTCGCTCGTTGTATATTGAAAGACCTTCATACAACATACACCAGGTTGACGTGATAACTGATCGAAACAACGTTCGCAAACTTCTGTCGTTCATCAATCCAAATCTCACTAAAAATGGACGGGAGCCTTTTACCATTGACATAGAGATCACAAGCAATACAGCAATTTTTTGTAGGGCAGAAACGGAAACATACAGATTCGTTGGGCCACATGATTTCAGAGGTCACGGTCACGAGTTCGAGAAAGCATTCACTACAACCCAAGTATCCGGTAGCACTGGACATCATCGGATTATCTCATACGACTTTGGTGGGTTGAAATTCATAGTACGCTATGAAACCGACGCATACGTTGATGACGTTTCGAAACCTCAATCTCACAGCGTGAATTCGGAAAATAAGAATTTCCTGAACATGATGGAAAATCTTTCTCTTTCGCGAACCGGAAATCATTCTCGCCTTCCCACTGAATCCAAATTAGTGATCCGGGAGGAAGGAAAACCAGTATCAATCAAATCAACTCTTGAGATCAAAACACGAGTCTCCTATAAGCATATCAACATACAAGAAGTTCTTCCACAGCTATGGGTATCACAAACACCCAATCTTGTTCGCGCCTACCACACTAAGGGCATATTTGGACCGCCAGAAGTTAAAGACGTCACTTATGAGATTGCTGAGTGGGAACAAAACCATGCTAATGACCTTTGGAAATTGGTTGCATTGGTCAAGGAAATCATCAGAGTTGTGAGAGACAATGGGGGGAGTGCTGTCCTTAAGTATGATGGTCGAAGTGATAACCTTACGATTTGGACGAGAGAAGGGAGCAAGATGCTACCGGATGATCTTTATTTGAAACTCGGTGATAGAGGTGGATCAGCTCCGGCGATGGGAAAAAATTCTCGGAAAACGAATTTCAAAATTGGGGATACTTTCTACAATGTTGACGTCTCCACTTGATAGTAGACGCTTCCATTTTGCCTGGTTGCCCTTTCCCCTTCTGCTCCCCACCAGGCTGCTCTTCTGGGCGCCCGCGTTTTAGAGATAAGCGCGTCACATGCTGTGATTGAAGCTGAGGACCAGGTTCTAGATTTACCGCCTTTGCTGCTCCCCTCGTTACTCGCCGTGTAGAATTCTCCGTCAAGTTTGAATCGGTGGTAGTCAGCGGATAGTCAGCAGAGGAGGGGAAAATTTCGGTACTTGGCGGGCAGATTGATGGCTTCGTGACTGTGACAGAACTGGGCGCTATCAATCGAGGGTCAATCTTTGCCATGTCAAAATCGAGAGAGGAAGCGGGAGTTTCGTACGATCTAAAAATTTCTTTCAAAGAGTCCACGGAAGAAGCCTAGGAGCCTGACTCAGAGCTAGTAACGTTGAATTGGGCTTCATAAATTTATTGTAACCTCAAGTCAGGTAATTCACAAGTGATGATACTGGTTTTCATATTGCGTAAGATGATATGCTCCTTTACAGTGACGCTACACTTGTACCCCTGAACTAAAGCCCATGAGCATATTTCAGAGCCAAACAAACGTCATCAATATACATTTTAGCCTTCTTGATTCCAACCATATGCATCCACGGGTGTGGTACGCCTGTGTACCTCCTCATGGTGACTCTCACCCCCGCCTCTACCAGCTTCTGGCCGTACGCCTCGCCCTCATCACGGAGAGGATCACAGCCTGCAGTCGCTATAAAAGTATCGCAGATGCCATCAAGAGAATCAGTTTCTATGGGACTCCGCCAGAAGAGAGGAAGAGCCTCCCATTCTCCCTCCTTCATGCTCTTCTCGGCAACGGCGGCAAAGAAGCTGACCCGCTTCCAGTTCAGGCAAGGGGCAAGAGCGTTTTCTACCATCGAGGGGAAAGCGCTGTCCTCGGGATTAGTCATGCCGCGACGAGTGTGAGTGCTGGGCACGGACAGGATGGCTGAGGATCTTTTAGCCAAAAGTCTAGAATAAAGAAAATGCTTTAGTGGGAATGACGAGTACATACCTAGCTTCAGGGGTAAGCGTGCATTACGAGCGAGCTGTTGTACGACACAGCTCATAAAACCACCAGCGGAAATGCCTCCGATTGAGATTGAATCTGATCTTCCGTTGATTTCGTGGGCATGTGAGTAGACCTAGACTCCGTCAGTGGTGCTGATGTGTACAATAAAAATTGATAACAGGACAAATCACCCATTGGACAGCAGCCCAAGCATCTTCGGTGCCCTTGCCAAAAGCGTGTTCTTTTTCTAGTCAGACATCTTACAAGACTTATAGAATGCCTGGAAATGATAATCACCTGGTGTCAAGCGGTAATCGACATCCACGACAATAAGGCCAACCTCAGTACTTGTCTTCATGCAGAGGGCTCCATCGCTCGTCAAGTCCCCGAAGCAGTAGCCTCCACCTGTGAGACACTCATTAAGAATACAGCAAGCGCCATCTCGGGTTATGATTGTGCGTACCATGAAAGTTGACATGGACCGGAAACGGGCCCGAGCCGAAGAGTTCAGCATCAGGCTGATAGATTCTCACAGCAAACTGGTGTCCGTCTCCAGAAGTTATCTTCATGTCATTGACGAAGGGAAGACTGGAGTAGTCTCTGCACCAGGGAGAAGCCCATTTCTGCGGGTTGGCCCGCACATCAGCGAGATCGATCACATGGGTGGGGGGGACTATGGCGAGGTTTTTGTTGTAGTACTCAATGAAATCATCGTCCATTTGCCCGCGGAAGGCAGGGTCGATCGGGTTGGGTAAGTCGCAATTCAACGCCATGGTGTAGAATTGCCTCGTGGTAACCCGGCTCCTGATTTTGAACGATGGGGAAGTCTTAGGAGTTATAAGGCGTCAAGGTTGGTTCGCAGATCAAAGACCTGGCTAATGCTGTTTAAGTTACAAAGGGCGTCACCTATTTATACCTTGCCTTCCGTATTCATCGGCACTTGCGAAGTACGTCTTTCGCTCAGACTACCCGACAATCGGAAGAGAGACGGATCTGCCGAAGGCAAGTGGAATACCCTGCCGAGCGAGTGGCTCAACGATCTACACCAGATCGGCTTATCCGATAATAAATCTACCGACCATAGTGGGGATGACATATTCCTACCGAGGCTTTCCTGGTAATATAGCATAAGCCCAATGAGGTGAAAATGCAATCTTAGCGGCACCGTGACCATAAGTACTACCAATCTGCTGTTTAATCTGAAAAGGACAGGTCATGCAAGGCTTCAGTGTTCCAACCATGTCAACTAACATCATTGTCGTTCTCGGGTAACCACCTCCAACCTAGCGTACCAATACAAGGACTGACATTTCGCTAGTGCCGGAGTCTCTGGGCTGACAAGTGCTCTACTGCTCTCCAAAGATCCTGCCAATCAAATCACTGTTATCGCAAAGCATATGCCAGGAGATGTCGATGTTGAATATTGTTCGCCCTGGGCTGGGGCAAACTACCTCCCGTAAGGCCATTTTTCAGTCCCCAACCTTTGGCTATCTAATGACCGAACACTGACAACCCTGATAGATTTGGAGCGGAAGGCAGTAGACTAGGAAAATGGGAAAAAGCTACTTGGCCTCACCTACAGTATCTAGCACAGAACTGCCCGGACGCCGGCGTAGAGTTTCAAGGTATCGAGACCTCCCGACAGATACTACTACCATCACGTAACTTAAGAGTGATTCTACAGGTGCCACGGTTAGGGTTCGAAACAAAGACAAAAACTCGACGACGGGGAAATGGACGGCCGAACTAACCAAACCAAGTCCCTGGTATCGAACGGTAGTCCCAGATGTACATCAGACGCTAGTTTCCTTATTGTGATCTGACGCTAATTATCCTGGACTTATACAGTTTGCGAACATTCCAAGCCATCAGCTAGACCCCGGCGTTGACAATGCCAACTACTTCACATCTGTCTGCATCAATGTGGCAGTATACCTGCCCTGGCTGTTGAGCCAATGTCGGCGGAGAGGCGTGGAGTTCAAGCGAGCAATCGTCAGTCACGTCGTAGACGCTGCCACCGCCCACCATTCTGGAAAGACGGCGGATCTTGTGGTCAACTGTACGGGGTTGTCTTCTATGACGCTGGGGGGTGTAGATGACAAAACCCTGCATCCCGTCAGGGGCCAGCTCGTTGTGGTGCGGAACGATCCCGGGTCCATGCATATGATCTCCGGCACAGACGACGGAGATGGAGAAGGTACATATACTATGGTGCGGCCTGCCGGTGAGCTCTTGAATTCCTCAACATTATGGCTGAGCGGGTGAAAACTGACTATTACCGCCAAACAAGGTGGTGGCACAATTCTTGGCGGGTCATATCAAATGGACAACTGGGATCCTAATCCTGATCCCAACTTGGCGATCCGCATAATGAAGCGCTGTATCGAGCTATGTCCCAGCTTAGTTCCTCAAGGACAGGGCATCGAAGGTCTCAGTGTAATCCGTCATGGAGTAGGACTGAGACCTCTTCGCGAAGATGGGCCCCGGGTTGAGAGAGAGAAAATAGGCAGGTTCTGGGTGGTTCATAACTACGGGCATGGTGGTTATGGGTATCAGGCATCGTACGGCTGTGCAGAGACAGTGCTCGAGTTAACCGCGCAGGTCCTGTCACAGAAGAACCATTGCAATCTGTAATTAATTTTTGTTCAGAATTGAGTTACACATCGATATTGTTATATCAGGATCCGATACCTAAAATGGCAAGCCTTCCCTTCTAGGCATCCTTCCCGAGGACACCGAGCTATTCAATGGTGAAGGCGATAACAGCGGCAGGAAATGATGCTGCTGCTCAATCGAGCTGTAGTCAGTAAAAGGGTCATTGTAAGGCCAACCGCTCGCGAACCGCATCCACACCAACTGCAACTTCTTTGGCTCTGCGGACGTGTCACTCGCTAGGAAGCGGAGACACGCGTAGAGGTTCGGTATCGCTGCGATGGGCGGGTAGCCATCTCCAGCTCTGGGCCTGAAGCGGGGCTCAACGGTATCATCCTCGTCCTCGACTTCAGATGCTGAAGTCACAGCACCTACATTATCTAGGATGGACTCCTCGATCTGACCCAGATATGCCGCCCGGTACAAGGCCAGCATCCCCTGTAGGGTCTTGAGCCACTGACAGGCGGCTTTCCATGACGCCGTCCAAGACGACAACACGCTCATAACAAGGGAGAAATACTGTTGAGCTTTCTTGATGGTGTCCTCGTCGGCGTACTCTGGGTCGTTGGCATACTGTATCCACAGGAACGTGTTCGAAACTGACAATAGTGATGATGCAATCCACACCGACTGCAGCTCTGATATTGTTTTGGGCCCCTCGGTCACCAACTCCAATAACATCCCCCCGACAGCCATTGCGTTATTCACACACGTTGTAATTAACGTTGGCTCTCGGTACAGCAGCGACCACCCTGCAGCGTCAACGGCATCCGTTAGAACCGACCCGTCCAGCTGCGGGAGGTAGGCTTGGTGAGCCACACAGAATGCGCTGCGAATCAGAAAGTGCATCGCCCCAAATTCTCTCCCTTGACCGAGCCCAGATATGTTGATAAGATTCTGTTTGTTCCACAGGAACCCGGTCGGCAAAGCGGCTTCCCAGTCACGCATATCTTGGTGACGCTGGAAGAAGAGGCTCGCCCGGTCTGTGGGAGCGTGGGACTTCGCAACGAAGCGGTCATTGCAGACGCTGATCTCGACGATGTCGCTCCACAGCGTTATTGTCTTGATGAAGTAGGGGAGTATTCCAATCTCCGACGGATAACCCGAAAATGAGGGCAGATTAGCTAGTGTCAAGCCACGGGTCGCCTCCTGGTAGGCGAGGGACGCGTCGGTGCTGGGCAGCGCCACATTAACGTTGAGTAACGACAGCGTGCACGGCTTGGCGAGGAAATCTGCCAGCAGCTTGTCGACCAGAAGACACGCCCAAAAAGTGCGGCGCCGAATCTCCTGGTCCTTCAAGGAGTGCGTCTGGTGGTAGTCCTGGTTCAACCGCATGACTTGTGCCATGCGGATCGCCGTCCCAGCGTACATCCAATGGCTGGACCCTGCATTATCGAGGAACTCCGATAATGCTAGCACTAGATTTGCCTGAATGTTGGGAACTACATTTTGCGTGTTAGTCAGTCGGGATGAAACTGATAGCCAACCCTGGTAGAGGGTGTAGGAAAATAGAGCACTGACCACTCGGCTCATCCGACGTTGCCCTGGCCATGGCTTTGGCTGCTGGCGTAAACCGGCGACTCACCTTGATGCCAGACGATAAGCCGAAGTCTTCCTCGGCTTCTTTGGGAGATAGGTATCGAGAGGAGAGGCAGATGATCGCCATTGCCAGAAAGGGTGTATTATGTGCAGACATATTCTCGAGGTCCGGCTTATGTATAAACGAGCAGAAGGTGCACGACAGATCCTGCTCGTAGAATATATTGATGCACCGTCGCAGGACTCGCAACTCAGGCAATCGAGGCTCCGTTACTGACTGGGCTGACGACTCAGAGGGAACGAATGTGCTGTCTGGACGAGATGTCACCGTGGCTGACGGCGGCCAGATACATGGGATGCCTCGGGAACAGCAGTGGTGACACCTCGGCCGGACCCCGTTGCATTTCGTCTTCCTTCTACGGCTGCAGGTGATCCAATCCAATCAAAGTCAGTGATTTTGAGTAGTCCACGCGCAAAGTGCCTAGGCTCTGTAGCTCACCATGTGCGACACGCCTGGGGAGTCCGTCGAGCAGGTTGGGGGCTATCCGTATCCATGTCAGGTTCAAGAAAGAGAAGAGAGTGTCTGTCGGCTTGTATTTGGTGATTTCGTCGGCAGAGCGTCGGCATCAGGTGCGGGGTTGAGTGGGTCTAATAGCATTTCCGCCTTATCATTTCGCCGTAATCGTCGGCTTTTCCGATCTTGCTTTGACCAAAGCTGCATAGTTCGCGTGATCGTGTGCAGAGAACGAATCCTGCGAAACTGATGAAGCAAGTACTGATGTTGAACTATATATTTGGCTACTGAGACCAGGGCTTGGATGTTTTTTGAGACATCGCCGGCCTTCATTTCATAAGTCACCACCCGCGATAATGAACTTATCAACCCACAAATCACCCTCGCAACCGGACTGCGTGGAGACTGGCACAGGTGACACATCCGTCACGTTTAATCCGGATATCCTTAAGCGTTTCAAGTTTAAAACCGATTTCATCCTTCTACCGATCTTGAGTTTTGCTTATCTGCTCAAGTACGTTCTTTGCCTACTCACTAAAAGTCCTCCTACGATTGACTGTCAGCAAATGCTGAATCCCTACACCAGCTCTCTAGATCGTAGCAACCTGTCCAATGCCTATACGGCCGGGCTCTCGGCCGACCTGGGCCTAACCGGAAATCAATATAACCAGATCCTCACCTACTATCAAATTCCATTCATTGTTCTCGGTCCCGTGACTACAATGCTTACGAAAAAGCTCGGGGCACGCTGGACTATTCCGGGCATGCTGCTTATTTTCGGAGCTGCTTCCCTGGCCAGTGGCTTTGTGAAGGACTTTGAAAGCATGGTCATCTGTCGCGTCTTTGTCGGTGCTTTCGAAGCGGGCTTCCTCGCATCGTGCGTCTGACATTCCTTGAAAGTTTATAAATTGTCTCTTCTTAACGTGTTTGCAGGGTTCTATACTATCTGTCGATTTGGTACACACGCAAAGAACTAGCCAGCCGCATTGGCATCTTCTACGCGGCATTGACGGCATCCTCTGCTTTCGGTGGCCTTTTCGCCTACGGCATGTTCCAGATTAAAAACGATATGTACTTCCGCTGGTCGTATCTCTTCTTTCTGGAAGGGGGGTTAACAATGGCATGGGCCATCTTCATGTTCTTTGTTCTTCCCTCGGACACACAGAGAGCCTGGTTTCTGACCCAGGCGGAGAAGGAGGTGGCTCGCCTGCGTCTCGAGCAGGATTCTGTCACCACTCTCAACGCCAAATTCAGCTGGAGGGAATCCCTGAGCGAATTCTCCACGCCTCACGGGTATATTCGTATATGTCTATCGTTTGTCGGTGGTACTATCCTCACATCGAATGCCAATTTCTTGGTTATTGTCGTGGAACGACTTGGCTATGATGTCGTCAAGACTAACTTAGTAAGTCAATTGATATTCCAATTGTTGAAGCTCAAGCTCATATGCATATGCAGTACACGGTAGCGCCAGCCCTTGTTGGAGCGGTATTTTTGATTGCCTTTTGTAAATCCTCCGATTATTTCCGCGAACGTGGATTTCACCAGTCCGCGTCGTCCGTGTTCAGCTTGGTGGGTTATATTCTTCTAGCCACCATCAGTAGCTCCAACATACACATTTTATATTTTGCCATGTTTTTGTGTACCATGGGCGTAAGTCCGACCGCTTACCTAAGTACCACTGAAGACAAATACTAATATCTAACAGGCCTATCCTTCGACGCCCATCGGTGCAGCCTGGACCATAGCCAATATTCCTAACCTCAATGCTCGAGCACTGACAAGTGGGCTTTTTGTTTCTTTTGGAAACTGCGGGGGATTGTTATCCAGCAATGTCTACCTTGCTCGAGAGGCACCGCGATACATCACCAGCTTGACGGTTAATATTATCATGAGTTCGATCTTAGTTGTCGCTAGCTCAGCGTATACATTGTGGATGAGATGGGAGAATCGTCGCCGGGATCAGAGGAATGGGCCAGGGAATTTGTCGACCGAAGGTATCACAAGCAGCTGTGATCCACGATTCAGGTTCGAGACGTGATCTTGATTGGGCAAAACAAGACATTGTTTTTCAGACATACAGTATCGAAAACAGTTTCCCCTTTGAGGGATCTGACTAATAAGCATACATTTGATTTGAGACTTCTTGACGCTGTATTTGTATCACACCGAGCCATATACAGGTAGTAACCTTCCGTCAACCGAGTACTTTGACATCTAAACAATAATCTCAGCCCCAGAATTTGCCCTTGATTGTAGTTGCAATCCGTGTAAGAAATACTGGACCGGCTCTTTTAACTACAGAGAAGCTTTATTTGAGCGATTGTGTGAAGGGGGAACATCATTCGCCCCTCAAGCGAGTTGAAAGCGATCCGGTGCTTGTTCTAATAATGTCGTAGCTGCACAGCTTACAAAATCGTGGGCTCGTTCCTAGACGGGGTTGGGTTTATAGCAGCCATTGCGAGTGGTCGCCTTGCTCTTTGGTGGCGTGAGAAATGTAAATGCGTTTGTATTGTCTTGGAAAAGCACCAGGAACGCGAGCCTTCATAAGGCATAATTCTATTAAACAAGACTTAAGTGTGCAAATGGAATTTCCATCTTTTGAACAGACGAAAGACCACGATTTCCCTCCAAATGGAAATATCGTGGTCTTTTGCGCGTTGAGCTCTAGGTGGGCGCTAAGACGGCGCGTAGCTGTTGTGGCTCCTCTACGTGATAATGACCTTCAGATATCCAGCCAAACTAAAAGCAGGTTAGTGAAGAAAGCAACGCGGGAACAAAAGGGCTTCCATGCTTACATTCGAATTATTGAACTAGAGGAAGGATCTATAATCTATTGAGACGTTCTGGTTTGCAACCGAATACAATAAAAAAGAAAAAAAAATCCAACACCATAAATCACCGAGCTCGTAGTCGCTTTGACCGACGAGGCGTAGGTTTGATAGTGGACGCTTTCACTTTGCCTGATCGCCCTTTCCCCTTCTGCTCCCCACCAGGCTGCTCTTCTGGGCGCCCGCGTTTTCGAGACGAGCGTGTCGCATGCTGTGATGGAAGCTGAGGATCAGGTTCTGGATTTGCCGCCTTTGCTGCTCCCCTCGTCATCCGCAGTGTAGAATTCTCCGCCAAGTTTGAATCGGTGCTAGTCAAAGGATATCCAGCAGAGGAGTCGGAAATTTCAGTGCTTGACGGGCAGGTTGATGGCTCCATCACTGTGATACAACCGGGCGCCATCAATCGAGGGTCAATATTTGCCATGTCAAAATCGAGAGAGGAGGCGGGTGTTTCGGTGCCTTGCCGAGTCTCTGACTCCGTAGACACGTCTCTGGACGGACCATCGCTAGGGCTAAACTGTGGCATTCTGGGGAGATGACACAATTTAATCTTGATATCGTACTTGTGTTCATTGTTGGCATGGGCCAGAAACTCGGTGATACTGGCAAATCTGGGAAGATTGCGGCAAGCCTCCCAGTTGCAACTGATTCCGTCGTGTGCATAACACAGATGAGAGTCGATGAGATGACGACGAAGAGAATCTGGGCGCTTAGAAGGAAATCTATGCGGAGGTGGGTTCGACGCCGAGCGGCGGGATATACCATAGCAAATGATGCAGACATCCGTTGGGCATTTCATATTGTCTTCTTCAGGGGGCGAGGGATCCTCTGGCTGGTCAGATGGGTCACCATTCTCGTGGTCGAATTTCCAATCAGCACGATTGCCTCGCCTACTGGGCTCGCAGAGCCTTAGGAGCGCAACCATGTCCCTGGTTACCTGGATGCGACGTGCGAGCAGTTTATCCTCGTCATAATTCTCTGCTTCAGGTCCGTAAAAGTTCTCCACGAGGCGAGCCCGTTCGGGAAAAACGTACTTCGGGGTAGGCAACTCCCAGTCCTCATCGTCAGAACTGTCCGCATCACATGATTCAGCATCAGGATCGCCAAGAAGCTGTTTGATCTGTCGGTCGACTTCGAGTACAGGTGCGTTACGGAAATAATCTTTTCTGGCCGTCTCTCGGGTATCGGTCGCCAAAGTCTTGCGAAGCTTGGTCATCTCTCTGTCGACAGTTTTGTGCCGTTGATAAAGGTGTGGAAAGGGCTTTTGGGCATTCTTCACAGTGCCGGCCAGAGATCGCATCTCCGCCATAAGCTCTCTCTTCTCTCGTTTCAACTCCAGCATTTCCGGATGTCGGCAAATAGCACGTTTATGTGTATCGGTAAGCTCGGACGGCGCTAACGGATCCCTCTTTCTAAGCATACTGCCAGCGACGCGTAATAAACCCTCCTGAGGCGGTCGAAGGAGAACAACATGTTGGAGATCACGTGCAATGAACTGTGACTGGTAGTGTCTTTCAAAAACCGCGTCACCCGACTGGCCAAGCACTCTCTGCCGCTCCTGGCTAGTGAAATTCCCTGTCCGCTCCTAGTCAGACCTAATATGACAAGAACTCCGTTGAATGGTGGTAAAGTTTCCGGAGATTTGGCACTGGAGTGACTCACGATTGACTTCATTTGCGGCCCAACGGCGAAAGTTGTAATGTCCGATATCGTTTTCGAATCGAGCATCTCGACCTAACTCTTGAAGTGCCCGTCGACTGGACTCATAAGTCATCGGCAACGATGGGTGAAGCTCGTAGCCACACGTCGTACGATTAAAACGCCGAAGGAGGGGCGTGTTAAGAACCTCGGGCTTCCAACGGAGCGGAAGGGAGGAACTACGTTTTGGAACTCGGAGACGCCAAATGAGCTCCGGTGTGAGTTCGGCATTAACAAATGCTCCATCTCGAAAGGCGAAAGAAATGATTTGAGTGATCGGACAATATGCCAATTGATAGTCGCCGTGCATGAAAAATTTGGTTCTGGCAGTGACTGTCAGTAGTACTCTAGTATTTGCGATCATAATCACGCTTACCCATCGGCGCCTTCCGGCCGACCTTTCAGGTTACGAAATTCTATGACCGCACAGAGAACGTCACGTTTGCTCTGAGGGTCGCGTAGGTAGAAGAGTTCAATGTCGCGATAGCAGACCGAGTCCGGAAGGTCTGTGACGGGGATGTACTTCGGAAGATCACTCTGAAAAGTGGAGTTTTGTTTGCGCTTGCTCAGGGAGGAGTTGTCAGGTAGAGAGGTGTTCTGTGGAAGCAAGACGCCGGGTCGGGTCCCCGTAATGGCGGACCAGAGTTGAATGGTAGCAAATTGGACGATCATACTTCCGTGACGAAAAAACCGCGAATGGACCCAGTGATGCCGATAGATCACACAAAAGACATCCACATCTAGAGTATTCTTGTCCTTTGTTCGTCTGGAAATTTTGCGCTCAGCCGGAAATACACCATTAAGAAACTATTCTCTAGTTAGCCCAATCCCCTTCAGAACAGAAGAAGCAACCGTACACGTCGCATCTGCGTATGAACATCGTCATTAACACCGCGACGGGCGAATAGTTGGAAGTATTGACAAAGGCGGCGCCAGTATTCGTCGTACGATTGAAGTGCTTTCTCTCGTGATGTTTTGAACATCCAGTCAAAAAAGTTCATGTAAATAGCTTGATCTTCCAGCAGAAGGTAGTTCACGTAGTCCTGGTTCGATTGAATGCAAAATCTATTTCCGTGTTATTCCCCAGCCGCAAGGTTTATTTCATCAGGGTCAACTCACTTCCGCCAGTACCGTTCGACCGTGGCGATTCCTATCAGCGTTCTTGGCTTGAAGTTTGGAGGAAGCCATCCAAGACTCCGGAAATGTTTCAGTCTGGTTCGAGTTTCCTCGCAAAGGATGGGGTCGGTCCAGTACTGGTGCTCATCAACTTGAGCTGGAGGTATGGACACAGGCGCCATGAGGAGAAGTGGGATAAACGGCCAGGGATCGGGTTTTGCGATAGGAGTTTTGGGAGTCAAATATGTCAAAGGTCGATCAAGGCAACGGAGTTGAGACGAGAGGAGGGCGTTGAAAGACCCCCCAGAAGAGAGGGCGGACGAAGCATCTTATAAGCGCTCGACCAGGCTGGGCAATAAGGAGGGGGCCTTTGGTTTGGAGGCAGAAGGGAGCCATTTTCGGCGTCGTTTGGTCGCCAGTGGAAACGGGGGGAACAATCATTGAAGTCAAGCGCCAACAACAGGACGAGAGGTGGATGACTAACAGTGCTGGTTGGGTGCAGAATAGCGGGCAGTGCAAGGCACCGGGCGGTCAAGCAGCGGCTCGCTGTCCAAAGTTACGGGTGGAAAGGCGGCCGTTTCTGGCGCCAGAGGCTGTCATTTTCGGCGTCGTTTTCACAGGTCCCTATATTCTAGATGTAATAACGACTTGACATCGAGGGTAAATTTACCTGATCACCTGCTGTAGGCAAGTTCGCGAAACCAGTAGCAGTGCAATGCAACCTCAGCTGGGATTGAACGAAGCGAGAGTGGTTAGAACTGTCGCCGGTGACCTACAACCCCATGCTGTGAAACTGGCCTTGTCTCGTGTCTTGGTTGCTTGACTTGGATTGGATGAGCTTGTCTGCGCGTCACGGTCGATGGCCGTCTAGATTATTCTCCCGTCTCAGACTGCGAACTCGTCAAGTCTAGCGATCGAACGTCCCTCTAATTAGCACCTTCTTTCACTTGTCGCGAGTAGATACATGAAACCACAATAATTACGTGATCTTCAACTCGGGCCTTTTCTTGCGGAAATCACGCCTTCTGTGCACAGACGCGGAGTGTAATACCGATCATATTCAAGTCTCAGTAAAGAAAGGCCACATGGCCTTCGCCTCCTTCGCAGATCTCTCTCCGGCCACCTTTTCAATATACAAAGCCATAAGCTCCTCGTTCTGCCTTCTCTTCTCGTTGATATCCAATTGCGGCGCAATCCACCCTTCTGCATCGGTATCAAGGCACTCTTCAGCAAGCATTCGAACCTCATACCAAGCCTGATATTCAGCGAACTGTCGTTCATGCTCGTCAAGTTCTGCTTGGCTGAATGAATAAGGGCACTCCCCAGAGAAACCAAGGTTTGCCCAATTTTGACATATTTCTATCAAGCATGCACGAAGCGGAACGATGCCCACTTCAGAAACTTCCCCGCATCGGATGAACAGTTCTCGGAAGACATGAGGTACGCTCATGGCATCATGCGCTGCCCTGTCTTCAAGATAGGTTGACACCTCATAAGCCTTCGCCAATTTTACTTGGGACCATTCACGCAGAGCAATAATTCTGCTCTCTTCATCAAGCTTGTCAAAATCTTCCGGCAGCTGTGGTTGAAATATTCCCCTGACGTAATCGTAATTCTGTGGAGGCCGTAGAAATATCGGCCACTGGGCTTGGAGAAATGCGGGAAGCACAGTCGTTGACTGGAAATCAATGAGGGAAACTATTCTTGAACACTCGTCTGGGTTGACAAAAATATTTCCCATATGAAGATCAGTGTGCCACAGAGTAGGCTGGGAAGCTTTCTTCAATAATTCGTTTGCGTCTAAGAGCTTCATAACGGCCATGGTGACTTCCAAGAGCTGGCTTTGTTGCTCAAAAGTTCCTCTGTAATAGTCTGACTGACTTTGTTGGCCTTCTCTTGATATTAGAATCAATTCTCGCTCTGCAATTGATATTCCCAGGTCTGAAACCGAATTCCCTACGTAAAGTTCAGCATGCGGAGTATCAAGTGGTGTTGGTAACGTACAAGGCCCTTGGTTAAATTCCAGCGTCATATCGGTATTGTAAGCCCGGTCGCAAGAAGGCCCAATGCAAAAAGACTGGGATGGATCAATATCACCATCAAGACGCCTGTTTGACCTGCTCGTATCTGTCCGAAGGTACAGTCCTCCGTAGAAGGGGAATTTAATCGTCGCCAACTGAGCCTCAAGCTTGGTCAAATTCTTGATCAGCTGCAGCTTTTCAAATTCCGTCATAGTGCCCCAAACTTGAAACAGAGGAATCCCAGGAGCTTTCTCCATGACGATATATTCGGCACCCACGGGGTTTGAGCGATCAGACGACCAAGAAAGGACACGAGGCACAGGAATGGCAGTGTGTCTCTTGACTGGGTTGTACAATCTTAGTGAACCGAGTCCCCGCAGCTGGACATCACATACCATATTCTAAAACTCCCACTTCACCAGCCGTTGTTAATGACGACGGGCCAGCAATGCGGCACGGAATTTTGGCAATCACATCCGTTCCATTTGCCCTTTTCATCAGGAAAGCCTTGCTGAACCCCCCTTCCATTTTATCAATAGCAGTCACGCGGCTGGAATCTCCTCCGACCAGGGCAGCCGTACTGCAAAGCGCGTCTAAGTCGAACCGGACATATCGTCGGCTAAACTGATGTTCTTCATCGACAAGGAAATGGCCATTGGTATAAGCGAAAAGATCCTCACGCGTGACCGGCATGCCTGCTTGAATCTTCAGTGACTATCTTCAAAACAAAGCTGCCCTCTTACCTCGACAAGTTATCGATAGAGGTGTTTCCAGCTGGCCATAACACGATTTTGAGAATTTTCTAATGAGAGAAAGCATTTCGCACAACCAGTTTAGAACGCCGTCCAATGCCAGCCTTGCAGAAAGCAAGGACATGTGGTGTCTCAAACGGGGCTCTTCTAAATCAGATCAGGTGGTAAGCTCCCCTGTGTTGCCTGCGAAGTCAGCTTGAGCGCCCATCGTCGGGCCGATGTTACTCCGAGGAACGCTAACCCATAACCGGCGAGGAAGTATTATTCACCCCTAACCACCAGGGTCCTGATAGAGAGGCGCCACCCCTTTTATAATATCTAAATCGCCGATTTGTATCACTTTCACTTGCCTAGCATTTATTGAAGGAAGGAATAAGCGTAGAAGTACTATGGCTATCTCGGGTTAATTTTGAATACAATAGTCCGTAAAGTAGGCAAAAAGGTAAAGCCCAGTAACAGTGCGTAGTGGCTGGCAAGACTATGGTAGAGAAGTACAGAATGAGTCTCCTTCGATATCCCCCTTGCAGAGTTGCACCCACGATCGCGTGTATTTGATATTGCCCAGTATTCGTTGCACATGTGTATAGGTAGTCCAAACCTTCAGCGGGTGGGCGACGCCTATCCTCCCTGGATAGGTGTAGACAGTCCCTACTTATGCATACTTCCAGTGCCCGATGACAAGGCGCACGTCTGTTCAAGTCAGTTTTCAATATTTTTTCAGGAAGCAACGAAGAAACGAACTTCTTCAAAGGTTTGCCTTTGCCTGCCTCTCCATTTCCTCCCACCATTTCCTGGCAACTTCTTCCTGAGATTCCGGTGGTGTATTCTCGTCGATTTGACCAGATGCCAAGTTCGCATCAGTTCCCTTTTTCTTTCGGAACTTTACCAGAGAGTCGTTCTTCGCTTGGGAGTTGACTTGCAAATAGACGTTCTTCATGCCATTTTTGGATTCACCGGCGTCGAGGCGCAGTTGAAGTTTCGAATCGTTGTCTTTCGCCTGTACAGGAGCAATGCGCTTCCCTGGTGTCTGCTTTTGGAAAAGCTTTTTGTACAGCCCTCCTTTGAAGATAGCATCCTCGAATTGCTTAAGCACTTTGGACATTTTGTAAGATAAAATTGGAAAGAAAGTGAACTTGAAAGTCCCACACCGAATGAGATCGGACAGTCTGTCATCCTCGAGGAGTATTTATAACCCCATGTCAAGGTCTCATCTGAGTGCTCGAACCCTGAAACCCGGGATATGGTTGTTGGTTCTCATGGTCGGTTTTGGCGCCGTACAGCCTGGGCGGTATCCTAAAACAAGCTAATTGATCTGAGCGCCTACCATCACCATCTTTTGAAGACTGAACGCTCAGCTTAGGCAGTAGAATCATGCCCTGTTACCTAAAACAAAAACAACCCCGTGCTATCATTTGATATTAAGGACGAATCGATCAAATGAGCGCAGGTGCCCGTCGAATAGTTTTGTGAGAACCACTTGAACATGAAACAACGGGAATAATGCACGGACGCTGGTGTCGAATACGCGCGCGCGCCCTCGAAAGTCCTCAATATTCCACTATTGGTTGGAAGATGGCTAAGCGCCTTGGCAGAAGAGCGTTATTCAAAACACTTTTACGGACTTCTGCTAATACTGATTGTCTATACACTCAGCAGGCCAACGCCCAGACCTTTGTTTTTTAGAAGAGTCAGTAACAGGTGTAACCGGCTGGCAAATTCAAGACCAAGAAACAGACATGGATCTGAAAACCAGACATTTTGACTGCTCACCGAAATGAGGGCAATTCAGGCTGAGATGTCAGCCCATTTGCCACCTTAGAGTTCCTACGGCAGAAATAGAGCCAAGTCCATTTGTTTTGGTTAGGGTCGCCTCACCATGCATTGATTAATACCGGAGGCTCGATGCAGCCAAAACACCTGCAGCTGCAAGACTTTTGAGCAGAACCACAGTCTTCTTCTTGTGTTTTGCATTCATAATATATAGATGAATTAATTAGATGGAAGCATCCGGGCTCACATTGTTCCAGAATTGTGCTTCGGGTTGGCCCGGGGTTCACCAGCTACTGAGAAATCATAATATCACTTTCCTTCTCGCGAAGCTCTGCCTCTCATTTCTTCCACATCCGGAGCGGCTACCAGCGTGGCCATGGTCCATCCTGAGACGTGACTTTGAGCTGTAATGGCGTATTTGCAGTCGAATTCGGTGTGCAGTTGCGGAAAGTAGTAGTGGGAAATTCCGGAGGACCAACAGATTGTCAAACAGTGGGCAAGTAAGGCGCATGCTCATTTTACAAGTGTGTGTTCGAATTATTCAGGGGCGGATGTTTTGCCTGCTGTTTAAGGCTAGCCATCTCTCGTCTGGCGCTATTATATGCTGTATGCCAACATTTTTAGCCTAGTTGTCCAAAGAAACACGAAGAACAGAAGGGAAGGGCAGTGCTGGTAGTAGAAGCGCTCACCTCCAAGTTGATGTCCAGGGTCCGCTTTGAAATCTCTCCTCCCCCGCCGCAATCCGGACATATGATCCCCCTGACAACACCTTTGCCTTCGCATGTTGTACACTGGGACATCTTAAATTTTCGATCGATTTTAAAAGTGAGGTTTGAGTTGTGGTTTGTCAGTCACAATAGATACGACAGAAAATGACGGCGTTTGCGTTGAGTGAATTTATTCAGGAACACTGCTGGGTCATCCCAGAGTATTTAGAAGACACTCGAGGTGGGGCAACTGCCTCCCGCTACGTCAGCAAAAAGCTGATTAGTTGATATAGTATCATGTGATTTGTTCCTTCCCCGCTCCTTTAGACTCCTCGTTCTCGGTCTCAACAGTCGTCCTCCAACAACCAGTCGAGAATATGTCAGATGAGATTTATCACCAGCGCCAATGTCAGACTTGCTCACGATGCTTCCCATCGAATGCAGATCTACGGGCTCATATTGAACGATACCGAGTAGGCCACTCCCTCCCATCCTACTGATCATACTAACATGTTCTCTAGTCAAGGGAACGTATCTTATTGTCTGCGATCGCTAAATGCCGAGCCCACTCGACTGACCTCATAGAAAAATGCGATATGGCATTTGAGCAAACTCATGGCAACGATGACGAGAATGAGGACGCTTGCGAGAATGAGGACGCTTGCGAGAATGAGGACGATACCTGTGAAGCATTATGCCCACCAAAGACTGACGAACACCCCCGGCCGTTCAACTGCCCTTACAAAGACTGCAAACGGACGCAGCCATTCGATAAGAAGAAAAAGCTTCGACGGCACTTTGCAATACGTAATTTCATCTTATTTCCTGGATATGCAGATTGCTAACATTCAAGTGCAGACGTCAGATGCGAGGAAGTGTGCGTGTATTGCTTTCGAGTTTTTACCGTCGCAAGCCAATATATTGCACATGCAGGGAGCCATAGAGAGGCAGACATGACAAAAGATTCGTATATAGCCCGTATTTGCGATAGGCTCCGAAAACGCGTCGATGACGAGCTTTGTTCTCTACTTGGAAGGTCTCTGGATCTACCCAACAGAGACGAGAACAGCGCCCAGAAACGATTGATGGAGGTCGCAGATTTCAGCTCAATGATGCCAGAAGCTCAAACGACCATTCCAAGGTCAGATTCGTATGGTGTTAACGAATCGATTACGAACCCAGAGTCTCTTGCCTCCTTTCATGACCTTATTGGTATCGGCCCCCATCTTTGTTTCGTCGCCAGTGTGCTTACAGTTAAGAAAGGTACTGGACCTCGTGGGCACCTTCCGACCTCCATTCAACTTGTCACTACTCTTACATCGTTACCTAACAATGAGGAGCCCGTGGCCATAAATGATGGCTTTGCAGATGCTTCGGGGCCAGCCTTATACCCGAATTCCCAACTCCTGAACGAATCGTACGAAGATTATAGCGCTCCAGTCTTCTGGAACATGACTTTTCCGCCCATCCACATGGCGGAGCAATATCATGGGGGATCAAATGAAATTCATACAAGCGTCATGACTTCCCCCCTACTCTCAACAGCCGGTCGAACCCAAAGTATGCAAACACAAAGCATGCAAGAAAATGATGGCATTGGCTTTCAGAATGCATCCGCGGCATACCAAGACCCATGAGATCTACGCGGCTGAGCCACGTCTTGTTCAAGCTCATTCCTCGAATGCAAAGTTCACGCCGATGCCTGTACTCTCCATTTCGGCGACCTTACGTGCAAGCCCAGGTGACTTTGGCAGGATCATCTTAGCCCATGTCGCTAGCTCGTTCTTAGTTGTAAACGCAAAGGTGGTTGCGGACCCTTGTTTGATCTCGAAGGCAAGTCGGGCATCAAGAATGACTCTAGGAAAATGTCAAAAGTGCGAACATCCGGGTCTGAGAGGGGAACCAACAAGCCGCCGTTTGCAAATTCAACGTCTTCGCCTTGACAGGCCGCGCTTCTCAAACCTGCAGATGGTATTTCGAACAAGCCATTCGCTGCTTTAACGGTAGGCAACGAGTGTAAATGTGAACCACGATAGTATGTCGCCCGAGACCCCTTGCTCCATATATGAACAATCAGAACGCGCAAACCAGCCTTCGCACCACCCCTTCTGAAAGAGAAGATGTGGCCTGGGTCTCTTCTGTATCGTAGATAGAGTCCTAGCCCGGACCAACCGAAGAAGGATTGGAGGATAGATCGAACACGCTGAGACAAGTGTCAGAAAGATATCATGAGCATGCCTGCCATTCACCAACCATATCATCAAGGACCTTCAGCTTGCAAAAATCCAGGCCGTACTCGGATGCAAGAGCAAAGTCCTCCGGCTCCATCTCGACGTTCTGTTCCGGCGGCTCTGGGTCAACCAAATGGTAGAAGCCATCCCCAAGGAGAGAGCTCCTTGCATCCTCAACTGAGAAAGGTGCGGGCGCCATGAGCAGGACTGTGAGGTAAGTGTTAGCGTTACTCTCCAAGGTAAAGAAGTGTAACCATCACCAGGAGTGCCCCTCGCCCAATTCCCGGAAAATCTATTTTCCTGCATCCAACCCCTCATGGGGATTCGAATCACGTGCTCTGGAATGTCGTGACTGGAGGTTAATGTTGGAGAACTACGGAGTAGTCTGTACGCCTCGGTTATGTGCCCTGGTCGACCATACTTATTCAGCATACTAACCTACCTAACTAGTCGTGGGAGGCACCCGCACCGGACCCTCATCCACCCAATCTAGAATTTCAAGGTAGTTCCTAATCAGTGGGGGTAGTTTTGGGCATAATAAGTATGCCATAATAGCTACCTGGCTAATCTTGTCCTGGATATTTCGACAGGCAGAATGTTATGGACCAATGCGGTGTGGGGCCAAGGGTGTTAAGACATGCGTGGCTCGGTAGAGGAACCAAGACTCCGTACTCCGTTCCGTACTTATGATGGAGTGACTGGCCTCTCCTGTTTGGACAGCATGGGGCCGAAATTCCAATTAATTCCCTTACTCGGGTTAGCACCAGTGGCTTTTAGGCGCTATACCATTTGGGGCAAGTGCGTTCTGTTCCTCAATTTTCCAGGGGTCATGGCTTCATGGCCCCTTCCACTACGGAGGACAGGGGTCATGAGATCATGTTCCCATCCCCACGCCATAATAACAAGGAACATGGATGCATGGCCCTACGCACGCGCTCACACCAAACCTATGTGGCGTGCAGAAAAACTTTAGATCTGCACTGGATTACGATTTAGCGGATAGCCAGCGCGTGTATCTCAGAAATGCAAACCCCAAAAAATAGAGCTTCACCAGATTAGCGGCGGGGTCCCTCGTTGTGCATACAGGCCGGACTGGGCCATTGAATGTTGACTGACAAAGCAAGTCAGATAACCGGTCGCTCTCGAGCACGGCACCAAGAGCATGCAGCTCAGTTCTCGTACCTTTGTCCACAGGAAGAGACAACCAAAATCCCGGAGTAGGCGACAATGATGTGAAAAGAAGATATAAATGGGAGCAACCACACAAGTTTATGGAATTCTTTGTTTCTATTCACATCAGTGTTTGAACTTGTTGACTCAACCTTTCTCCTCTATCGTGCCAACTAATTCTATCGCCTGGGTCACATAACATGGCACAGAGTAGCCCAGATATGCCCTCCTCCGAGCAAAACATGGCTTTGAAAAAGTCCTCTCCCTGTCACCAAGGCTTGACGCCCCCAGATAGCCCAACTAAGGCGACAGCCGCGCCTCAAGCTATGGTGAAGGATCTGAAGCATCTCTTTGGTGTGTTTCTTGAAAAGGTGCTCGATCTTACCAACCAAGGACCTCCAAACACTCCTGTCTCCAAGGACCAGTCCCCACCAGGCATCGACGTGGTTCGGCAGGTGCTGGAATGTGCTTCAGCTGAACTTTCCATGGCAAATAACCCTGCTCAGTCTTCTTCCGCAAGAAATGAACAGGGGAATGTTCCTGGGCCAGATGGATTTGATCTCAAACATCCCATCTGTACAACACCTGATGATTTCAAATCGTTCGAAAAGTGGGCCTCGGCACCCCGATTCAAGACGGTCGTGGAAACGTATGAGCCACCAACTCCCCTTCCCATTTCTTATTAGAAACTGGCTGACATTGGTGTAGTTGGGACAAAGAAGCCTGCAAATACAAGATAGCAGAGCCGGCGGAGACCCGCAGTGGTCTAGACGACTATGCTGAATATGCATTCATTGTCCGTGAACGTGTTGGTACGTAATGTCTTTGCGCAGGGGACCTAACCAATACTAATTGCATGATTAGAACGGAATTCTGAGGAGGTGACGCCCTACATAGACATCAAATCGGAAGGCCTACGTGACATCCTGCGTGTGGTGCTGCACGACATCAAAGCTATTAGCCTGATGGAGGACAAGCCATCGGTAATTGAGACTGAGTGAAATCTCGAAGAGAAGGCTGACGTGGATTTAGATCGAGCAAAACGTCCTTTTCCATTTCCTCCCGGAGCTCGACAGATGTGTGGAGAACACGGACAACAGTTCTGACCATGACTCGGCACATACGGAGCATCTCCGCCTGCTCGTCGACCACCTCAAGCAGGCATATGCTTCTATCTCGCAGCGTCTTGAATCAATGTTGCAGCACGGTCATATTACATATGACCTTCTTTGGGCGCTTTTCAAGCCTGGTTGCCATGTTTATACTACATGCATTGGCACAAAAGAGCCGCGATGTGTCAAATTCGACGCGGGAGAAGAAATATCCCAAAATGACGAAACGTGGTTTAATCTCGAATGCCGGTTTCTTGATTATGACGGAGTGAAGTTCGGCGAGGCCGGAATCTTTTTGCGTGTGCCAAAGTTCCGAGGGTCAAAGCCGATCGCGACTCTTGAAGCTTACCCCCTCTGCCACCATCCGAGTCACGAGGAGGTCCGAAAAGACCTAGTTGAGAGAGGTCAAAGATTTCGGGATTTAGCTGGCTCGCACATTCAGCAAGGTAAAGGCAGTGCATTCCTCGTGAATAAGGGGAAGATTTTCAAAATCAACATCAATAGCCGAGTGGCAGTGGACGCCGCATTTTTCCATGAAATGCAGCCAAACTACTCTCGACCGTCACTCCGCGACCTAGGGGTCAAGGAGAAGGGTGGAATTGCAGTTTTCGATATAGGCGCGATACTTATGGAGGACCGCGAGCGAGAGAAGGAGAGGATGCAAGGAGACGGTGTGGATGCACAGAAGCTAAGCGAGGCCGATTTCTTGGTCGCCTGCCCAACAGTATGCTGTTTCAGCTTCAAGGATAAAATGTTCTGTATGTGAGACCACTGACAAATTCTTGGCATCCGACTAATACGATCCCAGTGGAGTGCGCAGTTAGTGCTCTAAGGGACGTGAACTGGTCACCGGAATCATTTGACTGCCTGCAAATTCCGCCAGAGAGCAAGACACTCCTCTTATCAATGGCCAAAACCCGCTTGGGTCTGATACCGACAGTACCCTTTGACGACGTAATTGATGGAAAAGGTCAAGGCCTCAACATCCTTCTGGAGTATGTCGGCAAATTGTTTATGTACTATATCGAGGCCTCTGTTCTAATCCGTGTTAGTGGCCCTCCCGGCGTCGGAAAGACGTTCACGGTTGAAGCAACCTCGGAATATTTGAAGCAGCCTCTCTATTCGGTACGAGCCACAGTTATGGCGCTGATTGTGGCCTCACTGACATTCCCAGATATCCGCAGGCGAGCTCGTTGTTGACCACGGAGATTCCAATGCGCTTGAACAACAACTTGAAACTGTATTCAAAATCGCTCAGCACTTTAAAGCCGTGCTTCTCTTGGACGAGGCAGATGCATTCATGGAGCAACGTACATCCTACCATGATACTCACAACCGCCTGGTGACCGTTTTTCTCCGAAAGCTGGAATATTACCAGGGAATCCTATTCTTGACTTCGAATCGGGGTATTCAGTTTGATGATGCAATCCTTAGTCGGATCCATTTAATCGTCAAGTATAAAGACTTGACGAAGGAGTTTCGCAGAGATCTCTGGTCGACTTTTCTGTCCAAGGCATGTACGATGCAAGGACCAGCGCTTGTTAAGGAGCACGACATCCGACGATTGGAGTCTCTAGCTCTGAATGGACGAGAGGTAGGTGACTGAGCGACGCCCTTGACGGCTCTCTTGCTGACAAATCGTGGACTAGATCAAAAACATTGCAGCAATTGCACACGCTCTCGCTGAGGCTGACGTCAGCCAGGTGAACTACAAATACTTGGAGTTAGCTGCGGAATCAAATAAGAAATTTTCAAAGGAGTTCGGTCGAGAGAGGCCTGCTGATGGAATGTATGTCTGAGAGCATACCTGGGAAAGTCATGTGGATAATCTCGTTCAAGGTTGTCGAGCGGTGGGCGTTTATCGCAATATTTTCGGTTTGTACACGACAGATCCATAATATCGGTCCTGAAGCTTCATAGTTGAATCAATGTTTTCATATCATTCATGGCATCACACAAAGTCAAGTCCGAGAGCCAGGATTGGATGATCAATCCGTCATTGTCAACACTTATAGAATCGTATATCACCTGAGGCCAGTAGATGCAGCGTAGAAGCGGGCATCGAGAATGATAATAGATTGAAATCCTGACTAATTTATGCGGATGCGTGCCGGAAATGCTTCAGAAATGCTCCATACTTCATTATCATGCGTAATTGAATTGCTAATCCAATAAATGAGCACCCGTCTTCATTTCACACGAAGACGTTTTGCGTCAACTATCTCTGGTTGACGTAGTCGACGTTTTGAGACTCGCGGCCGCTGCAATGTCGGTCGAGATTTCAGCGTGCAGCGGTGAAAGTCGATGATCAACGCCCGCCCAAGCTCTTCATTCCACAGAACGTTATCACGCCGAAGGTCTTCGTGGATGATTCCCAAAGTTTTGATTTCTCTGTTCGATCTGTGAATCTCATGGAGGAGCCCAGGCGTGAGCTCCATCAACGCTGCACTTTCGCCTCCCCAGCCCATCACGAGCATATGGCGAATCTCTCCAGCACCGTGAAGGAAATAAATTTTCGCCAAGTCGATTGTACCCAAGAAAACAGGAACAGCGGACCCTTGTGCCTTGTGCAAAATTCGGTATACCTCCGCTTCGCGCGCTTCGCGGGAGACTTCTTGCCACAGCCTAGATGTGGTCCCTTTTCCGACGACAGTGTAGCCATATGTGATACAAGTAAGTTTGAACGGCGCACCGTATGCCCCGCATCCTCCAAGGGGTGTGCATCGGTCAATGTTTTCGTCCAATTGTGCTTTGAGTAGACGGACCAAGTCTTCTGAAGTAATCGGATGCTGCTGATCATCTTTGCTTCGACGATGGAGCATCACATTTGGACAACAGTCGTCTAGAAGACCGCCAGTCTGCAACCCGAGTAAGCATCTCTGGGTGCAAAATTGCGCATCGCGATGGCGGGACTGGCTGTCTGTGCCCCTATCATCGATTGTCTCTCTTTGTCGAGCTACGCGTTGGGCAGATGGAGAAGACGGAACTTGACTGAAGGTTCGTTTGCGGCGCGTTGCTGGGTTGGAATCGGGGTCGGGAGATTGGGACGACTGTGAGCGATGCCTCACATCGGATGGGGCACAGCTAACTCGAGATCTAGTAGACACTTGACGAGCTATTAATTCGGGGGGATCTGGCGGTGATGACGATGGTTCATAGGTCGAACCAGAATCTGGGCTTGGAAATTCGGGCGCGGTACTGTCGGAGTTGAGAGGAAGTTGCCGGAATTCGTCTTCGGGAATGTGAGAGCGAGTGTGATCGAAACTGGTCTTCCATATAGGAATGTCTGGTCGTACGGAATTCCTCCACTCCTGACCTCGCACAGGCGAGCGGAATGCCATCAGACACAAAGACAGTGTTCTTGCGACAGATGTATTTTCAAGGGTAGCTTCCATTTCCATATCCACTTCGCTATTTGGATCACATAGAAAGTAGTAGAGCGTGCCAGGATTGTTTCGCGGAACACGAAGAAGAACTCGAGCAATCCCGTTGGTCACGTAGGAGAATTCCAGCCCTTCTTGGATCATCACATGATACTCCTGAACAATGGCAGAACAGACAAGACGCTCTGCATTGTACCGCAACTTCGCATCTTTGTCCGTGGGCATTTTATTTGACTTGACCATCTCCTTCCACAAGTCCATTGGCCGCAGCCCCATACGCAGGGTGGGCACAGAAAGCTTATGAGGCGGTTTATATTCGACAGATGTGAGGAGGGTGGTAGTTTTGCCATCGACACGATGGATGCAGAACTGATCAGGCCTTGGGTGGTGTACACTTGATGGTTGGCTTGTATCCGCTTCAGGAGCTCTGCTATCGTTTAGGGAATTCGTATGATTGCTGAATTGAATTCCATCGCCAAGGCCGAACTTTGAATTCCATCGCCAAGGCCGAACTCGTCGCGAGCAGCTGGTAGTTTGCACAACTCGGTAATTATATCGTGGACATGCTCTTCCACAGTGAATCGCTCAAAGGCCTCGAGTTCTTGCTCGCTGCTCATAGGCATGCGACAAAGTCGTCGGCCTAATCCTTCTAGCTCAGGCAAGGATGAAAACAAATGACGCGCCCCCCCTGGTGTCAACTGGAGGTACCTATAAACAGACTTGTACAGCTTTGACAGTTGTGTTGAGCAGTCGCTCCAGTGCTCCAATCGTTTCGGGCAATGTTTTCCGGTGGGAAGAGGGATTTTCCCAGTAGTCGAGCGAGATGGTGTCTCCACTCTCAGCGGTTGGCAGAGCAGGTCATGGGAATGGCGCAAGAACTCCGCGAAAGTAGTCGGTCGGCTGCGCTCCTCAAGTTGCTCTAGTCTCGCTTTCTCCCGTCTCCCTTCATCCTCGGCCTGCTCCCGCCTCTCCTTCTCCCGCTCGGCGCCCGGTGGCAAAAGAAAAATCAAAGCGGGGTGTGTCGGCGGTGAGCGGTGGCCAATTGCGCCACCACTCGGCCCTTCAAAACTCACTACGGAAAGTATCCTGAATATGCGCGTGATTGATTCTAAGGGAAATGTGAAGGCAGTTCTGCGGATAACTCTAACTCTAATGTTGTCTATAAACAAGCGAAATCTGAGGAGAATGATCATTGCTTCTCCGCGACCACTCTCGCCCACGGGTGCTCTACACCCCCAAACATTATATCACTCAACCATCCCTTAAGCTTCCCCTTCGGTTTGTAAAAGCCTTGTCAATAGGTCGATCGTTTCTCGTCAAGACAGTGACCACCCTCGAGATTTCCTCCACACAGTTCAACTCGTGAGTTTCTCCAGACTCCTCCATGTGGGATAGTTGTCTTCCATGGCGATTGCACTGGCATCATTCCTCGCATCGATCCCAGTCCGGTCAACTAACCCCCTTCCAGGCGGGACCACCCGTTCTAGCCCTCAAGTCAGAGGTATAACTCTGAAAATTAGCTGATCATGGCTCGGGGAATGTTTCAAAGGTCGCCAAAGAATGAACATTGCCAAAGAATGAGGATACTGCTTATCCTCAGTGGTTCTTTCGCGTCATCGGTCCTTACGACCTTAGCGACCGCTCGCCCTATGGTTACGAATTTGATCAGGATTTTTCTGATTTAGCGACAGAGGGAACAGGGAGCGAGAAAGAGCTTCACAGTCGATCACGCTATCTTATTTCGTCATGATTTTTCTCGAATCAAGCTTGCATAAATAGAAGACAACTGCATATACGTTGGCAAAAGACAAAGGTGATGAGTAATCAAACAAAATGCCCAGCAAAGCGGTCCACCGAACGAGCACAACACAACGCGAAGCAAAGATAATTTCTGAAGACGATCACGTAGTATATAAATCCCAAGTTCAGACAGCAGGGCAGGTACATGATGAGTGAGGCTGGGCAGTGGCAGAGCCGTCAGGACGTAAAATAGCAGATGTGACCGTCACCGAAGCTGAAGACAGAGTGTTGTGATATGAGGCTGTCGCTGCTCAGGAATGAAGCCGCAACATCGGAAATAATTCCTGCTCTATCTATAAAAAGACCAAGTTGATTCATGCTGTATATATAGCCTCTTTGTATCCTCTGAAACAAGAACAAATAAGCATCCTTTTTGCTTTACAACACCCAGACTTGCCGCCCCAATGCAGAATACTGCACATCAAGCGCATTTCCAGTTCTAGCCTCGACCTCATTGTAAACGTCCCCAAGACTGGAAGGTAATACTGTAAAGGGCGAGCCTCTTAGAAACCCCTTTGCCCGCTAGTCCAAATGACGACCACGAAAGACAGACAATCAATTTAAATTCATGGGGATTGTCGGCCCCCTTAACCAATCACACTGAAACGGCCAGGAGGGGAGAAACCGCTGCCGAGGCGGTTTCAGTGGTTGGTTCAGTCCCCGCCCCAATGAGGAGGGATCCATTGGCCCATTGTGTCATTGCCTACTGAAGTGGGTCACAATCGAGATGCAAAGATACATACCACAGTGGTCTCCTATTTGGTAGTGCTCTGATACAGTACCTAGTCACAGGCCCATTCCGTGAGAAATACCTCCGCCACAATCTCACCCTGCCCTCCAACACGGCCTCGTCAGGCCAGGAATACTAGATCTTCGAACAATGAGACAGAGGTTTGCGATAAGTTCTGTTGTGATATGAGGCTGTCGTTGTTCAGGAATGAGGCCGCAAGGTCGGAAATAATTCCTGTGTATCTATACAAGGACCAAGTTGATTGGAAATCAACTTGGAGTTCATGCTGTATATATGTCCTCTTTTGTATCCCTCTGGAAAATGTGAATCAAGCTTCCTTTTTGCTTTACAACAAGTTCAATACGACAGGGTGCTTCTGGGAACGCTGCAAGAGACGCCACGAGTGCACGGCATGTGGCCTAAGTGAGCATGCGCACGATAGTGGAATACTCGACGACCAGATCCAGATGCTAGGGAGATGGACCTCGGAGGCGTTCAGGGTGTATTTTACGACGAACGCATCAGTTCTGTATAAGCTCAATCACCAGTTCCAGACAGGCTCGCCGGCCCCGCTGTCCCTGCTGATGCCACCACCGTCCCCTCCGCCATCCTAGTTTGGCCCGGGTCAATTGGGCCCTATCTGACGCTACGGTCTACGACCGCAGCGATAGGTGACCCGTTACGGCCAAACTACACTCTTCTTGCTCCTCTTGACTGCGTGAGGTCACCAATAAAACCTTATGGAACATGACTGTAGTTTGGGTCAAAATGATACATCACGGACTAGTACGCATACAGGTGGATATATCAAATATCTCGGAGTAAGCCGACACAGCATGAACGACGGAGACGAGGGGCTTTAAGCGGAACCGACTTCAGGTGCTACGAATGGTTGATTTTGTCATAGGTGAACATCGGGGGCAATTTAATACTTTCCATGGATTTCTGGTACTTGAGAATTTCAGTGAGGATGAAGACTTGAAGAACGGGCTGTTTTCGAGCACGATTAATAGACGATTGTATTGTGTGTCAATTATCAGAAATTTCCTTTAGGTGTTCACTGATCTCTGAACCGTGAAAAACCAGCGCTAGCAGGTCGAAGATACCCAACTAACTACAGTACATAGTGTGGACTGGATGGATATGTACCTTGCAGGGTCAACCGCTGAATTTAGCCACTTAAGAATGAATGATAGTTGGCTTTTTTCATAGTGTACCGAAGAAAATTCGTCACCGGCTGACGCGTCATGAAGCCAACTAAAGTATTTAGCATCTTTGAGTGTGTTCTTCTGTAGGGCGTATGATCGCACCATAATCGACTTAGCTATTCGGAGCAGAGCGAGTATGCAACTAAGCTTAGATGACCCTCTAAGCTTGTACGTATAAGGTAAAACACCCTTAACTAGCTCTAGACTACTGTTTCTACGTGAGGATACCTCGACCCAAGCCTCGAAACCCCATTTTCAAGCTTTGAATGAGCCGTGCTAACATGTGAAAAGATTCATTTCTAAGATAGCCTCTCAACAGACATGTCAAATATAAATGTAAGTATAGTGTGGATAGCTCGTGATGTGCTTTATGTGTTGCTTGAAGGCGGTAAATATGTAACCACCTTGGGTGGGTCCGATGGGTACTGCTGAAGACTAGCCCTGTATAGTCTAGCCTGCTTCGTTTATCTAGTGTCGACATGAATCGATACGACCCACGCTTTTCAATCGCTGCTGCGTCAGGGGTCCCGCTGTGTCGGGGTGCAAGTATTGGCGGTGGATCTGTAAGTCCTACGGCAGGGTGCACTGATCAAAGCCGCGTAAGCCTTTGCAAGCCTTGGAGTTCGGTACACAAAATTAAGAGTCCACAAAGAGGGGCCGGCCCGGAAGCTTAGCCGGATTGGAAGCTCCCGGCTAAACTGCCACTCAGAATCGCGGATTATATACCTCAGTTGAGGTCTAGTGGCTAGAGGCAAAAAGGTATGCTCGACTTAGCGATCTGTAACCGAGGTCAGAACCAGCAATGTATTCTGTGAATTTCGCGAGTATATAAGGCACGTTGCGTTGTCGTTCGTTAGACCACGATATTTCTTATTCCCTTAAACCAATTCGGACTTCTTCACCTCTCAATATCAGTTTCTTTCATGGAGACCTGGCTGTTTCTCGCTGTTCTGATTCTTGATATCTGTGCAGTCGTTATTCGAGTATCATCGGGAGAATGGTCAGCCCAAGCAAAATTATCACTTCTCTCCTCGCATTTGGTCTTGTTGACCGATGTCGTGCGGAACATGCACGAGCAAATGAGACAGTGAACTATGTTCCGGTCACTGAGGAATGGGCTGGTGAAGGTTCTGATCTGACCGTAACCTTTGACCTCGTGAATGCAAACTATGTAGCGCTCTACAACGACACAAGTGCACTCAAGAGACGCACTGGCATTACCACAACCGTGGCTGCCGCAACCGTCATCAGCGCCGCGACAAACACCATCATCGCCGCTGCGTCTGCGCTTACAATCTACGAATTCTTCGCTGATGTGATCAAGTCAAAGTCCAACTCAAACTCCTGCACCATGACCTATGGAACTGACTCGGACGGAACCTATTTCGAAGGTTATGCCTACGAAGCGACAACAAGCGGCTCCAACTGTGACACAACAGCCGAGAAGAAGACTATTCTTGCAGCTGTGGAGAAATGTGCAAACCGTCTGCACACGTATGGCGCCGTACGCGGTTGCTGCACTTTCTCTCACGGTGGCACTTGGACAGGCCATTTGCGCCTGACGGCGGAGCCCCTCAAATACCCAGCAACATACGTTACTTGCTGAGATAGTCAATTTGGCAGTCTGGCTTAGATACCTATGGGTATTAGTGATACTTCGTGTATGATGGATGAGGAATGGTTAGTCTATCTTTCTAGATGATATTGGGGAACACAGATGGGGAGAAAATCGAGAAAATAAAGGGACACGATTGGCTATAACTTGTTTTGGTAGGGGGAGGATGGAGGATGAAAGTTGGTGAATCACTTCCAGTTCAATTCAAGTCTATCTTTCCCGAGTAAATGAAGTTCATGTTTCTTTAGATACTGCCGGACGCGAGCTACTTCAAAATGCTGGGTGATATTACGAATGTGACGATCGAGGACGATAGGATTGGGGAGGTGGTTGATGGGTTTACTTGTTTTGACCTCAGACTGGCGATGGTGGCAAACATGGTGGGATTGGGATGAGTGTGTTCATTAATTCATAAATTGTCTTGGAAGAAGAGATTGCGGCGTGACCTTGATCTTACATATGCAATGCTACAACGTACCTTGACTAAAACCGTGTCAGGGCATATTGGGGTGATCGATCAAATCACTAGGTCAGACGCCTACATGAGCAAACGAAATCAACAACAGCAATACAAATAAAGGTCTGTATAAGTAAAAGGAAGGATCCGTGATTCTCAGTTCGCAACTTTAGAGAAGTCCTTCACTGTATCCGAGATGAGCTGTCCTTCGTTTGCACAGTCCCCGAGCGATCCTCAATATCCCCGAGCGATCCTCAATATCCCCGAGCGATCCTCAATATCCAGACCGATATGGTCAATCAATGAACAGGTTCCCTATAGTTCATGCCGGATCAGAAGGACTTTACTGGCTGGAGAAGATGGATCCGTATCAGGTGGCGCATTGTACAAAATCCTGCACATTTCGCATTCTTGGCATCAACGTACTAATATAGCATCAGATGTAATTTCAGCCAAAGTTCCATTGGGGCCGGTGGGGATTTTGATATCTTTTCCACGGTGGTGAATCAGTGAAATCGGAGTGATGAACCACTTGGTAAGGAAGAGTTGTCAGCGATTGGCCGTCGATCCAGTTAGAGCAGTCAGAACTTACAGCTGTGCCAGCGGCAAATGCTTCCAGAAGGCGACCTTCTGAAGCTGCCTCCTGGATCTCGCCAATGGTAAACATACGCTCGGTCACTTCAAGGTCGCCGCCCAGTCTCTCTTTCGCCAGGTCAAGGCAGCTTCGTCGAGTAACGCCATTCAATATCAGCTGGTTATCCAACGGAGCTTGACGAGTTCCTTCTTGCCATCCTTGCGCTTCCAAGCCACAAAGAAGTTGCTGCCACCGGCCTCGGTGCAGTCGCCATTGGCTCCATATAGCCATAGAATCTGGTGATAGCCTTGACGATATGCCTCCTGGGGGACTTGCAAAGATGGTCCGTAATTTGCGCCCTCTTGGCATAACCGAATCCGCCAACCCATGAGCGGACGACATCATGAGGATTTGTCAAGAGACGTTTACCGCCCGCGGGCGTATCCCACCGAGCCATGTATCCGACAATGATGTATAGGAGAGCTGCCGTTGGCTTTGCAACGCCAATCTGAGAGTCCGTGCCAATTATCGTAGGGCGGACACATAGGAAGTCCCTAGCCCGTTCTTTCGGCAGCCATTTCTCACCATCAACCGAAAGCAAAGTATAGATCAGTTTCTCCAGCTCGTCCGGGTCGAATTCGGGGAGGGAGATTCGCTCGGCGAACATCAAGAGTCGTCGACAATTCCTGTCGGTTCGAAACATTCGTAATCTGCCGTCGTGGCCTCGATAGGCCTTGAGTCCCTCGAAACATTCGTAGGCATAGTGAAGGCAGGACGCAGTGGGGAGAAGATTGAATGGCCCGTACGGCCACTGTCGACATCCCAAGATACAACAATCATATGGTCGGTATAGATAGTTTGCTTGTGCTTGGACAGGGTTTCGGCATCGGATACCGTTCGGGGAGTAGTGGTATATTCACATCTCAATTGAGATGCGTCGAGCGGTTGCACTGACACCATCGTGAAGGTCAACTGAGCAGCTGAGTTGTAGAAGGGAGAGAGCCGGTACTCAGAATTATTCTGTGATCGTGAAAATCTTCAGAATTCACGCTGGCAAGGGCTCTCTTTTGATGGCATTTTAGATCCATAACTTATTAGCCACTGTTAGTCAGGGCGCGCACCTGTTCCAGGGCGTGCAAACACGCCCTGGAGTGGGGCTGGCGAAAAAAGTTGATGCTCCACTCTTAAGCTGCACGCCCTACCCTCTCATTTCGTGGAAGAGAAGCTAAAAGAATCCGGGAGTGAATAGGGGTCGGGCCGCAGAGTTTTCCGTGGTTGACGACACCCCATCCACTCCACACAAACCAGAGGAGTAGGGTTATGAAAACGATCCGACGATTGCCCACTTGACTTGTACTCGAGACCGAAGCTGGACTTGTTCTCTAGTGGTTGTGGTATCGCCTGGCAGGAGACAGGACACCTCTGAGCTTGAACGCCCTTTGAGATCGCGAGACGCCTTACGAACTTGAATGAGGAGAACAATGAAGACAGCACACGAAAGACGAGACAAACACATGGAAACACGCAAGATGGCGTTGAGTGGCGAGGGGGAATACAACTAATGGCGCAGCAGACTGACTAGATCGTTCGGGACCTCCACGGAATGGCCTGGGTCGGAACCTCTTCAAAACGAAGCTACGGGTAACTCTGATCTGGACATCCCGTGGCCACTTTGAAGAGAGATGCGCAGTCTGGCGTTGACGAACACGTTAAGGCACAGCCACGGGTGTTTGAAATGGACACAAGCTTGGCTAGTGAAGGTCAGCGAGTGTATCCCGCAAGGCCGACGGGGGTACTTCTAGCAGCCTTTGCGAGACACGGTCGGCCGGTAGAGAGATCTCAGCTGGTAATGCGAAGCAGGGAGACTTCTCCTTCTGGGGCGTGGCACATAATGGTAGTGACGGACGAGTTGAGAGGACCCGACGAGACTGTCTATGTTGCCCGAAAGGACGGACGCGCGTGTCGGTATGCAAATAGACAGAAACAGCTACCTCACTCGCACTGAGGACCTGAAATTGACTAGCCAAAGTGGTGTCGTCCTAGTGGGGCAGGTCCGACCTGTCTTACTATCTCACTCGCACTGAGAACCTGCGGCTGGGCGATGGATGTGATGTCGTTCTAGCTGATATGCTGATGATGCATGCTTAGGGAGCAAACCTGGAGACACCTGGGGTGAGAGGTTTTTGTCGGGGCCTCAATATCTGGAGGGCGTCCATCGAAAGATGCGCGTGCCGAAAACCAGGGCAGTGGCCTGAACAAGCGGGCCTGGTGAAGCTGCTTTACATCAGTTCCAATAACTCGTTAAGGCTTGGCCACGGGTAGTCTTGGCTGTGTAGTTATGTCTCTTGGCCCATTCACACTGGCCCCATGGGAAGCACGCGTGCAGACTGAGAAGCCTATTTCTGAGGGATCAATTGTACCTAGCGGATCAATGCAGATCGCTTTCAGCAGCTCGGCGCGGAATGAGCCGGTCGGGTTTGGAGTGGCGATCGAGAAACAACCACCCCGCTATCGGAAAGTGAGACTGAAGACCTTGTCCGTCACGTTGAGTGCGAGAACAGAGCAAAATCCATTTTCCGCAGAGCTGGCGGCAATGGCGCATACACTAAAGACACTCGTGGGATTGAAAGGCTTTAGGATCACACTAATCACGAGCAACAAAGCGGCGGCTCTCACGTTGACGAACCCTCGACAACAGTCGGGCCAGGAATTTGTCTGTCAAATCTACAAGCTTGTGAGACAACTGCAGAGGCATGGAAATCATATTAGCATCCGATGGATCCTCACTAGCGAGGACAACAAACTGCTAGGTCTCGCGAAAGATCAAGCTAGAGCTGCGATGCAAGAAGATGCTATCCAGCAAAGACAGGTTCCCAATATGAAATCGACGACTCTAAAGATTGCGCGTACCCAAGCGATCCCCAGCAGTGACCTCCCCGAGAGCATCGGAAAACATTCCAGACGAGTGGATAAAGCCCTTCCAGGAAAACACACGCGACAGCTGTATGACCGATTATCGTGGAAAGAGGCGAGTGTGCTGGCCCAGCTCCGCACGGGCATAGCAAGACTCAATGGATATCTCTTTCGAATCAATGCCGCCGAGACAGATCAATGTGCATGTGGACAAGCAAGAGAGACGGTGGACCGCTTTCTGTTTCGATGTCGGAAGTGGACCGCGCACCGGACGGAAATGCTGCAATGTACCCACACTCACCGAAGTAATATCTCCTTCTTCTTAGGTGGAAATCGCCCTCCGATGACCAGAAGTGGACGCCCAATTTGGATGCAGTGCGAGCCTCAGTACGGTTTGCCATCGCTACGGGCCGACTTGAGGCCACTTAACCTTGCCGACGAACGGACAAAATAACCCCTCTTACTACCCCCAACCCCTTGTGACAGACGGTAGACACGCTTCAACTGCCGAAGATAGGATGTTGAACACTTGAAAAAGCGCCTTCAAGCCAGTCTACTAACAAAATTACTAACCCACAAGGATCCCTTTGATATTGACAGCTGAGAGGACATATACTGCAAGGATCCATGTATGGGCTTGAAGGAGACACGGCATATGTATATTTGGACGTGTATCGATAGATTAGTTTTAGTTGCCCTTTTGGCTCAGCCGCCGGGCGTTAATGAATTGTGTGTGTGTGTACCATTTCTTGTAATCCCTGAAGGTTTTGCTGCAGCGATATTCAGCGGCTTTCCTGTCATACTGCGCCATTGTCAACGAAGAATCTCCGACGTGGCCAAGGATGAGGGCCTGTCAAAAAAAAAGGAGGATGTTCTGAAATAGATTGAGGGGAAGGTCCTATCTACCACTTGGAAACTTGCCGGCAGGAAACTTATCAGAGGCAAGTCACTCGAATATTGCTACATTCATTCATTCCCTGGATGGCTGGAGGTGGAGATTTGAGTTGAAAGTGGGGCTTTGCTGGTGAGGGAGACTTGCAAATATGAACGTTGAGCCATCCCTGGTCAATGTCCAATTTTCATAGCCTATGAATTTTACTGTACCTATGAAAGCCTTCCATGCCTTTTCACCTTCGGTTACTCGTAGCTGCCAGGTATGTGAATATAGGGGAGAGATGATGGATTATGCTGTGATTTCGCAGAAAGATTTTCATTTTTGTCGCCAGTTGAGGTGGTTCAACACCTGTTGAAGTATGCAATCTAGATTTTGCGGCCAGTCTCACAAAGTACCCACCCCACTTCGAACCATGGCGTGTATCGATCTAGGTGGGGCGCCCCATTGGATCCATAACATGGTAGTTGCCTCATATATTGAAGATGTTTAGGGTGAATCACCTTCCACAGTTGTTGAAATGAATTTTGGGGAGTGCAAATAAATTTTGAGAAATGCCTGGAAAGAAGAAAATTCCTGGGACGTTTCGTATGCCGCTTGGATGGCATTACAGTACTAGTTGGTTCCGATTTGACGACACAAATGCATTGACTGGAAATACTTCGTCACTGTTATTCACCAGCTTCAACGGTCATACGCTTTACTGATGACTATTTACGTACAGGAATGCCGGCCGGCAGATTTCCTAAAATAGGCCTGCAACTGTGTTAGCTACGCTTGGCTTTTACTTACGTCGGTGATGAGTGCAGAGTTGGATCTACAGTATTGATTGTGACGGTTAGTCGCAGGCCATTTTCAGCTGGCTTACCGAACGTTTCACTCAGGGCATGCCCCACAAAAGGGGCCACACGTGACTGCGCTAATGCAACTTACCTGGTTGGGGCTTTACTTGGGGGTGATTGGCTCTCGGTTGCTCCGCAATTAGTTGTAGGCCCCACGCCTTGTGAGGTTTGTAACAAAAACCTTAGGATTGTCAGCATGCTTGATCATCTTCCTTGAAGCTAGTTATGAATCAAATTTAAAGCCTTGCCCATAAAGAGTGCATATTAGGTCGCGTGAGTTAGAGTGTCAATTACTCGCTCACGTCATCGTGACGTAATTAGGGATTGGCTGTATTTCACCTCACCAAGATAACTTCGACATGTAATCACCACCGGTTTACTTTCCCTCATGGCACCCAGAAAAGATCATTTCAGAAGGTCACCACGACGGGCCCTGACAGATGACGAGAATCAGCCCGAGCTTAATTGTGACGGCACACTCTCTCCCGACCAAGAAGCTTTTCCTAGGCAAGAGCTTCTCGCCTCGCTAGCGAAGTATGATACTACACATTCAATATCTATCTCAAGTTTGGTTCTTGCTAACCAACGTATAGACTGCGCCTTGATCCGCAATATAGCGATCTCACTATTACATGCGGTGATCAGGTTTACTGGGTGCATAAGAGTATTATCTGCCCCCGGTCGGCTTTTTCTGCAAAGGCTTGTCATGGAAACTTCCAGGTGAGAAGGACGGCAATAAGAAGACTTTGAGAGAACTTCTGACAAACCCACCCTAGGAAGCCTACGCCAATAAAGTAACGCTACAAGAGGAGCCGGCCTTGGTCAGACAGATGATTGAATATCTCTATACTTTAGATTATCAAGTGGACACTTTGTCAGAATCTGCGCACTTCACTTTGAAGGATGTACCGACGGACCTGACCAAATCTGGCACAGCCAAGACAGATTCTGCCTATCAAGCGATGGTCATTCGGGGAGACCAAGACTCCCTAAATACGTCAAAATCAACAAGTGACTTCGCCTCGTACGGTTGTGATCCCCTATCATTCCACATTTTAATGTACGCCCTTGCAGATCGCATGTTTATTGAAGGTCTCAAAGGTCTTTCCAAAAGAAAAGTCGAACAAGAGCTGCTGCAACGACTTGATGCAAGCTCCTTTCCTAGCGGGATAGTGGAGATCTATAACTCGACTCCATCACAGGACAGAGGACTGCGAGATTTGGCAGTCAGAGTACTGTAACTATGCATCATCTCACACGACTGACAACTGACGACGAAGAAAAACCAGCATCCTTCCAGAACTCTTTACTGCAGTCAGTACCACAGTTTTTATTTGACCTAGCGGTAGCAATGATGGATAGAACTGTTATTGAGTGGGCACAATTTGGTGAATGCAAGAAAGACTGGAGTCGAAATGCCGAGGTATCGGCGGCTCGTTTGAAGGTTTTTGCTAAATTTGGAAAGCTGTAGGAGGCTTCTCTGGAGGATCGTGGCCTCGAAACAATTTGTCATGCTTTCTGCTCCAGGAAAAAACGCAACAAATTATTTACAAGCTAGGTTTGTTGGTTTTTTTCTAAATTGCATGAGTTTTGGTTTTCTCGAGGACAAGCTTTATGCAATATCTTCATTCCGTCTCACGAATTAGCCTGCGGTACCGTAGTGTCCCAAGTGCAACTTCTACATCCCTTTCCCTCGACCGCACCTCCCACACCTAGCCTGTAATGGCAACATTGGTCTACGGAAGCCACAACTCGCAAACTCCCCTAACAAAGGAGCCTTGAAATATGTCTCGAGAAGTTCTTTCACAAACTCTGGCACTTGGGTGGCAATTAATCGTATTTGGAGCGTACGCTTGGCAGGAACCGATGACGTCTTTGACTTCGGCCTTTAAATTATTAATCATCAACCTCTCCCATGCAAAAAGACGATTCTATTTCGAAAAACCATCTTACTTCCAATAATGGCCTGGAGAATATGGTCATGCTTTCTCTATCTGGGAGCCTTCAGATGCGGTTCTTGGAAGCGGTCTTACTCCTGAGAGCCTTGGATGATGTGCGAGGGGTTCCTACAGTGCATGGCCTGGACTCAAAGGAATGTCCAAGTGCTGACAGGACCCATCTTCTCAAGCGGAAATTCCTTGACTCCTTCGCATTGATTTGCGCGACTCACAAAGGTGGCGATAGCGTCTCCGCAGCATGCATGGAAGAAAGCCTGTCCGAAGGTACAACTATCAGAATCGCTTGTAATAATGGAGTTCGAGATGCTGTTCTATCTAATGGTCGAGATATCGTCGAAATCCTCGCCAAATTGGCACGTGGGGGTGCGTTCGAGACCTTTGCTTGTCATGTCTGCTTTAGTGACTAAGGACCAGAAGAAACGGACGAAACCTCCGTCCTCCTCAAGATTATTTCAATAGACATGCCACGGATCCGTCAATATGTCAGAGATTTGCAAGAATGTCGCAAATCCGCAGTGTTCTCACATTCGGAGCTCGAAAGCCGCATTTCAAAAAATTTGGCTGGTGTGCCACAGTACGATCTGGGGCCATTCTTCGAATGGCTGGAAGGTATTCCGTCAATGGATGGAGTGGATTTTGAGAATGGACAGTCGTTAATGCAGCTCCTTCGGCACGCACAAAAAGCAAAACACGACCATGCAGAGTTTCTTAATGCTGCCTTTCGTACAGATACCGGTCAACTAGAGAAATGGTTATTGATCATACTCAAATTGGGCCGCTATGGAATCGCATCCCGAGCATTTGCACAACTTGCCAAGGAACTACCCGCACTACTCAATAAAATCACTGTCGATTCGGTGCCCCACCCCGAAAGAGTGCCTATACAAAGCAAGGGGGTTAACCTTAGTCTCGTCCTCCGGAGACTTGATGGCTCGAAAGAAGAAGAATATTTACGCCATCTTTCACTCATCTGGAGAGGAAAGGGAGATCCCCACGAGTATTTCCTACGAGTGCCCAACTCGATTTGCTGTTCATGCTGAGTTACAACTCGTAAGGTTCTACGACGAGAACCCTCAGCGTATACCTCCTTTTCGGTTTATAGGAGTCAGCAAGAAATCTTGCTATCTCTGTGACAGATTTCTTGCTAATCACCCACTTTCTTTCTCAACTTCCGCTTGTCATCAAAAGCTCTATTCCTCATGGGCTCCTCCTTCTACAGGACACAAAATAATCTTCAACTCATACAAATCAATCATAAGGAATCTTATCAGTACCATGGAAGCTGCAATCAAGCAAGATATAGACCGTCGACTGCAAATTCCGCACAAAGTCGTACCACCCGATTCGTCTGCCGGAGTATCGCTCACTGGTATAACGGAACCCAACTCCGTTCCCGTTATGTCCGGAGCATTGGTCGAATCTCGAACTTGCAAACGACCGATCCTGCAGGAGGACTGCACATCTCGAAACTGTTACGTTGAACAAGCAGACGAATCTGAGTCGTTATTTTCCTTCTCGGCAGCATCCCACTCCATTCGACAACCAGAAACATCCGACCTCGACGACAAAAATCAAACTTCCTCCGACTGTGGCATTGTTTCAAAGACTTCTCCACTTTGGGACAAGTTAATGAGTATGGTCCTCCATTTCAAGAGAGCAGATAATTCATTGAACCAGGAAATCGTTCGAGTTGCGGAAATCCTTGACGCCGCTGATCAGCAGCCTTCATGGGAAATGTTGATCGATATTCTCAATTTGCGGGGTTTTGGCCGTGTCAATTTCGATGCCGAAAAGGAGTTATTGGTGGTCGAGAACCACATTACTATTAGAGATCGGCGGCAACTTCTAGCATGCCTGCAATACTTATATAACTCAGGCAAGGTCAATGGGCACGGCTTGGTGTATGATCGGAACACGATTGAGCATGCTGGCAGTTCTTCGCTTGCTGGCGGGGCAGAACACAGCACCGCTGATAACAGCGTAGACTTCTCCGGACTTGAAAGTTGCGAGATTATGAATTTGCAAAAGTGAAGATTCGGAATCGTTTGTGGAGATAAAGAGAGAGATGGAATAATAAGTGGTTGAAATTTATGGGATCAGACGCTAGATTAAAATTGCGCAATATTGGACTGAGATGTAGTTCATCTGTATGACGGGCTATTCAATCTACTCCACAGTCCCATTGCGGGCCACTGTGATCTCATAGAGCAGAAGGTCCAAGGCCAATTGCAACCATTCATTCATTGAATTTAGAATGCGACCAAGTCAGCCCTGCGACTTGAAATGGTTATACTATCGTCCGTTTCTCTCACGACAGTGCTCTTGCAGTACCCAAGTGTCAAACGATTTCCTAAAATGCCTGGATTTTAGCACAACTATCATAGAATTTATTACTGTATGGCTTTAACTCATTGTCTCCAATGTGCTCCAATCGCGTCCTGGCTATCTTCTGCTGTTTAAAACTTTCAAACATGCCCAGATGAAATATATCCGATTGTTTAAACTAGCACCAATTTCCAGGATTTGAGCATTCCTTCGAAGAATTTCTCACAATGAACATATCAAAGGTTGACAAGCTATATCTTGATGAATCATATTGAGGGTCCGAATATTTGGCTTCTTCGACAGATGTCTCTGCCTGTATCACTCTGCCTGAAGCGAACCTACAGCTTTACTGCTACCGTTGCTTCTATACTATCTCATGATGGCTGTAATTTCTGGCTCAAACATATCAAATCCACTTCTCCTTCCGGAGATAGTTGGCCTTGTCATTGACAATGTTTCTATGGTGCAAGATCTTTTGAATTGTGCCTGTGTGAACAGTACTTGGAATAGGCCGTCTTTACAGAAACTCTACAAGGGTTCCTTGAGCGACATGCAGTTCCGCACCCCCGATATTGCGTCTCTTATCTGCCTCTTTGTGGCTTCAAGAAATCGCTTTTCTCAAAATATGCGCGTCGTGAAACATCTGCTCCTCGCTCCTGAGACTCCCACCCTTGACGAGGTTGCGGAGCCTGATTCAAAGCTTGCATGCTTAGACAAAATTCGCGCGTTAGGTCATCGCGAATCCAGAAATGCTCTCTTCCATTCTCAGGGTGAAGGTCTAACCAGCCTTATCATTCCTTTCGAGATCTTAGACCAAAAATGGTCGCTCAAGTCCGACTTTCTTCTCCCTTCATCCATTAAGTTTTTAGCCATTGATGGGTCCTACATAAACCGCACTTGGGCAACTCCCGATAATACATTTGTCGCATTTGCTGTGAGTTTCTCTGGGTGGCTGCCCTCTGAAATAAACATGGCTTAACCCAACAGGATTCAATATCGAAGCTGCGAGCACTTACGATATACAAATCAGAGAGCCATCTAGATATCCCTGCCATCTCCGAATTATTGAGCAAGTGTGATTTAAATTTCTTTCACATCGAGGAAACACACGAGGAGGACGGGTTGACACAATTTGATATCGTGGAATTCCTGCCATGTCTAAATCAACACCAGGACCTCGAGGCATTGGCACTGGTATTTCCCAATGATCCGTACTCCAGACTAGAAATTTTGACTTCTGCTGGAGATGAGTTGGCCCTCAATTGGCCGAAGCTGAAGGCCTTATATCTTGACACCCCTTGTCGTCGATGGTTTACGGGTTTATCAAATTTTCAAGAGCTTCAAATCCTAAACATACAAAAGCTAGAGCCTGAAAAAAACCGCATCGATTTCGCCCTTTGTGCGAACATTGCGAAATGCCAAAATCTACAAAGTCTTGATCTTCGCTTCGTAGGCTTTGACAACGTGGAAGCGCTCCTTGATATTGCACGCGGTTGTCTGAAGTTGCAAAAACTCAGCGTGTGGGGCTTAATCCTCCGAGAAGAATCGGGCCTAGTGGAGGATTTCTTCTTTGACCTTATCTGTGCCCTTCCCCAGGTCGAAGTCCTTGCCCTCGGCTTGAAATTTCGAATTGACAGCGGATTGCTTGGAAACATGGCATATTACTGCCCGCAACTGACAATTTTGGAGCTGCCTCAGTGTCGACTCTACTTATCACTGCCATCCTTGAAAGACGCATCATATTCGTTCCAAAACTTGAAATCTATGCATTGCAGGAGAGTATTGTTCGAGACGCCAAGAACCTTGATTCGACAAGGAAAGATCCTGGAGATTTCGAAAGAGTGGTGCAGAATATTTCCGAAGCTTGAGCAAATACCATTCCCAGCGGACATTTACTCTCAACATATGGGAGATGACAACACGAGCGATGAATCATCAGAAGACGGGGCCACTAATTATGTTGACGAAAGGATACTATGGGATAATCCTGAGCTTGACTATGATGATTACATGACTTGCTGGTTCATCTTGCGAGTGAAACTTTGGAGGGCTCTCGGTTACCGTACAGACCCGTCCACTCGAGGGATGGGAAACGTGTGGCAGTCAGACCTAGGTATCCAGATAACTGGCTGGCTAGTGATTCCTTTGAAGGCGTTCTCAAACACAGAGGATTACTCTTTGTCTCATAGTACAGTCTGTGTTGGTACCACCAGCTAGGTACTGTGTACACAATTAAGTGGACAGCATATATGCTTGAAAAGCAGGAGTCAATTGATTCATGTAGATAGATGTCTATTCTTAGTCTGGTTGGAAAACACTCCTGGATTCCACCCACACACCGGCCCTCGGCGGTTACAATACCGAACCGCACGCAAGAATGCGCGCCCTAACCAAGGGATGTTATTCATCAGTTGCCAACAGTAAGTCACCGCTAAATGTTCTGACAGAGGATATGTCCCCACGATTTTAGAAATTGCCTACTTCGGAATTACATACAATGATTGGCATTGCTTACCTCTTTTTCCTGCCCTATCCCGTCGCACATGTTAATCAAGCGTCTCAAACATGCCTTGCCTATACACATGGACACCCAAATTTCATGTATAAGTTATTCCAATCTATCTAATCAGTCACTTTTACTTGACCAAAAGCACATTTCATCCTCCAACCTCAGACCTCAGTGTGTCTTTGCTCATAATTTGGCGTTTTGTTGAGGTTTGGTTGTCTGTAAATGGTAAAGGCCTGCTAAACGCAGCATTTTCAGCATAGCCTATGTGCTTTAATTCCGAACTCGAATGTCGTGAGGTGGGCAAAAGAATGACCTGTAAAGGAAGCCATTAAGAGAACCTAATATTACTCGACCTGCGTTTGGCGTGCTACCGACGCGTTAGGACGGACCTTTTGATTTTAAGCATAATCCATCACACCTGGATTTGCAAGAGCTGCGAGAATGCAGTACCGCCGCAGCACCAAGAGTATTTCGTACGGACATGTAGAGAAATTCGGCCGCAAGCCCGACGTTCTCTCCAGATGTGATCAACGCATGAAGAGCGGGGACACAAGACAAAAGTCCGAAACGTGCACATAGATATGGAAAGCCGATATCAATTGCAGAGGTGTCCAAAGAGCTGCCAAAAAGATCGGTAAGGCTTGAAGTAAACATGAAGGTAGAGGCAGTCAGGTTTGAAGGTCGAAGCAAAGTTTCGGCAGGGAAAAAAAAGGCAAATGGCAGACAAAGTACTTCCCCAAATAAAAAACAGAACTCCTGCGTATTGCACTATTTTGGCCCATACTGCATCGTGGCTTTGAACGGTAAAAAGAAACCGCGTGAAAAGTGAAGATGCGCACCAATCAATAACTCCAAGCTAATGCAGAATAAGGGAGACTGGGTTTGTTGGGGACGTGAGAACTGTCTGTCTCGCCGGAATCAAAAAGTATATAACCCCAAAAGAAGTATCACAGATATGATCATCGAGTTGCAAGCCTGATATAAGCTCATATTGTCTCAGGGAAATACAATCGACAGTGGAAAGCCGGTCAGGAGTCGGGTGACAAGGTTGTGGGCGGGAACGCCGTGACCGGGTTTGGTACTTAAATGACAAGAAGTGGGATGACAAGGGAGATCCAAGAACTTGGAGATCGCTCTGGAATAACAGGCTTATAAAAAACTTGCTTTAAAGGGGCTTTGACTTTTAAGTTGCGTTGAGCGAATATTGGACTTGAATAAACTGAAATAGACCTCTTTGTTGTCACTGAATGGCTCGTACTTTGTCAACCGATTTTAATATGAAATAATGTTCAGTTTTTAAATGGCTGCTTATAGTAGGAAGGTATCAAATCCTGTGGTAGCAGATCTCTGATGTCAACGGTGACAACCAGCTAACCAAGTGATCATGACAACCAACGACTAGGAACCCGCTGTGACCGTCAACGTAGCATACTCAACTAAAGTCAGACCCTGAAGCCTAGTTTATTGCAATCATGGAGAATTCGATGATTCCGCTAGCTTCAAATAGCAGTTTAAAGACCAACCAGCCAGATATTTCACCAGCAAAATATCATGGCTCAAGAGGCGATCGATGTCTCCGACTCTCTTTCCTACAACTGAATTCAGACAGTATAACTTCGAAGATCTCTTTTGTACAATCATCGGAAGGAGACTATGGCATAGTCAGTGAAGGCGACGAGTTCGTGGTTTCAGAGAGAGAACATTCAGTCTACACGGAACGTTCATCGGTCTACGACACTGACCCACTTGAGGATCCAGACTCAGAGCCTGAGCGGGCAGCAAAAGTAAGTGAAATCGTGCGATATGTTCCACTTGTCGCATATTTGTTAAAGATCTAAGCTTTAATAAATTTTCGATCGGTGCTATCGCACAGCGCGTGACCAATCGAGACGGTGTTCTGGTAACGCAATTTCTAGTACTCTGGCAGTCATGGGAGCATTCAATCCCCGAAGTTTCATAAGGTCAAGAGCAAGCGGCTTGATCATAACACGGAAGATCAATGATTTTGGCCATGGAGCTGTTTCCAGCACCATCGCAGCACACTACTTAAACAATACTAGACAACAAATTACAGATTCCGTTTCTTTTAATCCCTATCTACACCGGTAGACGAAAGATTTGTGTCTAAGGAAATGGAGATTTCATCACCGCCGATATGTACCGCAAATAATGCACTTGCCATCAAACCGAAAATGTAGGAAATTCAGCCAATACCCCGGCATTTTAATAACTGCCATGAGGGCGGACTTTGAAATACAACTTCAATCTCTTAGCCATTTGATTAAACAGGGAAGACCACTTGTACTCTGTGAGCCGTCCTATGCGCAGTACGAGAATCCCCAGTGAGGAAGTAAATTTTCGGTAGAACTGGGTCGAGATCTTGCAGCCCTATGTGGCTCTGCTGCTGCATACGCTAGTGAGTGAGGTCATGGTTGTTGGATTTCTTGAAGTGCACTCAACGGGCGAATTTCAATGCATCTGTTGAGAAAAGTGAAGGATGCTGCTTCTGACATAGACAATACCTGGTTCACAATTTCCACAGTCAGAAACTCAATTTGTCAAAGCCAAAGGAACTATGCTTCCCAAGAATAAATAACCACACTTTGTCGGGTCCTCTCGATACGACTGCTCAAGTATTGATCCAACTGTTCGGAACTGAAGCTCAAAATATATCGATATGTGTTGGTATCACCAGCTAGATACTGTGTACACAGTTAAGTGGACAGTGTTTATGCCAAAGCAAAAGTTGATTGATTGATATATGTTCGATGAATAAAAAAAAAAAAAAAAAAAAAAAAAAAACAAAACAGAAACAGAAAAAAATTAGAAAAAAAAAAAAAAAAAAAAAAAAGATAAAACTGAAAAAAAGAAAAAATAAAAAAAAAAAAAAAAAAAGAAAATGAAATTAAAAAAAAAAAAAAAAAAAAAAAATGAAATAAAAAAAAAAAAAAAAAAAAAAAAAAAAAAAAAAAAAAAAAAAAAATCTTGAGAATAGCAATTTCTTGTTACAATTTTATGGACACAAAGTGGGTTACCTCATCAATCAACAGCGAAAAAGTACGTCCACGATTAACTACGATATTGAGTTTGAAAGAAGAACAAGAAAAATACAGAAAGATGCCCTCTTCTAAGTCGAACTTGAGATCTTATTCCAAACTAACAATTTCGGCTTCGCCACTGACGAGCTCTCTACGAACATTCCATGCTCTATATCCACCCCATCATCCTTGATAGCCTTGGAATCTAAAACTGACAAAATCTTCGACACCGAACTTTAAGCTAATCCTAGCTGCATTTCACCTTTCGTCTGGACCATAGCAGGTGGGTGAGGTGCACAGCGAGCAAACCAAATCCAACAGAAGTTAAAGTAGCCAGAGTCCATATTCTTAGACCTGCTTGAGCTTCAGCCTTAAATGGTGTCAATACAGCAATGAGAAGAAAACTACCAAGCGATCAGCAATTGCAGTACTCCAGACATAGGATTAGTCTTCACAATTGGTAAACGGAGGCAAAGGGGTAATGCTCGAAGCGTACACTGGTTAAGTACTTCCCGAATATCAGTCTTGGCTGCGGTGGTTTCAGCCCCCAGACGGGTATATCCCAGAAAGGATAAAGAGTGGATCATATTGCATCGTTCCATGACTTCTTCAGGCAATTAAAACAGCCGCGGGATGCCATAATGCGTTTGGCGTATCAGATCCTGTGCCGAGGTCATTTCCTATAAATGAAACTTGATTTCTAAACTAGCGGGCGCTGGAGTGCCAACCTCCAATCCAGTATTTGTCAGGTACAAGAAGCCGACCACAAAGATTGCCTCTCCTAGCTAAGTCAATTCGGCATCTCCCATAGAAGGATCGTTCAGACGAGAGTAATCCACTTAAGGCACCGAGGAGAATGTTCCCGACATTTTGATCACTTCACCCTGTGCCACACTATACCTAGGATCGACCGACCGGTGCCAAGTACCCAAGTATTAAACTTACACGCGTCGACAGCAGTGTGGCTGTGAGATAATCCGAATATGCCGTAAGAGAATGCGGTCTCGAAAACCAAGTGTCACAGTTGCAGTTGGTCACTGGTTTCCCCGCAGAGCCAAACTGATGTCGTGATTGCTTCCCCACAAATTCCAGCATTACTCAGACAAATTGAGGACGTGAGGTAACAACCTTCAAGGACGAATCTACTGCTTCCAGGGACCACTCTGTACGAAGGATTCATATTCTGTAATAAGCAGAGACTTTATGACTGAGTTATCAATAAGCATGAAAAAGAAAAGGGTTTTCCTCTGATGTCCCTCCGGTGGCTCATCATCTTGAAGGACCAGAGTACCCTGTATAACAATATGTGTCGACCGTCCACACCACATCTGATATACACACTTTTGCCCTGTCATATACAAACAACTCATGCAATTTCCTCTACGACAGGCGTTTATAGCCTTTCATTATGACACGAGGGCACGGTAGAACTATGCCACAAGTGGATCCTCTCCAAAAATCTATGCTGTCTGCGCTTCCAATTTAGTAAAGATCTCAATGCCGAGTCCCGAAGAGAAAAAGATGCATAGTGAAACAGACCCAGAAATGATGATGCCAACTAGCAGAATAGCAGGATATATCGATTGGTGGAAATAACTCTGTACAGTCCCCACTATTCATCTTCCGTGCCAAGATCCTCCGCGAGGTGATGAAACCCCAGCAGTCTTGGCGCGGCTGCATATGCATGTACCCCAGAAATGAGAGCCTCTGAGAATTCATTTGTGGAAGTTTTGACTTTGCTTGACGAGATTATCCTGTCATTTGATCAAACTTGTGCATCATTAAGCTCATCTAGAAGGGTGGTGAAATGTTTTCCCACGAGATTTTACGCGAGGCGGCCCGGCACATCTATCCTTGATGCCAAGACCTGGACACTTCTGAAAGGTGCTAGGGAGCCCTTGCATTGATGCAAATCCTCGGCAGTGTGAACGTGATGCAATATTTGTCGGAGAATTATGACGAACTCGTCCACCTATATCCTTCATTTCATGAGCTAAGCTGGAGGAAATGACGCCGAGAAGATATTCCATCCACTCTGACAGACGAGAAACACCAAGCTGAGTCTAGTATGCAAGCTCGACGGAGCTCCACAGGTATATAAAATTGGCCAGGCTTCCGAATTTTTGGACCAAAACAATCACATCAGACTTTTCAATTCATATCCAAAGCTTCCAGCTCAACTTTGCTCTATCAGTCCCAATGGCTCCTTCCAAGTGGATCACGGCCGTGCTGGCAAGCTGCCTCTCCGGCTCGGACCTAGCAGCTCCCACTGCAACCAATGACAACCATATTGCCAAGCGCGCAAGCATCAACGATGTGAGTGAAAGACTTGATGAATAATTCTACTTTCCGCCTTTCTAGTCGCATCCACGCTGACTCGTTGATTAACAAAACAACAGGCGGCTTCCGGTTACGCCAGCCAGAATGGAGGCACCACTGGTGGAGCTGGTGGCACCACTACAACTGTCTCCTCGTATGCAGCATTCACTTCCGCAGTTTCGGGAGATGCCAAGAAGGTTGTGGTTGTCAGCGGCACCATCACTCAGACTGCCGATCAAGCTCGCGTTGGCAGCAACACCAGCATCATCGGCAAGGATTCGAGTGCTAAGCTGGTGAACTTTGGAATGTCAGTATCATGATACTCTCCCGGTGTCTGTCATTTATTTTTGATCTGACCATGTTCCCAGTCTTGTCAAGGAAGCTTCCAACGTCATCATTCGCAACCTTGGTATCTCCAAGGTCCTCGCTGACAACGGAGATGCCATCGGCATTCGTAAGTCACTATCCTGCAAATCGCGGTAGAGAGGCGCTGGCACTAATTCGTCTCAGAATACTCCAACAACGTCTGGGTGGACCACTGCGACGTCTCCTCCGACAGAGACCACGACAAGGACTACTACGATGGTCTTATAGATGTAAGTACTTTCCAGTGCCCCGTCTCTGGCATATAATTCAAGTAAACTGACATGCTTTTAGATCACCCATGCATCTGACTACGTGACTGTGTCAAACACCTACATACACGACCACTGGAAGGCCTCGCTGATCGGCCACTCCGACAACAACGGCGACGAGGACACCGGTTACCTCCATGTTACCCAGAACAACAACTACTGGTACAACATCAACTCTCGCACCCCATCGATTCGCTTTGGCACTGGTCACTTCTACAATAGCTACTTTGACACCGTCAGTGATGGAATCAACACTCGCGATGGTGCCCAGGTTCTCGTCGAGTCAAACACTTTCGTCGGCAGCAGCAAGCCTCTCTACTCCACTGACGATGGCTATGCCGTGGCCAGAGACAACGACTTTGGTGATGGCGAGAATACTGCTGAGACCGGAACTCTGACCTCTGTACCCTACTCATACACTTTGGTAGGATCTAGCAAGGTCAAGAGCGCTGTTGTGGGCACTGCTGGTCAGACCCTGAGCTTCTAAGGGCTCAATTTGAACACGGGCTGGACTACCGATACTTTGGTTTTGGTGTAGCTTGAGGACAGAGTTGTTTGTATCACTGAGTTATCATAAATTTGCAATTATCTATCTCTTTCGCAAAATTTGATTTTGAGTACGATATCTCGTAGCACTGGCCATACATATCTAACGGCAGCCTACCCTATGACAGATGCTGGAGCAGGGTTCATCAATTCGCCCAGTTCGGCATAGATATGGTAGGATATGGTACAGTTCGGGAAATTAGACTTTGAAATTGGCACCAGCCACTAGGCATGAGCCCGACTTGATAAATCTCCGATATCACTAAGCCCAATTGTTCCCTGGGTATCACACCATAAATCCAAATCAGTACACCGTCAACGCAATCCATCCAAACACCCGAACCAACCGAAGGGTATAATCCAAAATAGATTTTCGCTTATGCTGTGCCTTCTTTCAAGAATGAATTCAGCGACACCAAATCCTCGCTTGGAGTCGGTGTCGGAAGCAGAATCTTGGTTGCGTCAAACTCCCACGCACTTTCTCGGTCATCGCGGTGACTCCGAATCTGGAAGGGCGTCGTCCACTCTTTAAGCCGGCCTTCCAAAAAGCCCAAGTCACGATTTCTATCCCACATGCGGCGGGATTCTTTGAAAGCGCGGTTGATCGTTTCTCGACGAAGTCGCTCGTATGCCTCGAAGACCTCTGTGAGAGGCTCCGAGCGGTAACGTGCCGGGATACGAGCAAAGAGAATAGCATCATCCAAGGCATATGCTGCCGATTCGTCCCGAGGGGGCATCTGTCGTAGCCTGCTAGTACGGATAGTCACATTTTATTATAGCCGTCCATCAAAGACATACCGCATGTGCTGCATCACCAAGTAGGATAATACGTGTCAACCCCAATGGGTTCCAACTCGTACCAAAAAAAGGATGAACATCACATCATTTGTTTTCTAGATGATGCAACACTTTATATGGCGAATCCTAGCTATTTATGTTGTCATCAGGCACCAGCATATTCAACATCCATGGACCTCCGTTATATTGTAAGTTCATGGGTATTTCAACCCCCATGAGCGCCCTCATTTTATGTTCTTCAATCAAGTCTATCAATTCACTCAGTCTTCCCTTTTGATTCCGTTGCTCCGATTGGCCAATTCTAAGTACTCCGTAGCTGTCACATAGTTGATAACACGGTTCATACACCATCGTCCTCCCAGTCGAACTTGATAAACAGGGTAAAGCATCCAATCCGCTTTACTCTCCACCATCTCTCGGATACAGGGCAGCGCTGATTTTGAGAACCGAGATCGCATCTCGCAGCGCAGATCCCGACGTATCCGATACTTAGTTGCCCAGTCTTGACCTGGCTCAAGGCGATGGTGGCTCAAATCTGCTTGATCGAATTGAAAAATGGCAGTTGCAAAAATTTGCTCGCGGTCACGATCGCAGAAGCTCGTCAACACCGAGCCATGACGGGAGATATTCAACGCAGATGACTGGAAATGCGGTGGAAAGAGGGAGTTTGCCGAGAGAGTAGCTTGCAAGAAAGACATGCCCGTATATTGAGAGGCGCAGTCGGGATCAACCCAGCGGGTACGAACAGCGGAATGAACACCATCACAGCCAATGACGAGTTCTACAATGACTTCCGATTGGTCACTGAAATGAATAACGGCTTTGTCGCTGATTTCCTCACCGCCAATCACTTTCTTGCCAAAGACGAGATTGACAATTGGAGTCCTATCGATCACTGTCATCATGGCCATGGACAGAATGATTCGCATGACACGGCGGCCCTTGTACCCGCCAAAGCCGTTTCCATTGTGATCAATAAAGTCAATTGAGCCGATTGAGCGACCTGAATACATTGAAAAAAGTTCAATCGCATCCACTTCAGCCCCACCGTCGGAGCCCATACGGTCTAACTCGTCCAGGACTCCTAGCTTTACTAGGTGCCGTTGTGCGACGGAAGTCAAATTGATTGCACCGCCTAAGTTGAAAAGAGTGTCATGTCGTTTGTAAATTGTGATGTTGAGGTTTGGCACGAATGGTGAGAGCTCTCGGGAGAGAGCCAGCGCACAGGCAATGCCGGCAATGCCTGCGCCAACCATGGCGATGTCGCGTGGAGGACTAGGAAGATCCATCGTCTCTTCGTTTCGAGATTTCATCTTTTCCAGGTTCGAATACTCAATGAAGTCTGAAATGACGAACCTTGTGAATGAATACAGGGAGATCATCGATGGCATCAGCACCATGTTCGGGGTCGTTGGCGCTGTCTGGAACATCTATTCGAGCATGGAGAAAGCTTAACAGGATGCGGCCAAACAGCAGGCCATGGTCAACCAAATCATCCACACCGGCACGTACCGGCTGAAGTTACTATTGGCCAACACTCGCTTATATCGCATACAGTCGACATGATAATTACAAGCGCGAAGACCGAGATAACCCACTACAAGGACGAGATAGAAACCCGGGCCACCGTTGTGGCGGCAAAGACCGTTCTGGAGGGCTTCGGCCATGACTTTATGCCTTACGTCAATACGATCGCACTCACGGAAAAGACCATAGAAAATCTCGACAGCCTTAGATCAGAGGCACGCGGGGCCATCGTGAAGCTGCACGAGCTCATTCCTGTGCGCGCTAAGAGCGGCGACGGCGCCGCCCTCCAGATACTCTATCGCAATCTGCTAGCTGTCGTACAGTGCACGCTCACGATGGACAGGCTGCAGTACGGCCCGACACATGCAGTCGTCATGGAAGCCAAGTCCGAGATAAACCACCTCCTCTTCCTTATCGGCGTTATCAACGAAGGCCTCTGGCTCGTGAGCGACCATTGCTCTTCGCCGGGTATCGTCCGTTTTCACATAGGTGGCAAACATGGTAGTCCCGAGCTTACGAATGACTCGTACCACTACAAAGGCAAGCGCCAGCCGGTGAGCGGCTCGAATATGGCGCTCGTCTCCCAGGCCTTCATCGAGGCCCGCAAGGCTGCCCGTGACCATGCAATCCCGCAAGAGGTCTTTGATTGGGAAAACCTGTTGATTGGAATGACGCTAAAGTTCCAGGAGCTTGAGAAAACGGTGCCTGCATAAAAAGGTTGGGAATTTGGGCTCGGACGAGGTGTCCGCTGCTCTTGAATGGTGCAATCTTACCTATCGCTCGCTCCACCAGTCGTGCAGTACGCAAGGAAGTCGCGAGAGAATGTTCCAAAAGTCTACATCAGAGCGTTTCTTGCCTTAAGTATTGGTGAGTTACTTGAGCAGCATTAAATTGTTGTGTGGATACGAGCGGCTCTTGGATGATAATCGCCGTTGTCAGTAGCAATATCTGGGGAAATTTGGGTGGAGGAGCGGAGCAGGGTGTGGAAAGAAAGGAAACATCAATTTTATGTTTTTACAGTATATAACCGTTCTCTTTGATGCTTGTTTGGAATTGGAGAGGCTTTAGACGATATCGTTTCATCAGGACGAGGGGATCACCGAGAAAGCCACTGTCAGTTGTTGGTCCGCTCTCTTATAACACCTGCCTGGTCACATGATCATACACCTGTCCAAAAAGACCACTATGTCAGCCTTGACGGCTGACATGCCTAGGACCGATATATACAGTAGCGCACGTATATATTGTTATATCATAACACGCTCGAAATCAGTCTCACCACTTCATTCTCTTTTTTTTTCTACAATCTTGCGCAGACTCGCTTCAGTCTACATCTTGCCTAGATCATATTAAACTGTCCAATAGGAAAGAGTGACCAGAATAGATTAACTACATTAAGCCTGGCGTTACTAAGAATAAAATTCGAGAAGCAATCAAAGAGAACAAAATGGTGAAACTGATTTCGATCCGCCCTGTTAACCAATGGAGCGGCCCTGTACAATTTATATCACGGCAGGAAGACTTGGAATAACCGCGAAGAAGTGGTGGTTGATACTATCCTGATATAAAACTGTTGTGGTTGTGGATTCGGTGTAGTCGCACACCGTACTCCGACTGAGGACTTCGACTTGGAGAACGCAAACGCTCAAGCCGTCCAAAAAATCATGGAAGATAATGATCTGGCGGAACTGAACTTCAAGATCGAAGAGCTAGCGTGGCTCAAGCGGAAGGACAAGGTGCTAGGGAAATTCGCATCACTTGGCATCTGGTTTGACTCTGCAGAAGGAGCCGAATATATCCTTGACCGTGGCCTTCTTGTGGGACAAAGACAAAATGGCAGCGTAGAACGCCGCGGAATTTAGAAGAAGAGATGCTTCCGATGCCAACATTTTGGACACCTAGCGTGGTCTTGCATGGAAACACCACGGTGTGGACACTGCGCAGGTCAACACGAACGGCAGCGATGCCCCTCAGGGTGAGAGCCCGATGCCTCGACTGCAGCGGCGAACACCCAACTGGTGATCGACAGTGTCCAACCCCCGCGACTTCCAACCCTTCCCAATGTTAGAAGTGAACCTTCGCGTGCTACAGTTGAATGTCATGAAATTGGGGCCGGGAATGGAAGCTCTCATCAATGACCACCAAAGCTAGAACCTGGATGTCCTCTTGATCTAGGAACCGTCTGTCACTAGCTATCGAACACACATTAACCATAGCGCTTGGCGACTATATCAGCCAACCGTTGAGTCCGACGAAGTCCGAATCCGCAGCCTGACCTATGTTAACCGAAAACTGTCCACCTCCTCACACAGGCAGATTCGGTGCAACCACCCAGATATCACCGCCATCAAGATCTGGACTGCCGACTCCCAGATTCTCATCTTTTCTGTTTATATCGCTTGCGTCCCGCTGCACGCCCCGAATGAAGCGTCGGCAGAACCTGCGTTAACGGCGATCCAAAACACAATTTCTGCGGCTCGACAAGACGACCAGAGATCAACAAGCGTCGTCCTAGCGGGAGACTTCAACCGACATCACCCAATGTGGGGCGGCAACCACATTCAACCAAGGTTTATCGAAGACGCAAGCGAACTCATCACTTTTTTCCAAGACCACAATCTACACACTTGCCTGCCCCGGGGTACAGCAACCTTCTGGCCCCTTAACGACCCAGGGAAAAGCACCACTATTGATCAGACGGTGTCAGACCGACCAGACCTGCTCATTAAATGTCACCTCTACCACGAAAACTATGGGTCGGACCACCGAGCAACATACTCGGAGTGGAGCCTCAAGCCCCACCACAAACCCACTATAAAGACGAGGAAAGCATACGAACGAGCAGATTGGGACAAGATAGGGGCTGAAATTCTCCTGCGGATGGGCCCGTGGAAAGAGATCAAAACAAGACCGGCTCTAGACGAGGCAGTAGAAAGGCTCACAGAAATCACGACGTCGGCCGTGGACAATCACACTCCAAATCGACGACCAAGCCCCTACTCCAAACGCTGGTTCACCCCAAACCTGAAAGCCCAACAAACCGAAGTCAACTCCATCCGTCGGAAATGGCAAGAGAGCTGCGCGGAGCACGGTCGCCATCACACACGGTCGGAGGAACTCTTTGAAGAGATGCAAGAAAAGCGTCGAACCTGGCCTCGTACTATTGAAAAGGCCAAAAGGTCATACTGGAAACAGTTCCTAGATGGCGCTGGAGAAGGAAAACTGTGGAAGGCCGCTACCTACATGAAACCGCGAGAGAACTGGGGATACGTCCCTTCCTTGCAGGTCGACTCCAACGAGCTAATCGAGAACGAAGACAAAGCCCAAGCGTTTCTAGACACATTCTTCCCCAAGATGAACGATCCTGACGAAGACCCACCAGTCCAGGCGCCCCCGGAGCTACCGTGGCCACCGATCACCGAACTAGAAATCCAGCGAGCTCTCAAAGCAACAAAAGGCTCTACAGCACCAGGCGAGGACGGTCTACCGGCCCTCGTATGGAAGCACCTCTGGCAGGCTCTGAAACAGCTCATCACCAGGATTTTCACGGTATCAGTTAAGCTAGGACACCACCCTAGGCGATGGCGAGTAGCAAAAATGGTGGTGTTACGGAAACCGGGGAAGCCGGACTACTCGACCCCCGGGGCCTATCGCCCGATCTCACTCCTCAACACACTTGGAAAACTTCTTGAGACAGTCATAGCTCGACGACTGTCGTACCTCGCTGAGAAGCACGGATTGCTACCCAATACACAATTCGGTGGGCGACCGGGCAGGACCACGGAACAAGCCCTACTGGTCCTCGCTAACGCTATCGACCGAGCTTGGTATAAATGCAAAGTAGTGACGCTCATCGCTTTCGATCTGAAAGGAGCCTTCAACGGAGTCAACAAAATCAGTCTTGACGCCCGCCTCCGCGCAAAGGGAATTCCAGCCGTCGCTAGAAAGTAAATTGCGAGCTTTATGAGCGACCGGTTCGCCAGCATCGGTTTCGACGACTTCCGGACAGAGGCCGCGCCGCTAATCAATGCTGGACTTGCGCAGGGCTCGCCACTGTCACCGATTCTATTCATATTCTTCAACTCCGACCTAGTCGACCAACCGGTCACCTTTCAGGGTGGCGCATCAGCCTTCATCAATGACTACTTCCGCTGGCGAGTTGGCCAGTCGGCTGATGAAAACTTGGCCAAGATACAGTCCGAGGATATCCCCCGCCTCGAGGCATGGGCGCGGCGCACAGGGTCCTCCTTTGCAGCCGAAAAGACCGAACTCATTCACCTTACCAGGAGAAGAAGCGAGCAATTGCAGGGCCAAGTGGTCATGAACGGGAATACAATCGAACCATCGGCCAAAGCCAAGTTACTGGGCGTGATCTTTGACCACGAGTTGCGATGGAAGGAGCATGTCCAGCAAGCTATCAAGCGGGCCACAAAGGTGGCTATCGCTCTGGCGGGGCTACGACACCTACGCCTAGAACAGATGCGCTAGATCTATCAGGCATGCGTCGCACCAGTAGTAAACTACGTATTAATAGTTTGGCACGACCCTCTGCGCGATAAAACCCACCTACGTCATCTAAACACAGTCCAGAGAGTCCCCCTGATCTGTATCCTATCGGCTTTCAGGACAGTGGCGACCACGATATTAGAGGTAGAAGCACACGACCTTCTAAAACACCTCCGCCTCCGCCACCGAGCCTAGAGGACTATCGCAAAACTCCACACTCTACCACGCAAACACCCCATTGGAGCGCACTATTACGAGCTCAGAGACGAAGGAACAACATCGGGACATCCTCTCGCTTCCCACTGGCGGAGGCGTTGAAGACCATGAGACTGGAAAGATTGGACGAACTAGAGACAATCGACCCAAGCCCGCTGCTACTGTGGCGAGCCGAACCCTTCGCGAATATCGAGATTGGATCAGACCGAGAAACCGGCGTGGAGCGAGCCGAAGCCGCACAGTCCACGTCTGATATTGTTGTCTATTCGGACGCCTCTGGACGCGAGAGTCGCCTTGGTGCTGCCGTCGTGGCACTCGACGATAACCTACAGGTCGTGGAATCTAAATAAATCCAAGTGGGTCTAATGGACCAGTGGTCGGTTCATGTAGCGGAGCTCAATGGCATCTTCTACGCGATTAGCATGGTCTTCATGCTCGCCTATCAGGGTTTAGCCAACAGACAAAAAAACAGCGACAATCCTGTGCGACAGTCGATTAGCCTCGTAGGCAACTCAGAACCCAAGGAATAAATCTGGACAGCGGATCGTTCACGCGATCCTCCAAGCCGCCACGGAGGCCCAGGTAGTAGGAATCGCGCTCCGCCTTTAATGAGTGCCAGGACATTGCGACAACCCAGGAAACGATGGTGCAGACCGACTGGCCAAGAACGCTGCGTGTCTAGGTAAGACTCACCCCTTTCGTCCGCTACCCTCGAGGGGAATTGCGCGTATCCGCGGTAATATCCGCGATCAATGGGAGCAGGAATGGAGGTCATCTAACAAAGGCGGCCACCTACGGAAGATCGACAGCATCATGCCAGAAAACTACACGAGAAGGCTATACGGGAGCCTGCCCAGGAACCGGGTGTACCTGTTGACACAGCTACGCATAGGCCATAATTGGTTATCTACCTACGCGAAGACCTTTGGCTTCCGTGACGATGGTCAGTGCGTGTGCGGCGCACAAGAAACAGTCACCCACGTGCTGGTGGAATGCCCAGAATTAAGGGGCATTCGAAGGAAGGTATGGGGCGAAGTGGGCGACGTGTTTAGCAGCGTCTCGAGTCTGCTGGGAGGCTCAACAGAAGGTGAGAGAGGTAATCCATACACCGTCTCGCGGGCTAAGACGGTCTCGGCCGTGCTAGACTTCGCTGAGGCGTCGCAAGGGTTTTGGAGTCGCGCGCCACGAGGGCAGCCTAACAGTGGGAATGGCAATTAGGCCACGGCAGGCCTTGACGAGGGTCTAAGTTCGTTTACAGGAAGTGGAACACTCTATAGGTACGTACGCGGAGATATATAGTTAGTAGCTGTATCTTGCATATCGCTTTTCATTGAGAGGGGTCAATGTAAATGACATCAACCAACCAACCAACCAACCTACTGTATCAGTGAGTGTCCCGACGTATTTACCTTCTTCGCTTAGATCCCAATAACGTAATGTTCTATCATCCGACGCAGAACGGAGGTATTCACCTCCAGGATGGAAAACAATTGCTCGTACCCAGATGTCATGCCCAACCAGTATCTTCACATAAGTCCCAAGAGAGACCCAAATTTTGATGGTCTTATCACGCGATCCAGTGACCATCAATCCAACTGCAGATGTGAATTGACCTGGCTAATGGCACAATATACTGATAGGAGCCTGGCGAGGTGAACGCGCAGCACACATTGAAGTGTTCATGACCGGATGAAGTCATCTTTATCTCTCTCTTTGGTAAAATATCCCATAATCGAGAGGATGAACTTTGCATCAAGAGATGGATAGATTTTTCGCACCCAGTCAGTGTGGTATTGTATTGTCCTCACACAATACCAATTAGCTGCATCCCAAATTCCCACCTCTCTGTATTTGCTGGAATCGGACAGCGCTGGTGATGTGTTTATCACCTTGCAAGGCTCGAAACCTATCATATCCGTCTACTGCGTTCCCTAACTTAATTGAAATGTCAGAACTATAAGAAGCCAGTAAAACGTCTGTGGACCCTGAAGGGCAGCCAAAATCAAGACCAGGAACTGCGCGTCCAAGGTCTATGATAGCAATTCCCCAAGCTCTCGGTCCCAAATCTTGATCATGCGGTCATCGAAACCAGATGCGATTGAGGAATATTTGAGATGGAAGGCCATACAGTTGATGGGATTCCAATATGAGACAAGTGCGAACCGAAGTGTTGAGACAGCCAAGTTATTGGGTCTCGATTGCGAGACAGCATAGATATAGACATCAAATTGTCAAGTTCGGATTGCAAAGAAGCGTGTTGCAATTCGAGGTCGAGGGTCTAAGGAAAATAAATTAAAGCCAAGAGAACAACATTGATTGATCAGGCATCCCAATAAATAATCTATAATCTTAACTCGCCTGTCTCTTTAAGCGAGCAGCTGTTCTTGGGAAGTTATTTTTTGGCGTACATGCGATGATAGATTTGTGCCTACCGATGTGCTCGGCATCAGTGCTTGGCAGAACTCCATCAGTTTTTTTCACTAAGAGGTAGACATAGAGCTCGCCAGCCTGACTCTGAGTTAATGGGTTGACCGTGATTTATTGGCGCTGCACGATGTAGATATGATAAGGACCATAAAGATCAGATTTAGTTGCACTTCCATCATCCAGTAAGGGGTATTCAGAATCGCAGAATTTATTGCAGGCGCAGAAACTATTTGCCTCAACGATTAAGCTGCAATGACTGCTTGCAGAATTACGTGATACTCTAGAAATCGTGGAAAATGGCTCTAGCACTCGGTAAGCTAGGGGGTGGAAGGCGGTCATCCGTGCATTTCGTCACCTGCGTGGGCATGGGACAAAGTCACATGAACTCGCGCTTGGGATACCCCCTTAGAATAGCGGTATGGGCTTAAATATTGCTGATCTCTCTCGGCCCCGTCTCCTCCGTCCTTCGACTCCTCCCTCCAAGCTAATTCCCTTTATATCTCAACAAAACATACGACGACTGAAGGCGTGCTATGGCATTGAAAAACCCTGTGCGTGTTCTCGGGAGCGTGTCGCACGAGAGTCCACTTTGGTCGCAGCCTTGCGATTCTATCATTAAACCTATAATCCAACTTCTCTAGGCTCTCCACGGCACCATGATCCAGTGTCCAGGGCGGCAGGTGACAGAGGAGTATTGGGAGTAGGATGGAACTCAGGTGTAGACCGCGTAGAGTAAGACTCGCTCATTGGGGAACTAGTGTTCGAAGCAGCTGCCTGAGGCAAGTGCGTGTCCTGGGTGAGGAGCCAGAGGCTGTAGAAGTTGTTGCTAGGCTGTGAGGGTTCGCGCCAGTGGCCGCTGGGACCGACTATGCACGCTGCCAGGGCCATGGACGGTGCTAGATGCTGCACGGGCAATCCTGGTTCGGGGGCTAAACATTTTTGAACTGGCGAATCGGGGGTGGCAGCTGATAAGTGTGGCCAGGCGCAGCTACAACCCAGCATAGTAGCGAACACGCGCAAGGTGGTGTGGAACTCCTAGAGCGGAGGTAGTATAGGGACTCCTTGACGCTCAGGCCTCTGGTTCTAAGCGAAAGTAAGCCTCGAGCTCGAGTCATGAGAAATTATGAGAAAGTAACTACGCAAGAGGTAAAAGTGCCCAGATGAGAGAACCAATTGGAGATATGCAATCCCGAGTCATGCAACAATTGGAGCTCGTCCAAAGAGGCAGAAATGGAGGGACTGGGATAACTCCGACGCCACCAGTCATTTGCGGCGTGTCTAATATTCAAATCTACAGGAGATACAAAGTGGAGAACCTTCCTCATTCGGGCAGGGAAATGTCGATCACAGCCAGACTCTTGCGCACAAAGTCGACTCACTATTTCAAAGGCAGTAGCTGCAAGGCTTAGCAATCTATAGCCGTAACCACAGGGCAAAGAAAGTCGCTGAAAAAAAAATTGTAGGATGAGTGGCCTATAAAAGTCGCCATGACCTTAATCCAGATGATGAGAAACAGCCTTTGTACATCACCCATTCAATCACTTCCCCTCCACATTGTGGTATCCCTGAGGAACGCTGCCTCAACTCTTGGTCTCGACTGTGACTTAACATCTTGGCTCTTCGTATCGATGGCATATCCAATTGGATTATTTCAATACGACGGCTATCATCTGCCAGAACGTCTCAGTGTCAAGCAGCTGCTTTGTATAACGAGCTACATCTTAATCACATCGAGTGAGCCAGACTCTGTGAAAAACACAAAGCTTTTAGCCGAGCTCGTTCACCGAACGGCGGAGGAATGGGAACCAAGTATCGATCTAGAGAGGCTTTCAGAGCTCTCTCTAATGCTTAGGGCGGTCGTGGATGATGAGAAGGGAGAAACAGAGAATTCATCAAGCCCTCATGCTGTACTACCAGATCTTTGCGCCCAAAGTCGATACATACTTTGGCGTATAAAGCAAATATCTGCCCAGTCTCTTCATGTTGTACAGACTGAGTGCTGCAAAAATCTCCGCCGTCCAGTGGGTGCGTTTGTGAGTTGTCTACTAGCCTGCATCAGTGTCTCCGTTCTCCCGGCGCGATTATCGTGGTCGGTGGATTTTGTACCAAACGAGCAGTCACTTTCATACATGCAAGGCCAATTACAATCAAGCCCACTATTTTACTCGGGGCTATCGATTGAGGAGCTGGTAACTGCACTTAATTCGCTTGACCTTCTATTCGCCAATGAGGACATTTGAGAGCTATGAGCCTTTGTGAAGGCTTCGTCTACGAGCAAGACAGGATTGAGTAATCCGTTTAACACCTTCTCAATAGAGGCTCGTCCAAGACAAATATCCTATACAAATTTTGACTATCATTCGCAGTGTACCATTCCTGAATCACATTTATCAAAGCGCAGAGATTCTGTTGGAACTGAAGTATGGTACAAAACTCGTCTTTTACCCCTGAGGTGAGATATCGCTGCTCGCTATCTTTGCTGGGAGAAACTCTGTCTAGTGCCTGTGTGCCTAGTGCCATGTATATTTAAATGAGGCATCTCCCACCAAGCCTTGATAATACCATGTCCACTAACATGCATGGGATGAGAAAGGACGGGCAGGACGACGACGATAGTTGACCACGGACAAGGCCTCTTATTGCGCCTTCATTACCTGATAAGAACCTTTAGGGCCAGACGATATCCCTGCAACAAAACCTTCATTATTTTCCAGTTTGAGCCAATGCTCTAACATTGAGCTACAGTGCATCATAAAATAAATCGAGCGCCGTACGACTCAAAGTTACGTTGTCCTCCAAACTGGCAATGTCGTCTCCAACAAACCTGAGACATAGATCTTTACCGCTAGCAAAAACTCCAACACAGTCTTCCTTTGACTTGCTAGCCCCATGAATTCTTTCGCAGATTTCTCGAAGTTTGTAGAAGCCGAGTGTTGTTGCCTCTTTCCGAAGGTAATCGCAGGACGACATCAGCGAAGGTAGATCGCTTCTGGCACTGATATATAGATTGTTAGAGCCACAATTTTTCTTATTGTAGTCGTCCTAATTAATGCTCATTGTATCATATATGAGGATGAGATGAGTAATGAACTCACTGAGCGCGGTGCATCTCATGTACAATCTTTTCAGCCCTTCCAATGAATCCGTACAGTATCGTGGCACTTGTCTCACGTTTGTCTTCAAAATCCAACTCCAATAGCTGGGAGAAGATTGAAATATCAAGGATGTGCTCCAACTTTGACTTTAATTGCTTGTAATATTCCAGGGACATGTGAAGCTTCTCTGAAGTAGCAGGGATAGGGATAAAATTTCCAGAATTTCATTGTTCCCTCATCCCTCAGGAGCCATTGTGTAGTATTAGTATGAGCCGCAGAGAGACGAAATCCAAGAGAAGAGGAAGATGGGCTAGAAAACCGGAAATTAGAGTTTAAGCTGTATCTCAGATAGCCCTGGTTAGTGAAGATGTGACTCATCGGAAATTCCTCGGCAACGGAGGACAGCCGGGCTATGATTACCACATCTCGCCTCTTCACCCAATCGCATGAGATGCAGTGGGGCAAGAAATGCTACGAGCCTCTGGCCAGCCAGTATTTTGCTCCAGACCTACGACGGACGCAGAGTCTTGCCAGTCATCCAGCGCTGACGCAGTATATCGCCTAATGGAGACTGCAAGTATTGAATTAAAGTATTTCCTGGCCGATCGGGCCACCCCAAAACACCATACTAAACGTAATATCTCACAACTTGATATTTCAACGCTCGAAGCTGATTATCTCGTCTTAAGATATATTAGGATTCAAATACCATAATACGTATTCTGCTTAGGGGAAAAAATTTTCTAGGTTGTGACAATGTAGATAAATACATCTACGTCGGTCTGAAGTAGCGTATATTTGGTATTACGTGTAAATAATTGTGTTATGAATATATTAGTTGTGCTCACTATTTCTAATTCTCAGAAAACGTTCTCTACCAAGAATCAAATAAGAATAACTTATCGTTGTTGATATATTATGACCTAAAAATCTGCCTCCAGTATGGTTTTTTGGGGTGGCCCGATCGGCCAGGAAATACGTTAATGGATGCACTGATCATACGAGAAGTGTTGGTGGGAGCATGTGGGCTGCGCCGCGTAATCAGAATTGAAGCCTAGACTGGTACATGATTCATTATCTTCAAGTCGCCCCACTGGTGGGTAAGGGTCAGCGAGTCAGCAATAACCCACAATTTTCCAAGCACTCGGCTTGGTCCGTTTTTCTCACGGCGTTTGGTAAACCTCGATTCGACGTGTTCTGAAGCACAGGTGGTCATTTGAAGTTCTACTATAATACGTTAACGCATCCAAGGTGACGCTTACAATTGCTGCAGGCTAATCGTGGGCAATAAGATACACAAGGTATACTCAACTTCGGCCTGCCTTGTCAAGATGTGGGTTGTAGTGCTCTGGTCTCCGCAAGCACACGGATGGTATGCATAACAAATTTCACTGTATTGATGCCTTAGGTAGTTCCAGTGTATGAATACTGAACGCCTTCTGTGAAGAGCAACTGGCTGCATTTTCCTTCCGTTGGAAAGGTTATGAAATAGCCGCAGTTGGGCGAAAACTGCATGGATTTCCTGGAATATTACACAGGTTATCCCGGAAAATTCGTCTTCCATGGGCCTATTCAAGATTCACAGAGATACTAGCTTGTCAACGTGATTCCGTAATTTACTCTCACAAGAGTTGCGGCGTCCCTCGACTGTCCTAAGCGCACGACTCGCTTCCCAAGATTGCCTGAATGGACAAGGTGTCAACTTTCGAGTTACCGTTGGTGGCACCTCTATACTAGAGAACGGATAATTTGACTGTATACCTCCGGTCGGCCCATCGCTTTGACCTACGAATTTGACACAGGATACCTAAATTTAAGGAGATAGCGTCCTTCCACGACGTCTTACCCTGTAGCTCTGAGATATTAACAAACGATCCACAGCATGACAAAGCATTGAACTTGACTGTATGTCAGACTTGCTGAGATTGGTTCGTCGCAATTGACTTGATTGCTTTTACGGCCAAAAAGGATGAATGAGGCTGGTGTAGATTTTAAAAGGGTAACAATAAGGAAACAAAATAGAATCGAGGCTCGATACAATTCCATCTGTCGCTACAAAAATCTGGCTACAGAAATTCATGGATGACCCGCAATACTGTAGCGGATCTGCCACGCGGCCATCAAGGCACGGCAGATGTTAGGAGATTCGGGAATGTTTTGGATAAATACAGCCGCAGCCAAGGGATAGTCCACTTGCAACAACGTGCTTGTTCCCATTCAGACTTTAAAGCAAATCTCAACTTATGAGATATAATCTGAAATTCCTCATTGACACATAGAGACGGAGGACATATTATATCTGACTCTCCATTCTCAACAACTCAACAAACGTATGCTCGGTTAATCATCGTGAAATTGGAGACATCCTTCCAGGTGATATATATACAGTAAATGTTCTTCCGTGACAAATAAATGTCCCTGAGCCCGTGCCACACCATTCAGACTTAAAATCTTGTCAGTTTGGCTACAGCACTGTATGAATTAGCTACTAAGACGGGGGTTGGACAGATCTTCATCACTCGGGCTATTGTCAAAAATCCAGTGCAACATGCCTTCTGGAAATGGAGTCTTGCGTTGCGAAAATGGGCAGCTAAAGGCAACATTTGGGATCAATGGTGTTCTCTGCGCCTTCACAGGTACAATCTCTCAGCCCCCCATGCTTCCCTCGTTCAACATCTCGAATGCCTATGTTACGTACAACACAATTATGGATTTTACGGGTCTCCGCTACTTCGAAGGCTTCATGGGACATGGCGGGATAGAGATTTTAGCCGATAATGGCATTTTCATACATGGAGACATTAACAGCACCATGCCGGAGGATATCTCGATCATAGGTCAGTTGAGGTGGAGCCAGATTTGAGTCCGGATATCCCTGCTGCATAGCAAATACAGGATAAATTAAATGCCAAGTTTGTTAGCCTGAATTCAAAAATTAGTTGCAGCTGCTGTTACCGGACTGCGCTTAGACCGATTACCGAAATTTGAACCAAGTATCCGTGCCCTTTGCTACGCTGCTACCCACCCACTCGCTCCTACGAGCGGAGCGAGTGGGTGGGTCCCCGGATACCTTTTGGCTTGATGCCATCAATGATAAGTTAAGGATGCGGTTAACCAATTACCTAAGTCGGTCGGCTTTCCTTGATTAATAACATGGCGCATCATAACTAACTGGCTGATTTGTTCACTTAAGTAACTAGTTAACTGAGTTAAGCAGTATACCGTGGGATGGTTTGCGCGACGCAGGAAATGGCTGCCACTTTACCTACATCAAGATTACAAAGAATCACAAGATGGATTTTCCCCCAATAGTTGCCAACCCACTTAACCAGCCTCGACCTAATTAACATCTTAGTCAACCCTCTTCCAAGCCGTACAATATCTGGTCGCAAGTAGCTTATGAATCATTCAACCTTGTGATCTTTACGAAAGTATGCAACCTCCAAGATCGCGACTTGACGTCATTGCCGATGATGATCCGAGAGCGACCGCAAGGAATGGACCCACAGTCAGAGACGGTCTTAACTATTTTTTTGCGGTCCCAACTAGTTCTTTGAGTCATTTCAGTTGGCCACTTCATCTTCACAATGTCTGGCAAGGAAATGGAATACACACGGTACTGTTTTGGTCTTCTTGGACCCCTGATCTATAACGAAAGCTAACATCCGCGATGCCATAGCCTTGGCAAATCGGGTCTGAAGATCTCCAAGATTGTCCTCGGCACCATGGGCTTTGGTAGCAAGCAATGGCAGGACTGGGTCTTGGACGAAGAGGAGTCTTTGAAAGTTATTGAGCACGCTTACAAGCTTGGCATTAACACCTGGGATACGGTAAGTAAATATCCATCTCCCTTGTCCAGACTTGATGCATCCTTGGAAACTGACTCATCTATGGAAATAGGCCGATGTCTACTCCCATGGCTGCTCGGAAGAAGTTGTTGGCAAGGCCCTGAAGAAGTTAAATATTCCCCGCAATCGTGTTGTGATTATGACCAAGTGCTTCTACGGTGTCGACGATCAGGGTCAATTCCCACCCATCTCACAATCTGGACGTAATGAGGGTGACTTCATCAACCGTGTCGGTCTATCTCGTAAGCATATTTTCGATGCCGTTGATGCTAGTGTTCAGCGTCTCGGAACCTACATCGAAGTGCTCCAGATTCACCGTTTAGACCGAGAAACTCCCCGTGAGGAGATCATGAAGGCTCTCAACGATGTGATCGAGAGTGGCAAGGTTCGCTATATAGGTGCTAGTTCGGTGAGTAATAGAATATCCCGCCTCATGTATAGGTGAACAAATGCTGATGCACAGAGAGTAGATGGCTGCTTGGGAATTCCAAACTCTGCAGAACATCGCCGCCCGCAACGGCTGGCACCAGTTCATAAGCATGCAGAACTATCACAACCTGATTGCCCGCGAGGAAGAGCGCGAGATGATCCCTTACTGTCTCGACAGTGGTGTTGGACTCATCCCTTGGTCTCCTATGGCCCGTGGATTGCTGGCGCGGCCATGGGGCTCACACTCTACCGTCCGCGAGAACACTGATGGTACCCTCAAGATACTGATCCGTAATCGTGAGACGGAGGCAGATAAGGCCATAGTGGACCGCGTGGAGGAACTGGCAGGTAAGAAAGGTGTTAGTATGGCGCAAGTCGCTCTGGCCTGGTCCCTGAGTCATCAGGATGAATGCCCCATCGTAGGTCTGCACAGCATTGCTCGTGTTGATGAGGCAGTTGCCAGTTTGAAAGTCCAGTTGAGCCCGGATGACATTCAGTATTTGGAAGAGCCGTACATTCCCAAGACAATAGCTGCACTGGAGCGGTGAATGAGTCTAGGTATCGTGGCGTTTCAAACCTCGCTGGTCTGATATGGAATATACGTATGAGGTGATAGACATATATTGAAAGAATGCAATTTCATTCTTAAATGACTTGAACTTAATATATTTTTCTATTTGAAGGAATGGGCTAGCAGCTCATCTCAAGAGGTACACACACACACAATTCATTAACGCCCGGCGGCTAAGCCGAAAGGGCAACTAAAATTATACCTATCAATACATGTCTTAATATACATATGCCGTGTCTCCTTTGAGCCCATACAAGGATCATTGCCGTATGTGTCCTCTCAGCTGTCAATATCATAGGGATCCTTGTGGGTTAGTATTTTGGTTAGTAGACTGGCTTGAAGGCGCTTCTTCAAGCCCTCAACATCCTATCTTCAGCAGTTGAAGCGCATCCACCATCTTTGGCACAAGGCGGTTGGTGTAGGTTGGTAAGGGGGAGGGTGTCATTGTGGTCGGCGTGGTTAGGTGGCATCAAGTCGGCCCGTGGCGATTGCGAATCGTATTGCGGCTCGCACAGCTTCCTAGTTCGGCTTCCATTGCTGATTATCAGAGGGCGATTTCCCGCCCAGAAAGAAGGAGAGATTGCCCTGGTGAGTGTTGCGACAAAACCCAGAGTGGTGGTGGTAAGACAATCTTTTTTGGCATCTCGTCATCATACGTCCAAGACTGGGATGCAGCGGCTGCCTTCAGAGAAATATATCAGAATTGGTGAGTTGTTTGCTGCATCTGCGGAGGAGATGTTCAGGAACTAAGCGTATTCAAAAATATGAGAGACGCCATCTTGGCACGCTTCAGCCTGAGCCGCCTCAACTTTCAGCCCGTCTATGAAGACCGGGGCGATTGTGTAGCGGTTGTTGTCCCTGACCCTTCTCATCGCCAGGGTCGTGCTTTGGGATTTATCAAATATGAGAAGCACAGCGGTTGCGTGACAATTTCCAACTCCTGTGCCGAAATGGGGCTGAATGTGCTTGAGCTCGGGTACTCGTCGGAGCGACTCGATTCTAACGCCGCTGGCTGTCATGAAGAGGGTCTCAAATTGGCAGCGCTGGTGATGGTGCGCAGTGGGTTGAATGTAGACCTCTTTGCCAGCCGAAACCACTGGCACTCCGGCCTGTTGAGATCTCACTTTTACTGTGAAATCAAGCCGTCTGAACACAATGGTTCCGATGGCCGTGATCCCGCCGAGGACATGTTTCGGCTAAGCCCCAGGGCTGACAGGGATGTCACATTGGAGATTCGAGCACCCCCGGAATCGAAGAAAAACACACTGTCGCTGAATGATTTTCACAGTTGGCTCACCTGACCTTTGATATTCGAGGATTAACGTATCCTTCGGACATCCTGGAAACCGAGGCCGGGGATCTCGTCCTTGATCCCAAATTCTACGGCCGCGTCTACCTCAACGGAATGCGCCTCCCGTGCTCAGGGTCGGAACTCCAGCAGTATCGATTTGCGTATAATTTTCTGCATGGGAAGGTGAATCGCGACCGACAGATTTTGGTCGATCGAGATGAGGAAGCCAACATGGTGCGACGAATCTGGGAAGCCGCAATCCGGAAACATCGGGTTGCTTTCCTTCCCATCTACGTTAACCTGCTGCGGAATTTTCCCAAGGCGCTGGATGTTGCTCATTTTCTGGAACCTCCAACCAAGCATCTCATCTGGAAGCATCTGCTGGACGAGGCTGGCGATGACAAATTTAATCACAATGAGAACTCCAGTGCCGAGGTAAGTTCCCTTTGAAATGTACGTAGCGGGTGCCAGCTGACCAAGAACCAGAGCATCACAAGTATTCAAGAAAAAGTCTGGAGCGACAGCCCATCAAGCTGCCAGAGTCCTTGTGGATTCTGTTGCGCTCTGACTCGCCAGTCCGGACACCAGAGGAAGAACAAATCGAACATTTCAAAAATGCCGAGGTGTATTCCATCCCCGAGACCAGCTTTGCACGAATTTGCACGAACCGTTCACAGAGCGTTCATGGCTTGCATCACGGTTTTCTTCAAGGCCGAACTATCGAGGTAGAGTATGTGCGTGCAAAAAACAGTGCAATCCAGGCGCTTTATAAATCTCATTGCCGGCTTTTGACGGTCGCGCATCAGTGGCTGGACTTTGCAGGGTCGCACAGACCAGTATTTTGTCGCGAAATTCTCTCCTCCAAATTGGGTGGACAGTCATTTTTCTGCGATGATGTCGACTTTCGCGACAACGCTCTCTTCTTCGACCATGTTACATGTTGTGGAAGAGTTGCTCAAATTCTGCCTTGTTCCGCTGCTGGGGCGGTCCGCGGCTTTCAAAACCACGGAAGTGATGATACTACGGAAAATACGGAGGTTGCTTCGGCATATGCCACACACAATCACTGTGTCGAGGTCGTTCCTGGCTGGGGCATTGAAAATTACGTGGGAAGACAACGAGACGGAGTCATTCCGCAAACGCTCTATGCATGATTCGCTGTATCATGTGGTCCTCCATGACGAGAAATGTAGTAGCGCGAGGGCAGACTTGATGCATGGAGGTGCAGGTATGTCGTTACTTTCCCCCACAGATCATGGCAACGCTACTGACACCAACGAAATCCAGTGGACTGTGCTGTTGACCATGCTCCCTGCGGGTGCCCCCAACAATTCGTGAGCCAGACAACAATGACCGCCGTTTTTGAAAATCTACAGTGCTCGAAAAGCTATCCAATGGCCTCTTTAAACACCTCACAGGCAATCTATGGCTTTCCGCCCCGTCCAAAGCATCCTGTGTTGCAAAACTCTCGCATTGTCAATGAGAGTAATGGCCGAAGAGATGACAAGTCTCCAGATCTAGTGATGGTCACTTTGAACACCGCACACCAGTCTGGTGGAGTTGATCATCATGAACAAGGACCCTCCTTGACGGTTAAACGTGACTGCTCAGATCAATCTGATTCCAAAAGGGCTGATTGCAAAAGATTGAAGATTTCTCAACTTGTCGAGGGCGCGGCTCTAAAGTAGTCATCAGTCCTGGCCCAAGTCCCATCTCTGTTGGCCCGGGGCGGCGGTGGTCATGATGCCGAGGCTGCCTCAGATTATGTTGCAGAATATCTCTCCATCGGCAAGCGGGTTGACAAGAAGAACTCTTTCCTGCAACAGTTTAACCTTCAGGCATCATAGACCAACCGCAGTTGTTTGACTGCTTATGGACTCCCACTTTCTGCGGAACAGATCGAATAATAAGATGACAAATTTCAAATGCCGATAGTTATTGGATCCAATTTCATAAAACTCTACTCTCGAGCCCATAGATCTCAAGCCTGCCAAGGTACTACATGCATCTCATGGCCGTATATGGTACTGTCATCGGTGGAGAATTGCGACGGCTGAAGAAAATGGAAGACAACCAATCAAGCGAAGATGCCACGGACTTTCTTGAACAAGCACACTCAGTCCTCCAGTTCAATGGAGTTTTCAATCTCCAGGGCCCTGGCAAAAGGTCTCTCATGCATTATGCAGCCATTGATGACTGCCGAGAGCTTAAACTACAGCTCTTAGCCCTTCGTATACCTATCGATCTTCGCGACGGACATTATAGAACACCTCTTCGTGGGCTGCCCAGTACGGCTCCTATGTCACTGCGAGAATCCTGGTGAAAAATGGCGCCAATGTCAACACACTGGACTATACATTCATGACCCCTCTTTCACGGCTCTTGGGGGAAGAAAAAAACGGAGGCAAGAATTACACAGCTCTGAGGATCTATTTGGAGAGAAATGGAGCAACTACAAAGGGTAGAAAGCGTGCTTGGATTAGAGAGAGATTGAGACTTCCACATTATACTTAGACCATCGGAACCAATTCCCATCATGTACCGAAGTGAATTTCCGCAAGTTTAATTTTAAAGCCCCCTTGCCGCTATAGTACCTAGAAATTTCGATTGCACATTGATTCATCCATTAACCTACCAAAATTTCAAGGTCTAGTATCGCGATTTTCGATCAAAACCTAACGATTCACGATTTGGTCTCCCAAGGAAGTCCGATTGAAAAGTCTCACACTCGTTAGAGCTCACGATTTGCTAGAATTGATTTCTAGAGCACGGCAATCATCAACCTAGTCTACTGTTTTTCCTGGATATTATGTACCTTCGGTAAGGTGATGTCAACCTGTCACTGGGTCTATGCGCCCAAATTTCTTACCTGAATTAAAGGATGCATCGCAACGTCTGCTCTGTACCCTCAAATTACTTGACCTACCAGCTTTTTTGTAGAATGTGACGGATGTGTAGACATTATATTTTTCACTTCTATTAAATCCATCTGGTAGAAGGGAACCCTCTCAATAGATATTTATACTAAAGGGATTTCCTACTTTCGACACATACACATGTGAAGCACGAGGATCCTTCTTAACCCAACCACAGGGCTTTCTTTGCCATGACGGACAATTCATTCCAGACTCATATATTATTCAACTTTTCTGCAATCCAGGCGCAAGCATATGCTGCAGACACCGCCGATAGTTTCACTGCACAGACGGATAAGGATCAGACAGGAAAACGACCAAGTCGCCCGTCCCGTCGCATGCATACTCCAAAGATCATCACAGGCAGCCCAAAGACTCTCTGCCTTCCTCACTTGGGCAAAATTAATGATATCATGTCTGCCCTGATTATCAGACGCGAATCGCCATGGGAAACATATCGCCCCGTTCTTAGCTATGATGGTGCAGGGCACGTTACCATCGCCACTCGCCGCTCTTGTCCTTCGCGTGTGGTCGCTATTCGCCAATTCCCTAAAGAAGATACCCGTCGATTGATCGGACGTTTTGGACAGCTTGAACACAAGAACGTGCTCTCCTTGCTGGAATGTTATACCTTGATGGTGATTCCGTCTTTCTTCTTGTCGAAGATCTGGCGTTAGCTCTTGGTCATATTGTTGCTTGCCCAAACTTACGGCCTGCTGAGTTTGAGCTCGGGTGTCTGATGGCGCAAGTAGGCGGCCTTTCTAATCAACTTGAAACGCGTTAACTTCCAATCAGGTTCTCGCTGGTGCATCGTATCTCAGTGTATATGGGCTGACGCATCCATTCTTGAAATGCAATGACATACTGTTTGGCCTGAATGGGGTGGTGAAGATTGGTCTGTCAACTTCTTCTCTCTAACATACTTTGTTACTGATAGTTTACAACACATTTAGAAGATAGTTGTAGATTGCACCACGAACCAGGACAAGACCACTTAAATCGCCGCGGTACCATCCATCATGATCGAGCTTATGACTCCCAATGCTCAGGGTGAAATTGCAACCGACACATCCAGTGGCTCACCCAACGAAGCCAAAATTGTTCAATTTCTCAATGCCATGAAGGAAGAGTCATCCCTGACGGTCTCAAGACAGGTAAGGAATATATAGCTATAGCGTCACTGTCGGAAACTAATCTCCGCTAGCAACCACTTGTCTCGAAGAGGTACCAGGCCGTAGGCAATCTCATGGGACTCGCCAGAGCGGCGATAAATATGAGCAGTGTCAGAAAGATACCACAAACCACTTGCAGAAAATAACCGAAGTCCACGAGCCTGGTGGTAGTGTTGTCATTCCGGGATGTTGACAGTCTCTTGCGAAGAATGCGTTTGAAAGCGTCGCTATTCTGTAATCGCATTCCTGGTACCAGACAGATGCCCTGATAGAGACACATAAAACACACAAATCTGGGATTGGATCTCTACATCCTATTAGTTCAGGCGCTCATACTTGCCTATGAGTCTCCGGTATAGAAAAACTCACCGCAGGGGCTTCTCAAGTAGGCATGGTGCCATGCCTTCACATGAAATATCTCTGTGACTATAAGCCGGTCTGATCTTGACGCCTCTACTTCAGGCATTTGGGCAACGGCAACCTCAAGATCCTTCACTGCATCGGACTCTGAGAAGAACTTTGCAAGAGCTGTAAGTGGATCCTTTATAGTCACATTTGCGGGTGCAACTCTTTTAAATATGATGAAGAAAAGCTTGGGTAGTAGTTCAGGCTCCAAAGATGAAAAGGCCGACCGATAATAATTTTCAACTTGAGAGTCTTGATCCAGACGCAGGACCTGCGGTTTTGTTGAGGCGACACGAATCTCTTCAAGTTGAAAGGCTCTCTGAAGACCCACAATAAGGGAGCGGACCTCAGATAGAGTGACCTGGGCCGGAAATAGTGGAGAATCGTTGAGTCGCAGCACCATCGTTCGGAGAGCTACATCGTCAAGGGCCCATATCTCTTTCCGATCATATCCATTCATGTCGCACGCTTTGATTCCCATGAAGGCGTAACAGATCAATGCTACACTCGCCTTCGTCCCGAAGGGCCGGTATGGTGGCCGCGCTTGTAAGCAATTCAATGGAGGAGATGCATGCTGACTGAGTGCAGACAATAGATATTTGATTTGCAGCTTCATGTCCTCTGCCGATACGGCTGAGAGGTGACTTGACTCGGTGAGAGCCTGGCGCGCTGCAGTTAACCACGACCCCAGCCTACCATACTGGGGGACGAAGGATCGATCCCAGTCAACTTCGTCGCGGCAAATAATTTGATGCAATGATCCTTCATCTCCGGGCAGCATTACGGCAACAAAGAGGTAGTTAAGAGCAAGCAAGAGCTGATATACCGTGCGTGTGGTTGTTGTTGGCTCAGAGTAATCCGCCTTCGGGATTTGAATCGTGTAAGACACCGGAAGCGATACCTGTTCATAAGCAAGGTCAGTAGGCGGATGCCGATTGTTGGCGGAAATCTACCATTACCTCAAGATGTGTTTCGCTAAAGGGCTTTGTTTCTTGCTTAGCTTGGCTCATTCCAAGACTCTGAAATTCGTCACGAGCCATTTCCCCGTCAAGACTTTCCAATCCTGTGGCCGTGCTGGTTGTGAAAGCCTCGTTCTCTGCTGGAAACAAGGGCGCAGAGATTCGGCCGTCGCGCAAACTGGCAGACTGACCAACATGAATGCATGGCTCTTCAGCGATAGTATGTGTCGGCTTGAAACCATCCTTGATGTGCTGGCCTGCGTCGGCGACGGTTTGCTCTCGTAGCATGGAGTGGGTGTTCTTCGGTGTATTTATCACATATTCTTGTCTGGTTCCAATCCCATGATCTAGAGACGACTTTTCGTAAATGCATGATGACGGCTTCTTGCGCCTTAGGCAAGTACCGCAGGTGGGAGACTCCCGGTCGCACGCAGTCTTTGCCGCACGGCAAGGAAGGCACGAACGAACACGGGATAATTTGCACGATGGTTCATTGTGGTTAATCTCCATCCAATGGAATCTCATGGGGGTCATCCAACCAGTCAAGCCGAGGGGCTTTGATGGTGATGTATGCACGAAAGGACGCTGAAGGTCATCTATCAGAGTGAGTTTGACGACAGGTGATTTGCTTGAGTTTATATTCTTGAGATGCAGGTATGGCCTCCAAATCTAATTACCTCAATCAGAATAGCATGAGGTATCGGTCAACTCACATTCCAAAATGCATGGTACGCCGCATCTTTCTCATTTCCAGTCGTAAGATTTTCTTGCCTTCAGCTGAATTCGATTAATTATCCAAGGTGCCCGCCCTAGGATCGGCTCGTGTGATCCTGGGAACATAGGACGAGGTCGCTAAGTCCTGAAGGATCGGCACGCTTATTACTGCACTACGGCACGTATATTACGTGTCACTTTGAACAATCGAGATGCGACGGTGGCAAAGAAATCTCGACTTCCTCCCCTTTATTGGTTTTCCACGGCCTTGATACCTGGTTCCTTACTTAGCCGCTCCACTTACTCTAAAAGCTCATCATTCAAAGGAGACGAGATGTGACCCCTCCTATGGCTTAGATGAAGCTTGTGGGAGTCCACGTAGCCGGTATGCGCTTCAAACACAGATTTTGGAGTGGGTTGGTGTACAAGTGTACAAGTATTGTTTCACCATTTTGTGTATAGTAAACGGTATTTGAATAGATGCTCCGAACCCTAGTTGCAACGATTCAAGTATGAACCTCCTATCGCTTTGCAGGACGGCTATTATCACACGCTGTGTGTCGTACATAGTAATGGCGTGGGCTGGAGTCTCGGATTAGCTTCATTGAAATACCAAGCTTCATTCCTAGAAAGAATATACAGGGACTCGCAGAGGTGACATTGATTCTATGGACGTGTGTGACCCGCAAGGATTTCTTTTATATCACGCACTCTCAATTCTTGTGTGATTGATTGGTTTGTGCGTAGAAGTGGCGCGAATATTGGACACTTCGAGCAGCTCCGCCTGAATGACTGTTTTCATTCGAGTTGAAGTTTCCAGCGTGAAGGTGAACTTGGCTTCAACAAGCAACGATTTGTCGCCCATCTGTCTCTGCATGTTTAGAAACGGATGCTGGTCAGAGTTCTGCGGGGAAATCGATTTTATGGAGAATTTGTGCAAGTCCAACAGGGCCTCTGTCCAAATAAAGCCATTCGACAACTCAAAAGAGTCGGTACCGCCGTTGTACGTGGAGGCGATAGTATTGAAAAGTGGGCCAAATGTGGTAACTGGCAGTCCAACACAGATGAAGACCCTCTCTGTCAGCTCGTTAGAGCGCAACGCCGATATTACCGACTGTCGCTTTTCAGCGTCCATTCGGTCGATGACAACGCAATCGGAAACCCAGAATTCGGTTGACCAGCCGACTTGACGGCGGTGAAATGTCCTCAGCGGATCTTGCTCGCGGTGGAAAACTTTTTGCAACTTCAGTAATTTCTGGTGGCGCTGAAGACCAAGTAGAATTACCCTCAAGTTGAATGGCCTAAGCGCCTGAAGTAACCCAATTTTATAGCTGTCCCAGGCCAGATTGGTAAGATGTGCTGGAGACAAAATCTCAACGGCACTGCCTTCGACAGAGACATACTGCTGATCGGCGTCCGACCAGTTGGCGGGTTGCTTGTCAGGTATCTGCACAGTTTCTAAAACTATATCGATACTTTGACCGCATAGCCTTAATTGGTCCCATCGCCAGACCAACTTCTCCGTCTTCGAGTAGATAAATGGAAATCGAAGGATCGATGGAGGTGGAAAATCCGATTGAGCCGTACGGGTCCAGCTTTTGAAATCAGCAATTATGTTCAATATTGACTCAGAAGAGACAACCCCTTTCGATAGGTCAAAATCTTGCTGCAAGGTCAGAGTCGATTTAAACTTCATATCGATATATTTTGAACTTCAGTTCCGAACAAGTGGATCAATATTTGAGCAGTCGTATCGAGAGAACCCGACGAAGTATGGTTATTTATTCTTGGTAAGTATAGTTCTCTTAGCTTTGGAGAATTTGAGTTTCTGACTGTGGAGATTGTGGACCAGGTATTAATAATGCGTTTATGTTAGAAGCAGTGTCATTTACTTTTCTCAACAGATGCATTGAAATTCACCCGTTGAGTGCACTTCAGGAAATCCAATAAATAACCATGCAACATTTGACCTCACTCCCTATCGTATGCAGCAGGAGAGCCACATAGGGCTGCAAGATCTCGATCCAGTCTCACCAACAATTTGCTGTTTTACTGGTGATTCTCGTACAGTGCATAGGACGGCTCACGGGGTTCACATTTTCTTTCCCGTTTGACCAAACGGCTAAAGGATTGAATATGTATTTTCAGTCTGCCCTCATGACACTTATTGAAATATCGGGATATTGGCTGAAGTTTCTACATTTTCGCTTTGATGGCAAATGTAGTCTGTGCGGTATGTATCGGCGGTGACGAAATCCGCATTTTCTTCGACACGGATCTCTCATCTACCAGTGTAGATAAGGGTTAAAAGAAACGGAATCTGTAATTTGTTGTCTAATATTGCTTCAAATAGTGCGCTGCGATGGTGCTGGAAACAGCTCCATGGCTTAATTCATTGATCTTCCATGTTATGATCAAGCCACTTGCTCTTGACCTTATGAACCTTCGGGGATCGAATCCTCCCATGACTGCCAGAGTAGTAGAAATTGCGTTACTAGAACACCGTCTCGATTGGTCACACGCTGTGCAATAGCACCGATCGGATATTTATCGCCCGCCTGTTATATAGCTTAGATCATTAACGAAAATGCAAGAAGGGGAACATATCGCACGATTTCACTTACTTCTGCTGCGCGCTCAGGCTCTGAGTCAGGATCCTCAAATGGGTCATTGTCGTAGACCGATGAACGTTCCGTGTAGACTGAATGTTCTCTCTCTGAAACCACGAACTCGTCGCCGTCACTGACTATGCCATAGTCTCCTTCCGATGATTGTACAAAAGAGATCCCCGAAGTTGTACTGTCTAAATCACAGTTGTAGGAAAGAGATTTCGAGACATTGATCGCCTCTTCAGCCATGATAATTTGTCGGTGACTTATCTGGCTAGTTGGTCGTGAAACTACTATTTGAAGCTAGCGGAGTCATCGAATGATCCGTTATTGTAATAAAATAGGCTTCAGGGTCTGAATTTAGCTGGAAATACTACGTTGACGGTCACAGCGGGTTCCTCGTCGTTGGTCGTCATGGTCACTTGGTTAAATTGTTGTCACCGTTGACATCAGAGATCTCTACCACAGGGTTTGATCCCTTCCTGCTATGAGCAACCATCTATAAACTGAACATTATTTTATATTAAAATCGGTTCACAAAGCATGAGCAATTCCGTGACCACAAAGAAGTCTACTTCAGTTTATTCAAGTCCAATATTCGCTCAACGCAAAATAAAACAGTCAGAGGCCCTTTACAGCAAGTGTTTTATTAGCCTGTTATTTCAGAGCGATCACCGAATCCTTGGATCTTCGTTGTCATCCCACTCATTGTCATTTATGTACCATAGCCGGTCACGGCGTTCTCGCCCACAACCTCGTCACCCGGCTCCTGGCCGACTTTCCATTGCCGATTGTATTTTCCTGAGACGATATGAACTTACAGTAGATTTCGAAAACAGATGACCCCCCGGACACACACGTTGACTCTCCCAGAGACCCACTTTTGCGCCTAGTCCGGATCGCCCGGGTTCTAGATTCTCCTGCAACCAATGATCTGGCGTCAGACTTCGGGGAAGGGGCCTCATTTAGCCACAATTAGCTTAGCGCAATCTTAGTGGGGCGCTGGGAAAGAAAGCGTGTATGTCCGGGGGGTACAGTAATCTGTTTTCGGATTCCTCTGTATCTCAGGCTTGCGACTCGATGATTATATCTGCGATACGATTATATCTGCGATACTTCTTTTTGGGGTTACCTACTTTTTGACTCTGGCGAAACAGACAGTTTTCACGTCCCCAACCGACCCAGTCTCCCTTATTCTGTATTACCTTGGAGTCATGTTTGGTGCGCATCTTCACTTTTCGCGCGGATTCTGTCTAGCGTCCAAGGCCATCATGCAGTATGGGGCAAAAGAGTGCAATACGCAGGAGTTCTGTTTATTATTTGGGGTTGTAATTTGTCTGCCATTTGCCTTTTTTTTCCTGCCGAAATTTTGCTTCGACCTTCATACCTGATTGGCTCTACCTTCATGTTTACTTCAAGCCTTACCGATCTTTTTGGCAGCTCTTTTCTGCAATTGATATCGGCTTTCCATATCTATGTGCACGTTTCGGACTTTTGTCTTGTGTCCCCGCTCTTCATGCGTTGATCACATCTGGAGAGAACGTCGGGCTTGCGGCCGAATTTCTCTACATGTCCGTACGAAATACTCTTGGTGCCGGTTTTTACAGAGCACGCGTGAATTGAAAAAAGGGTTGTACCTGTTCCAAACTCTGTCTTTCACCGTTGAGGCGTGGAATTATCAACATGATAAATGCAGCACTTTCAGTTCCATGGTTTGATCTTAAAAGTTTATTTAATGTTACATCCTTTATCTATGGGGCCGACGCTTGTGTGCCTCGACTTGGTTCGGTTCGGCCAACGTTGACAAACGTCGTTGTTGGTGGATAGGATATGTGTTGAGGCGGGTCTTGTTAGTCGATTCATTTAGTTCAATCAATTCAATCAACTATTCAGAGGAATTACTTGATGACCCGTGGTTCGTTGGGAAAGGATACGAACCTTCGATCACGTAAAACCAGAAGGATTAAAGCTCAACAAAGTCAACCTACTAGCCCTCTGTTTTCGCCAAGCGCAAAAAATATTCTTCCCATTGCGAGTGAGTTTATCACCATGCACTCGCGTAGTGCAACAGGATGATCGGAATGGGAAGAAGATAACCTTCTTCCCTGGCTAGAAGAGAATAACGGACTGCCGTGGACCGACCGTGCCCAAGCTTATTCGAAGCAATTCGGGGTGAGCCCATCTGTTGAATCCTTACGAGGGAAGAAATATCATATCCTACGAAAACGTCGGCTTGGTCGTGCGAGGCGGATACGGCGGACGATGACCTCAAAGACTTGCAGGAAAAACCGACTTCTGAAAATCACCGACGACAACACACGAGGCAGTCTCTCAAGCAATGATTCTATCGATCGCGGCATGGTTGGACGATGGCTCCAGGGTATTTCAGAGGTTGCACAAAACTCCGCAAAGTCTCAATCGCTGCCGTCGGCAAAATTATCAACATGTGGTATGAGAAGGCTATTGCTTTTGGTTCGATCAAACGCTTACAGTAGATTTCGAAAACAGATTACCCCCTGGACACACACGTTGACTCTCCCAGAGACCCACTTTAGCGCCTAGTCCGGATCGCCCGGGTTCTAGATTCGCCTGCAGCCAATGATCTGGCGTCAGACTTCGGGGAAGGGGCCTCATTTAGCCACAATTAGCTTAGCGCAATCTTAGTGGGGCGCTGGGAAAGAAAGCGTGTGTGTCCGGGGGGTAATCTGTTTTCGAAATCCTCTGTACCTGCTCTTACAGCTTATGAAATATACTCACCGGACTACATCCAACAAGGGAGTCGATCAATTTCCAAGCTTTGGAACTATGTACACTGGGTCTGTGAAAAAAGGCAGCATAGATGACGCGGTCGGCATGTTGGTCAGCGACTGAACCTTGCTTCACAATTCGAATAGAACTCTGTGTTGGAATTTCTCGCAATATTACAGGACTGGGCACTATACTGAAAGCACATCAAGTGATATTCACGGCTTGATCCAGACACTGAGTATGAGAGAGGCCATAAATTGCAGATGACACTTGGTCTTCCCATCTCAGACCAATATAACCAAATCAAATGTTTTTGTCCAATTTTGGCTTTAAAAATATGGGGTTGAAACAATAGAAGACTAAACTAATTAATTAAAAGGGAGATTCTTTCGGTTTCTAAAGTGACTCAGTTTAAATGGCACCTCGAAAGAGTCAAGAAAACTGACTGTTGTAGTCGAGTTAATGAACGCCTAATCGTGGATTAGGGGGAATGTTGACGTTGATGTTGATGTTGATGTTGATGTTGATGTTGATGTTGATGTTGATGTTGATGTTGATGTTGATGTTGATGTTGATGTTGATGTTGATGTTGACCCTGTGTTGATAGACGAATGGTGAGTCGTTCAACGGGCACTGCCTGGCTAACACCGTTGAGCACATTTTTGTTCGACTTGAGGGAAAGCCTCACCCACCGGCATCGTTTTCAATCAACTTGGTCTTCTCATCATATGTTCAGCCTCATGTCTCTCTCTGAATAGAAAATGACAGTAAACCCGTATGTGGTCCTGAATCTCCAGTTGCTACATAGTATTATAATCGGTGAGCAAGCTACATCGGTTTCCTTCCTGGAAATATGACCTTCATACATCATGCAACTACGAGAAAAGCGTTTCCCCACACACTTAGTGGAGGATTAGGCCGAGATCATCTTCCGATTGCTGTAGTGTCAAGTATAAGTGGGGCACTGAGAAAAAAGGTGCGTGTGTCAAAGAGTAATCTACTTTCAAATTTCTTTCTCTGTGTATAATGAATCCTGATATGAATATTTTCAAGACCAGCGCATTCAATATACATGAAAATACAAAGAGGACCGGGTAAGTATTGGGCGACTATATCCATCAAACAGATGATTTGCACGGGGAAATCAATGATGCGAGATCAGCATGAAACGAGCACAACTTGACACCGAATAAGAACATGGTCGATGATTTCATTGTGAGCTACCACCTATGCATGCCCAACGGATTCAGAAGGCCACTCTCTATTCCCGACTTTCAAGACCATGATACACCAGCGTCTGTCTCATTGGTAGCAAAATCAGCAGTTCATGTATGCCTCAGCTTATCAAGGACCAGCCTGTACAAGCGACTACGTAGGCACTCGAAGGAATTCACCGCAGGATGGAGGCACATGAGCCCCTGTTACCAGCCTCCACAGCTCTGTCCAGTACCATGGCTTGCTCTTCATAGCTTCCAACGTAGATGGAAGAACGTCATATTATGTCGCATCATCCACGGTCCGAATGATGATATTTTGAGATCAAAGCCAGAGAAGCGTGGTAAGGTCGGAGAAGTGGTCAAAATGAGCGACCTGGGTATGGCATGGAATTGGGAACCACAGAATCATACATATCTATAAAGATGGACACACAATATGACACGAGGGTGTCGCAGAGGAACTCGGTGGAGTAGACGCAACCTCCGCAATAACAGCAGTTTCTGCATAGTCTCGCCATACTTCGCTGGCACCAACGACCATTTTTTCAATTTGGACGGTCTATCGAACAAGGTGTAAGAACGCAATGAATGTGCAACATGGTCTCTGATGCATCTAACATGATATGGCTATGAGCGCTAGATGTCTCTGGAGTCTGTCTTGTGTTCACTTCTCTCACATCAGGCTATTACACCACCATGGCTTTTCATAACTTCCCTCCTCTACCCAGAACCATTTTTCAGGTGAAATCGACGTCATTCAACAGTATTCTCTGTGCTTTCCTGCCCACCAATGAAGTAGGCATGCATTTTTGGAAGCTCAAAATCCACCTGTCTCAGCAGGATCGAGGCTGGTGCTCATGTGTCACGTAATGAGGAGAAGCGAGATGGTCACCGATGAGAAAATAAGCCGCATCGGTGTGGTTGAAAATGAGCCACCACGTGGAAATCTGCATCTTTCCCTATTTGGACGGCTCTACCAGAGCCAGGATATGCTCAATACTGGTGGAGACGGCGCATTTTGAAAAGAGATGGCAATGGAGTGGCAATGTTCAGGGCACTTAGCTGGACTAAGCAGCTTGGGGAATGACTGGACCAAGCAGGGATGCAATCCATTTCTTTCGAAACCCGAAGCCTCATCTCGCCTGGAGAGGCCGAGTTCGGCCCACTGGAGGCTGCTTTGTGAATGGCTTTGAAAGACGGTCTGCTCAGGCTGTACTAGCACGGAGCTTGCACGCAGCTTGCATTGCCTGGGGCTGTCTCACATGGGCCGGCCCTCTTGTCAGCAACAATCGGGTTGAATCACACCACTGGGATGCCTTGAAGTGCCAGCAGTTGCAATCGCGTATCCCGCTTGCCGGACAAGTCTGTATGACCCACAGGGTTCGGTAGGATCATCGGCTTTTTCGTTGGGGAGGGAACATGTTGTCGTTTTTCATTGAAATTTCCCGAAGCCCCGAATTCGTCCCGGTTCGTTCGTGAATGACGCGAAGCACAGCAATCCACTAGCAAGACCCATGCATCACAAAAGTCCGAACGGATGACACACTGAAATGCACATTCGCTAAAGTCTCCAGACCACGCGCCGATTGAGATCGGCAGGTATCGATCAGCTGGCAGGTAGATATCGCTATTCGGGAGGAATTAGATGGCTGGCCAATGTTGAGCGACTTGCCACGGGCAAGAATTACACAGGATGTGGGTGCTGATTGCCCAGTCAAGCCGACCATCTAGGTGGAAAGACAGCGCGGTGTCTCCGAGGACGTCGAGATGGGAATGGGTGGTAGGGACCGCGTTCTGATTTTGCTGCATCAGGATGCTCATTACTGGGCAACAGGTGGATGAGTATGCCGTACCGTGCATTGAGTCTGACACGTCGATGAGCAGTGCTTCGCACCTGGGTGGCCTCGGTAAAGATCCGCCGAGAACAGTTAGGCGGTGAGATCGTGCAAGACGCGTTCAAGTTTGCGCCGTGCTCGCCAGTCCCGAAGGATTGGTCTGGTCGCCGCGCTAGAACAATAACCCTTCTGTCAGTACAGTATGCATTCTGTTAAAGGAGAGCCCCCCTCGCAAGTCTCCACTTTCAATTTTGACCACGCTTTGCTTCGTGCTAAAGATGCTCGGTGGACTGTTTGGCCAACGTACATCTGACTTTGGCACGGATCAGCCCAACTTCCTCCTCCTTTCGACCCAACGCCTCGTCGTATTGGTCTGCCCTTCAGCTAAGATCATGTGTGATGAGTGATGGGCAATAGCGTGGAGCAGACACACGAGATGCATTGCGTAAGCTAGCTGGTAAATTCAAGGGTTGGGGGTGTGTGCTGTTCAGATCAGTAAGTGAAGGGCTCGGACAGTATTAAAGGTGAGGAACTCATCATAAGAATCATGAGACTGCTAAACCAAAGGGGTGACCCTTTGGCAAAGTATGGCAAAGCATACGATGTTCAAGATGCGGGTTCAATGGCGCACGACAGTCGCTTCAGTCCTCGTCTGTCCCTTGTTGATGACGAGCGTTGCATTTGGGGATCCCCCAGCTATCACATCCGATGCGACATGCGGGACGCTGTCAAAGGCAGCGATGTCTCCCTTTTCAATGGCCATAGAGAAATCAGATTTTATTCTGGGATAGGAGAAGCAGCAACTATTCCAGGCCGCGCTCCATATTGAATAACCATTCAATTAGACTGGTAGAAGTTCACGAGGTTTGAAGCTTGTTGCGAGGAAGAGGAACTCTTACCTCATCGGATGTGGACCTGCGAGATATTTCCCCCTTGTCTTTCCCGCAGAGAAACCGTTCAATCCCACCGTCAAAGGTGCCTTTGACATCTCGGCAAGTTGTGATTCATGACTACCTCCGGCAAACCGCAAACATTTCTGGGGAGTTAGTGTTTTTCGGCTGGGATTACAAAAATTTTAGCGACGGCTGCTTCTAGCGAGAACGGGTTTGATTCCGGCAGTCATGAGTCCTGTTGACTTTGACACATCCGGACAACGCCCAAGGCAAGAGGTTCCCGCTTGGTCGCGAACAGGGCGACGGCGTAAGATGCGTGCGATACACAGTCAAGAATTTGCGTCGCATCCCGCAGATTTCTTGCAGAGTTGGTGGCAGGAGATATTCAGCATGAATTTCATAATTTGAGAGTCCCTTCTCGCTCTTCCCATCCTGTCTGATATTCTTTATCGCCCTTCGCAGGCTTCGACCAGGATCATGGAGATACTACGAAGAGGGGACATTCTCAGGGTCCAACAAATATTTCAATACGAGCCAGTCACAGCTCCAGCCATAGCGGCCTGCGGGCGTAGCCATGCTCCGGAAACACTCCCCCAGATTTTGAATCACCCGAAACAATGGCGATGTGTGCGTGAACCCCTGAAATGCCTGTCGCGACATTGCCGTCCAAGTCGACGCATGCATCATTATCAGACGCTGATGATCCCTGAAGGCCTCGCCGGAGTCCCTTTTTGTCGGATAAGAGACTCATGACTCACATAAAGAGCTTGCTCACACGTTCTGGGCTGATTGGTGATTTGGGGCTCGTCTATGGCTGGCTGGTGGGCGTGGAATATTTGTGACGCTAACTTCGAGCGGTTGTATCTGGATCGACCGGGCTGGTCTTAATATTTGGTTTTCAACACAGTCTCCAATTGTATTCGGCTGATTAAAAACTAACCTGTAACGGAAATCTCTCTTTGTTCTCATCGTCAACGGGCTAGTGAAAATCGACATGGTTATCTCGACTCAAAGAGGCTGATGAATGTGTGCGAATGTATAGACGGCTTGAGCCTGGTCCGGACTAAGGGTCTGGTTACGGCACGAACACAAGTCGATTGGAGTGAACCGCTGAGGGCCTAATGAGAGCTGGGTAGGTGTATACTGTTTGTATGAGTGACAGCAAGGGCTTGGAGAATTAAAGGTGAAGAACTTATCAGGGCTGGCTGCTTCAGCGCATTCAACGGTGGCTGGTGCAAGGGAATCCATCCAGTGTGACAAAGCAGAGGTTTATTTCGAGAACCCGGGGAGAAGGCCACATTTATAGCTTCGCGGCTCTTGTTGCCGCATGCTTCATATTGCAATGCCGTGGACTTATCTGTATGTCGCCCATTTGAACAGCCTCGTACATATACAAAGTGTCGCTTGTTGAACCCTTCTTTTTCTTTATTGCGGCGGTGGGATGGCCAACAATGAAGATGATCCAGTGACAGGCCTTTCCGAAAGCCACGCCATGGCATCAGTTCTTTGTGCTACATCTGGTGAGGCAGCGGGGGATTTTCCTAACATTCACCTTCGTTTGCCCAGTCTTCACCCGTGTATCAACGATCAACACTTAAAAATGATGTGCGGTGGATCCCCGGTTCACTGTGGCCTGCTCTGTTGTCACCGTCATGTCACTTTCAGTAATGGCTAACCCTTGAAATTATTGAGGCTGGTGGACATGCTGTGTTGTGAGCAAGTCTGCGTCTACACGCCCTCATCTGTCGAGTACGCTCGTGCATGAATCTACTTACCATCCACGCACACACATTTATTGAGTGCAACTATACTACAGTACATTGGCTGTGGAATTTTGACAATTGGAAGCCGCGTCCCTGATTTGCTCATACTCGCAAAATTTTAACCTATCCACGGCACGGTCGATTTAAGGGTCATATGAAACCGTGTGGCAGTTGGAGCGCTCCTAGAACGCTCACTTTGGATCCCAGGGCCAGACTTTTGGTTTCGAGGATCTGTGTGAGAAGCCCTCTGAATCGAGCGAACACTTTGGCTTTACGTACAGTACAGGCTTTTCCCCCGAGCAGATTCAGAGACAAATGGTCCGTTCTGGGATCCCTATCGGCGATCCTACGAATGACTGAGCCGGATCTGGGAATGCAACCACTCGCCCCAGGAGCCATTTTGCTCTTGGGACTCTCGAGCCAGCTCCTGGAGCCGTTTTTCTCATTCCTGGGCCAGGGCTGGACTTTTAATGGTCCAAGTAGGATATCACTAGGACAGGTAGTTCCATGTGCAGACTTCTGGCCATCACTTCTACGAGATATGTATCGAAACTCTCATCAGCATCTTACATGAAGCCTATTAGGCGGATGGTGACATGATATACGCGAGACTTGCATGCTGCTAGTACTGTAGGCCACTGTACTGTACAGTAATGCATCTTATATCTCTGTTCGACCATACAGTATCTAGGATGATGCTACCATTTTACGAGCCGACGCGATAAAGCCCCGCTGCATTGATCTCTCGCTCTACGACTTGTATTCAGGGCCAACCCGCTATAGACTTCCTTCAAGTCGATAGCTGATACCGAGACATTATCAACCTCGCTATATTCATGACAAAATCTGAGATATATGGACCTCGTTCCCAGAAGCCTGGTCGATGACGTCTGGAAATAGCAATCCCTTCACTAAAAATGAGGTATCAAGAGCAGATAGTCTGACCAGGTAGCTGTTTCAGATACTGTAAGTAATGCTATCTCTGTCGTTGCACATTCTAGTTTTAATTACTCTACAGGTCTCAGAGGCTCATATCCCAGGTCTCTTTGATCTGTCACCACAATCATGGTACAGTAGTAAGTTCCTTTTTATTGAGCTTTCTGTAGTCATGAGCTGGCATCTAGACAAGCAATTCAGAAGCTTCTGGGAAACTCGAACCTCACAACTCCTATAATCCAACGAATTTTTATGGTACGGTGAACTTCCTTATTTCTGATAACAGCATCCTTTCGCCGCCGACCACATTAGAGAACTAGATTATTCTTTTCTCGTCGATATCGGCAGTTCTTCCCGATTCTCTTAGGTTCGAGAATATCGACTCCCATAATGTTAACTGAAGCAGCTTTGGGGTGTAGGAGTGCTTCTAAACCACCCTGGCTAAAATTCATATCTCCATCAACAGACACCCACCAGGCCATACAAGCGACCATCGAAGCTCAAATTCGGACAGGGAGAACCTCATCCTCCGTCATTTATCTAATATCCTAAATATGTTTCACATTGCCCATCACAGAATTTGTCAGTTCACTCATCCTAAGAAGAGAAAATCCTAAGAAGAGAAAATCCTAAGAAAAGAAAATCCTAAGAAAAGAGAGATGATCCTGAAAAGTACTGAATTAAAATTTCATGCTTACTGGAAAACGTCATCTAGATCTTCTCACTCTTGGCTGTGATAAGCGCGCCGACCTTCGAAGTGGTGGCGTGGTGCGAGACTCCATAACCTGATAACTTCCTCCAGCAAGTCGAGCTGACCGACGTACATCGTGTTGCACGTCACGTCTCATCAACTGCCTCTGAAGGAAATACAGAATCCGAAGATTTGATGTTGCATCCATGGCACTCCGGAGGTGGCTTCCATTTCTTGCTCGGCGGTCGCGGCAAAGAAGCCTGACAACGTGCTCCTTTCCTTTCCGGGCTGCCAGCTCCAGGGCTGACTCCCCATATCGATTGGTACCCGTAACATCGAGTCGATCGTCTCTGAGCAATAGCTCCACAATGTGCGAATTTCCATAAGAGAGAGCATGGTGGAGTGCGGTATCTCCCAGGGAAGTCTCGGCGTTAACGTTCAATCGAGACCCTTGTTTAAGCAGCAGTTTTGCAATACCACGGTAGCCGTTTTCGATCGCAATGAATAGAGGAGACTTGCGCCAGAATGTCTGATTAATATCGACCTGTTGAAGGGATACGAGTCGGCGGACAACTTCCAGATGCCCCCTCTCAGCAGCAAGATAAATGGGAGGTGCGCGCGATACATTCAATTCTAGATCACTCCTAGTAAGAAGGAGGTCCATCATCCGCAGATCGCCTTGGCCCGCTGCGTAGCTGAGGGCCGTCCAGCCCTGGTCATCACAGATGTTTGGGTCCAATGAATGCAGCTCCACAAGCGAACACGCGAGGTGGAAGTTTCTATTTTGAACCGCAAAGTGAAGAGCAGTCTTTTGGCCAAAGCCGCGTGCATTGATGTTGGCCGGTTCCTCAGCCAAGATCTGCAACGCGACGGATCGGTGGTTTCCACGCGCGGCCGCGCAGAGAGGCGTGGCTCCTTCAATGTCACAAGCCGCAATGTCAATTCCAGGGGTACTCAACAATAGCTTGGTAGTTGACTTATGGCCATAAAATGCAGCAAAATGCAATGCTGTGCGGCCCCCCGGATCAGTACTATTGACATCCACTCCATGGCTCAGCAACAGCTGGGTGACGTCATCATGTCCATTGCTGGCGGCTCGGTGCAACAAGGGCTGGCCGTACCTATTTCTGACATGGAGTTCTGCACCGTACTCAATCAGAGTTTGAGCAATTTCATTCAGGCCAGCGTAGACGGCCAAGCAAAGCGGGTGGTCTCCAGCATTCACGTCCACCAGTCGAGGCTGTGAAGGACGAGCTTGTGAATGATCAAGCAGGAGCTGGACGATAGGCAAATTCCGTTTGGAAATCGCCAACTTCAGAGGGGTGGTTTGTCGGTAGTCCATCATCCATATATCGCTTTGCCGTTCTAGGAGAAGTTGTACCAATTGCTCATCGCAATTGGCGACAGCATACCAGATAGCATTTCGATCCATGAAATCCGTACAATCCACAGATGGATTGAAATGTCGCAACAAAACGCGCGCCAGAGACAGGTGTCTCCGCTGCAGAGCATATAGCAGCGGCGTCTGATTTCGATCGTCTTGCCAGTTGATGTCTGCTGTGCCATCCAGAAGAGTTCGAATTATTTCCTCACTTCCAGATTGAATAGCGTGGAAAACAGGCGTGCGAGATCTGTTATCTGTCGTGTTGGTATTTGCTCGATATTCCTCTAGCAAACGATTTACCAGAGCAACTTTGTTATTTTGAGCGGCCCAGATCAACGCGGAGCTTTCTTGACGCCGAACATTGAAGGTATAGAGACGCGGGAGAAAAGTGCATTTTGCGGTACTGTTCATACAAGCCATCGCAAGTAGATCTCGCGATGAATTGAAGAATTCTGAGAGGTAGAAGAGAATCTCTGGAGGAAGCTCAAACAGCCGATTCGAAGCGTCACATCTGGGAGTTTGCGTCATTTATGCAGGGTTCAGAACTTGTATCAAGTTCAAACGTGAAGATTCCAAATAAGAGTCAAATGAACCGCAGAACGTCTTGGTGGAAGAAATGGTCGCTTAAATTTTGCTTGTTGGCTCCAGATGCATTAGCCGAGCTTTCTGATCTAGGTTAGCATGTTATACTCTGGATCTGCAGATGCAAACTAGAGGCTTCCAGGAGTCATTGATTTCCAGATTCAAGAGAAGGGTTCACAGGAACGTCTATCTCGATCCTGGAAGCAAGTAACGGCTAGGGCGTAAGTCGGCCTCCGGAGCCACATAGATCGTCAAATCAGTGTCTCTAATAGATACTACTCTCATGTCCTGCTTGCCCTTTTCATGAATTCCTTGAACGGATACTGGACGGCTTGGAGAAAGCTGTTTTATGAAAGAACAGAACCCACTCCTAGATGATGCTACAGGTGCCATCTGGCATGGAGAAGGTGTCTTACGGTATTAGATAATCTCAATGTTGGTGATAGAGGCACCCTTGCAAGGTGAAAATTATGAAGGACCCCCTTATAGAAACAGGATAGGTGAGAGCGCTGAGATGCCAACCGGCGCCAGGTGCCAGTTTTCACATTGGCTCTGTCTTGAAGACTCGAAACGATCTCTCAGCCTCATCCCAAGAGAGTGGTGATTCCGCTCCCGCTATGAAAGAATGCGAACCTATGCCCACGTACCTAGCCCGGAAATATCCTGATAGGTCGTGCGCACTGACAAAGAACTCGTTTAATTCCAGGAATCAGTGATGGGGTTCCTAGAGCCGTCAAGGCTCCCCGGAGCTCTTAAGCATGGTCCTCGAATGAACATATGGCCTTCAATGTCACATATAAAGAGATGAGTACCATCTTCGAAAACAGCTACAAGCTCGTCTCATTCACAAACTCATTCCCGCCTGAATAATGCTCGCTGTCTATTAAGCCTCACTCTCCGCGATGGTCAGTTTAATGTCACTTCTGCAAACCCTCCACTCTTTCCTGAGGACATCCGCTGAATCCCTATAGGAAAAGCTCCAAGACCTTCCAGACCAGATTATCGCACTACTTGTCTCTCAGCTAGAGTTTCATGACCTAGGCTCGCTAGGCATATCATGTCGAGATCTCTACTACAGACTGCAACCCCACATCCTCAAGCGGAACATTCAGCGCCAGAGCAGTAGTCTCCTGCACCTAGCAGCCAAAGACAACGACTATGCTCGGGCGGAGCTCATGCTTTTTTATGGTGCCGATGCCAACACGTTCTCGCATGGGAAGACTCATTTAATGAGAGCTATTCAATATGGGCATCAGATGTTCTTGAACTCCTGCTCAGTCATAAGAAGATTGACCTTCGGATGCAAAATAGAGAGAGAGAAAGTGCCTTGACATACGCCATGAAATACAGACGCTGTGGAGACAGAAAAGTGATCCAAACCCAGAGGCACATTGCAATTCGCGCCGAACGCGATCAAGGTCTGCTTCCCTTGGCCACTTGCAAAAGTCAGACCGGATGTCTGCGGAGGCTATGGTTAACATGCAATCTGAGAGCCAAGGTCGGCCGAGGTCATCGGTCAAAGGGCATGGTACGATAGGTCCAGTTTTGAACGTTGAATCGACTTGATTGTCAGGGCATTGAGAGGTCAATAAACCTTGAACGCCAACGTTGAAAGTTACAGATATACGCTGATAGACACGTCACACGCTGTACAATGAAGATTTTCACGATGTATTTAACACACTCATGGAAGTCAGATTACCATCTAGCAACCAATCGACCACCATGAGTTCTCCCAAACGACCTTTGTCCTCTCCCACGTCGCAGTCCAAAAGACAACGTGTTTATGCAAATGCGGACGATGAGACGCAGGAGGGACCAAGCAATGGGGCACCTAGAAAAGGCACTTCGGTTAGCAGAATCTAGGTCTAAGGGCCACGCGAACATGAAAATAGCAATGCTGATCAGAGTGAATACAGGGTCCCAGGACTTCAGCAAGCCTCTCCACAGAGTTTGAATATATTCTGAATCATCACACCTCCCTCGCGGCTCCCGCCGTCAGCCTTCTCGACTGGTACCTCCGCTTATGGAATTGTTATATTGTCGATTCTGCACTGAAGATACGGCTCGAAGAAGAGCGGGGTCAGCTTCAACGGTCAATTGCATGTCTGACCGCTGAATGCGATATATTACTCCAGTGCTGCAATGATCAGGCTCTGGAGCTATTCGGCCGCCGGAAAGCTGTGGCTGCCCTCAATGATGGGATCGTCAAGGCTTTGAAGGCAAGCGAGAAACGCGCTTATATGATGATCAAGTTGAACTAGTCTTGGAAACACGATGCAATGGGATACCAGCCGAGTTGGGCGTCTCATTCCTGTTCAACATGCATGTAGTATATTCGCTACCTTTGTTTCATAATTCTGTTTATTTTGCTGTTCTCAGCATCACTGTGCCTGGTTTTGTGCGCAAGGTCTTAACTACCAAGGCGATAGCTTCTGAAAAAATACAGCTCTACCCTCATTCTCTATCCCTTTAATTACATCCAAATTCCAGCATTAACAACACTGGAACGGCAGTCAGGATAGTATTGCTTTTGCTTGGGAGAAAATTTGCCGGAGATTGGTGTCATTATGAGAACTATGGTTCTTTCTACCCTGCAGTATGGCTGACCACACTCGGCTTCATCCTCGGGACGCTATGCGGATGAATTCCAGTCTCTTTTTCGTCTTCTTACAATAACGATGACGGCTCATTTGGTCTACGCTTGTCGAATGAGCACAAATTGATGCCTTGCATGGAAGGGAAGCAAGAATGCTCAAAAGCCCTCGAAACATGGCCATCTCATTGAATTTCCACAAACACCTCCCACTATCTAATGGTAATTGCACTACCGCCATCGGTTCACTAGCAGTTCTTTATTCACCAAGCTTTGACTCGAGGCCATCAGAGTAGCGATTCCATTCCTTGAGTATTTCCGTCAAACGGAGTCGAGATGACTCCAGCGCCTGATCAAAGAAATGCAACCGAGCCAGCTGGTCATCATGGCTTGACTGCATTCTGTTCTTGTCATTCATCAGCTTTTGTTGAGTCTCCCTCAGGCCGTCATTTGCTTTGTCCAACTTCTTCCCCTCCATATGCTTTGCCATGCATGACCCCCACAGGCGCCGGTACAGTCCGATGAGTCTTGCGGCTTGGAACGCAAGCTTTGGGTCCTCACGTTCGAGCCGTGCGAGAGCGTCCATCGCAGGTGCAAATGGCTGGTACTTCAAGGAAGGTCTCTCTGTGTCGTGGGCCTGCTGGCCACGAGTCAGCTAGTCCTTATACAAGCTTATGTTGGTCTTACTCACGATTGCTGGGCCGGATGGTAGATCCACGTCAATCGGCGGGTGCTGTTCCACGTGGATAATAGGTTTGTCGGCTGGAGGATAGCCACTTGTGGGCTGAATCTCGGGCAGCTCTTGGCAGGATTGATACTGGAGGTGTCCATGCTGGATCTTGTGTATCCTGTCTGACCGAGGATGATGCTTGCAATGCGTCCCGATGTTGCAGAATTTATATAGCTAGGATATACGTTCCAATGAACCAAGATGAACAAATCGAAAACAGTGATTGCAGTTTCCAACGGTGAATCAACAGACCAAGCCCAGTGAAACCATCTTCTCTCTTAGGCCATGCAGCTACTATACGGCTAGTTGAATCAACGTTGTTCTCGGTTCAAAGCTCTTAGAAAGCGAACCGGCTTGAAATATCTACACAGTATAGCGTTCTCTAATCTGATGCCTTCTTAGCTACATTCGGTCCCTTATCTGACTGGCTTGCCTCCGTGTATATTTCCCAAACTGCTCGAGGCCCCTACGTTCGTTTCTGCGGAGGCTTCCAATCTTCCCATCTGCTAAATGCACAAGTCCTCGTCGATGGATAGTGGTGGAAACAACGATAATGGTAAGTTTTCACGGTCTAGTCTGTGACGAGCGGTTGTTTCAAGCAAATCACTAAATAACCTACGCAGAGTGGAATCTTTCCTGCAGTCCGGAAGGCTCCTGTTGTCAATGGCCTGGCTCCCAAGCCGGTTATAGGCAATTTCCAGTAGACTGGAGTCATGTTCAAAACACTTCCTGGTCCGACATGGAAAACTTCTTCTCATGCGCCTGTCCAGCAAGGACAATTTCATAGTTTGGACTGGTTTCAATATGGGTCTGACCCCGAGACTGAGGTCGAGGTCATCGCGAGAAATCCCACTGTCGAACCATTCAGTTTGACCAAGTCGGTAATAGGTGAAAACACGCCTGCCGAAACACCCAATGGCGGCGGTGGGAGGAAGACGTCCTGGCCAGACTTTGAGGAGTTCACACGCGTCGTCTGCGGCGACCGTGAACACTCCAGCCACTCCCGCAGCTGCATACCACGGCCGTTCTGTTGTGATTTGAGGCTGTTGCTGCTCAGGAATGAAGCCGCAACATCGGAAATAATTCCTGCACTATCTATACGAAGTTCCAAGTTGATTGGAAATCAACTTGGACTTCATGCTGTATATATGGCCTCTTTGTATCCCTCTGANGTCCCTGCGGAGACTCTTGATTTCGCAGATGTCCCTGCGGAGACTCTTGTTTTCGCAGATGTCCCTGCGGAGTTCACTTGATAATGCAGAGCCCGTCCTGCGAGAGAGCGCATTTCTTACTTCAATGGGGTCATGCCAGCGAAAGCCAAGACTAATTATAAGTCAAGTCTGCAGTCAGACAAGATGACCGTGACTGTCTCGGAGGATGAGGATGGAAGTCCTGAATTTTCTAGACCGGTTGTGGAGCGTCCTTTTATGCCTTTTCGCCTACGGATGCTCGTAGCTGCCAGGTATGCAAAATCTATGGAAGACATGATTTACTGCGGTGTACACATTGCATTTTTGCTGCTAGTGGAGTTGATTTAACGGCCGTTGAAGGATGCGTTTAGAGTGTGCGGCCAATCTCACCAAGCGCCCCACTTCGAACCGTGGCGTGCATGAATCTAGACTGGGCCATCCTTGGAACCATCTCTTGGCGGTTGCATCTCATATTCAAGATGTTTACGGTGATTCACCTTCAACGGTCGTTGAAACGAACGTTGAAAAGTGCAAATAAATTTTGAGAAAATTTTGGCAATCAGAGTTTTTCCAGATTACCTGGATGGCGTGGATGATGTGCGGATTGGACGTTTCCCCCTTGGAACTATTGTCAGTTTATACCACTCTCTTCCGCTCGTCTTGGCTGACTGTCCGGCTGGTCAAAAGATCAAACCTGTGAACAGTCTAATAAACCAGGTCTTTTGTCCATCCACCCGTGACGCCTGAGCCACAGTCACAACAGCAAACATACCATGGGACTTTCGGCGGCGACAATTCAAATCCCGCGTTGCGGCGTGTAGAAGTTGCTTTCGATATTTCGTAGGCCTTCAGCGTCATCTATCCGGCCATTTGGCTGAAAAGCCGCCTGCCTGCTGGTTCCGGACTATCAGCACAGCTTCTCGCGTCGCGATAATCTCAACCCATCGTGCCTCCCGTGGAAAACAAGGAGGCGGTAATCGCTACGTAGTTGCCCTTGATCGGATCTCTTGTGAATGCAGATCAGAAATCAGGCCGCATTGACCAGAAGATTCCAGCATATGCTTGCTATTGAATTCTTTTGAATATTTACTAGGGACGTCGTGTCGGGCAACCTCCAGCGTCCTGACTGCCAATTCAAAACATAATTCGAATGCAATAGAGATTTCAGTACAGATATCACGATCAAAGAATGTGTCGGAACAATAAATGACCGTATAGACTAAGAATGTTGCCCATGGAGCATTTTTGGTCTAGCGGTATAATGCCCCATATTTGCTTCGACAGAATGTAACAATGACTATGGCAAGCGTATAGCAAAACTCGGGAGCCGATACCCGCCGGCCGTGCAACTTGGTGCTGGTAGGACGGCCACTGATCGGACCTTAGCCCAAGACGAGACGAACAATCTCCACAACGGCTAGTACACACACACACACACAATTCATTAACGCCCGGCGGCTAAGCCGAAAGGGCAACTGAAACGATCTATCAGTACATGTCCTAATATATATATGCTGCATCTCCTTCGAGCCCATGCATGCATCCCTTCACTCTATGTCCTCTCGGTTGTCAATATCATAGGGATCCTTGTGGGTTAGTAAGTTGGTTAGTAGACTGGCTTGAAGGCGCTTCTTCAAGTGTTCAACATCCTATCTTCGGCAGTTGAAGCGCGTCCACCATCTTTGGCACAAGGCGGTTGGTGTAGGTTGGTTAGGGGAAAGGTGTCATTGTGTTGGTCGACGTGGTTAGGAGGCGTCGAGTCGGCCTGTGGCGATCGCGAATCGTATTGAGGCTCGCACGGCTTCTAAGTTCGGCGTCCATTGCGGATTATCAGAGGGCGATTTCCCGCCCAGGAAGAAGGAGAGATTGCCCCGGTGAGTGTTGCTACATTGCAGCAGTGCTATTCGTTGTGTGGTCCATTTCCGACATCGGAAGAGGAAGTGTTCCACGGTCTCTCTTGCTTGTCCACATGCACACTGGTCCGTCTCTGCAACGTTGATCCGA